ACATCGGAGGAGGGATTAATAGTTCTCTCGTTATGTACCCTTTCGCGGTATTCCGGTGAGCCGACAGGGAGGACGATGGTTTTTTCTTGGTTGAATTTGGCCCCTGATGCGATGCACCAGCAGCTTAGAGTTGAGAGTAGGGTATTCAGGTCATCGTCTTTGGCAAGGAAGACAGCGGCATCGTCAGCGAAGAGGGATATTATAACTCTCTGTGAGAGAGTGGGGGTGTTGATCTCTAGGCCTCGGAGGGATGGGGATTCTCTGAGGGCGATCGATAGAGGTTCTATGGCGATATTGAAGAGGAGGCAGGACAGGGGGTCGCCTTGGCGGACCCCTCTTGTTATTGGGAATTCATGGCTGATCATGCCGTTTAGGATTACTTTTGTTTTAGCATCGGTGTAGAGATTTTTGATTGTCAATATGAGGTTAGGGGGGATTCCCATGGACTCCATGACTCTCCAGAGGTAATCGTGCCGAATGCGGTCATATGCCTTCTCTTGGTCGAGGGCGATAATTGCACCATCTTGTCCAGTTAGTTCACATAGGTCGGTCATACGGTTGACGAGATCTATTTGGTCGAAAATACTGCGGCCTTTGATGAAGGCCGCTTGGCATTTATGGACCAGGAGGGGGGCTATGGGGGATAGTTTGTTCATAATGGCTGTTGTGATGATTTTGTACTCCGCGTTTAGCACGGTTATAGGTCTGTAATTCTCAATTTCTCTTTTATCTTTTTTTTTGTAGAGTGGGCAGAGCCACCCTTCTGAGATAAGTGGGCAGGAGATGCCGTTCATTTCAATATCATTGGCTAGGTAGGTTAGGAGTTTTACTATATGTAAACCGCGATTCTCATTCCTTCCTTCCTTCCACCTAGTGTTTAGGTTTTTGAATAACTCGGTGGGTATGCCGTTGAGGCCAGGGGACTTTCCTAGGGGAGACTGGTTTAGGGCTTTCTCTATGTCCGCAAGGCTTAGTGGGGTGGCCAGGTCCGCAAGGGCTTCTGGTGGGACGTGGTTCCGGATCTTGTTTATGGAGTTTGTAATGTGGGTCTCCCTCTCCTCTTGGTGGGTAGACAGGTCTCTGTACTGGACGGAGTTGTAGTGGTTGGCCGCTATGTTTGACATCTCGGTTGAGTCAGTTGTGTAGGCAGGGGGGCTGGACTCTGGGATTCTCAGCTCGGGTATTGTGTCGCGTGGTTTGTTTTCCTTTCCCCATCTACACCAGTATTTGTTGGTTGTTTCACTTAGGATTCTTTTATTTGCTCCGGTGCGCGCTTTCAATTTGGCTAGTTTAAGTTTCTCTATTTCATTGATTCTTTTTGTTAGGTTTTGTCACGACCCGGCGTTCCCCGGGGCCAGACGACCTCCTCCCTGACCTTCTCCCACGCCCGAACACTCCCCGCACACTCCGCTCGCCGCCCGTCGCCGTCTAACCACTTCCCGCCACCTCTCCACAACACCTTCCCTCTTTGTCGTTGAACAACCTAGCGGCGCAGAGCGCTGCGACCCGTTGTTCCATGTTTCGCCGCACCTTGTTATCTCGCGGCGAAGGTCACGCTTGACCTTCGTTGTCTTGAGCACGTGCTCTTTGTTTGTTTTCCTGCTTCTTTTCTCCGCCCGCAATCTCCGCGAGATCTGGCGACTTATTCCTCATTCAGTTCCCTAGCGCTTATATACGGCTTGTAACTAATGCCTGTACTGTAGTTCGAAATCAACTAGAATACACCCCCTAGGCTTACCTCTGTCCCCTGTGAGACCTCTGACTTTCTGAAGTATCGGGACCGCGTCGAGAACGAGGCGCAACGCTCCCCCTCGAGTCGTTGAAGCCGAAATCCCGGCTCTCTCGCCTAAGTAGCCTCGGCCTCGAGATCGGTGGGGTTTATTCCTCGCTAAAGCTCGGTCGTGTGTAGGACGCCTATTCCACTAGCGGGCAACGCTCGGTCGCCTACGGCTACCCTCGGCGAAGATTCGCACGGTTCTGACAGGTTTTGGACTTGGACTTGGGTCATTTCAACAAGGGTCTCGTCCGCGGATGTTAGTCTCAACATGGCTCTGTCACGTCTGTGTGTGAGGCGCCTCATCTCGGAGTTGAGTTTGCCAGCTTTTACTTTTGCGGTTTTCCTGGCTAGGTGGGTCACGGCAGATACAAATTCAATGAAGGTGTTTTGTACATTATTGTTTCTGATCATTTTTTTGAGGGTCTCATTGCCAATGACTTCGACTTCCTTTAGGAAGTTTTGGTCATTGGTTAGGTACAGAGGGATGGCCCATCGCCCTTTCCCAATTGCGGTTGCGCGGTCATCCCTTAACTCAACCGAGACAAGTTGGTGGTCAGCTGTAGGTAGGCCGGGATTTGTTATTTCCCATGTGTAGGCTCTATTTCTTATGATATCATTTGCGTATATTCTGTCTAGTCTGGAGAGGGACGCCCCTGTAGCATGGCCGAAGGTGAAGTTTCTTTCAGGGGCTGGGTGTGACTCTCTCCATCCATCCATGAGGCTGTTATGAGAAGTGAGGTCACGGAGAGCGGTCACAGTGGGTTCCGGGTCGGGGTGAGGGGGAAGTCTGTCCATGGCTTCTTCTACCATATTGAAGTCCCCGAGCATAATGTCTATAGGGGTACTGTTAAGTTCCTGGCGGATGTCCTTCCAGAATCGGGAGTTGTCGTTCTGGGGGTTGGGGGCATATATAGCTAGGATTTTGATGGGGATATTTGGTGGCCATTCTATTTCTATGAGGAGAGCGCGGCCCGGGATGATGTCCTTTACTGATCTGGGACAAGTTTTTATTATACTTTTGTTAATGATTATTGCTACTCCGCCCGCGCGGGTGTGTTCTGGGTTGTAGGAGTGGAAGATTGACCACTCAGCACTATAAATATTGTTTAGGTGGTTTTGCTGTAGCTGGTCGGAGTGTGTTTCTGAGAGGCACATGATTCCGAATCTCTCCTGTTTCATTTTTCGTGTGATTGTTGTCCATTTGTACTTGGTAGTGGGGCTGTTGGCACCCTTGATGTTTAGAGCACCTATTTTTAAGCTGGGGGGGTGGTTTTGGGGGGTGGGGTCACCACCCCTCAGACGGAGGACTTTATTTTTATTTTTATTGGGGGGGTGTCCGTTTTCCAGGACTTGGCAGCCATCATTGGGCATTGGCAAAACGGGATAAGCTTCCTGCCCTCCGGGAGCCAAGGGCACAGGGTCATAAACCGGTTTAGAACATTCCGTGGGATTGGGCTTTGTGGTTGTGTAGTTTTCTGTGGCATTTAGGATGGTCCTCTCACGGGTTGCCGGCCCTTGTGAGAGTGTTGGTTGGGTGGATGGGTCAGTGCCGGGCTTTCCTGTTGCCCGTAGGCCCAGTATATTTGGGCCCAGCACTATGTCTAGAATGTTAGTTTCAAAATGGGTCAACTTTGCGATTGCGCTGGGGCCGTGTTAACATGTACTATTGTGTATGCACGTGAGCTCGGGTGCGTGGGAATATAACAATATAACAATCAATTCAGACAACTCCGGGAAGGTCTTACTCGTTTTCAAGTCCCGTGGTCAAGGCAGGTGGTATTCCCACGGCCTCTGCTGTACAGTTACAAATGTGACCTTTCCATATATGGGTCTTAGTCCCAGGGGTTTTGCCGCCAGGGACACCGCCGGATTCTTGGTTAGGAAGGGTTAGGGAGTTGCTTACCAGAGGGGTAAGTCTCCATGTTGTAACTTGGTGGGACGAGGAAACTTCGAGGGAGTTTCTCGTGGTTCGACCGACCTAACTCCGTGATGGAGTTACCCGGGTGCCGAGGAACACTGGCTCCAAGTAGGCAGGTTCCATTCAGGCGCACCCACCCTTCAGCACATTCGGCTCAGCCGTCTTCTGGTGACACCCTGAGGGGCCCAATGACGCGGCCAGGTGCTCGCCGTTGCCGGCGCTGTTTTGGCTTTGTTTGTGTTTTTGTTTTGTTTTTTTTTTTTTAAAAGAGATCTAAGTTCTTTCTCGCTCTCATTTATGTGATGTTTCGAGTCTTCCCGGGGGTAGTTTAACGACTTTGCGGTCGTGCCACGACATCTTGATAGCCAGAGGTACGATTGAGTCTCCAACACTAACGCTCTACCTTTTTTTCCTTTGCATCCGCCGTACCCGACCTAGATCGATTTTGTCAGGCAGTTCTTGTAGGTCTCCCCTTCTTCTCACCTCCACCGCACGCATTGGTGACTTTTCTCGGTTTCCTCAGTTGTTTTTTTTTGTTTCTTACTGTTTGGTTATGTTCTACACTCGGTTGGTTCGAGCTCACGGCCCCTTGCTACTTTGCCTCCCGGCTTGGAGCGGCGCTATTTAATGCAAGTGTTTCAGTCTTGCTGCAGGTGAAGGCGTTGTGACCTTCGGTTTTGTCGTGACCTAGCTTTATCCTTTCTCTTTGTCTGTGTGATTATCTTCTTCAGCGTTACCCTCCTCCGTCCCCTTCCGCCTTTCGTGTGTATGTTACCTGATCGCCGGGTCGCCTCCTATTCCATGACTCAACTTTGGGATGACTCTATATACCAGGAAGTGATTCGTCTCACCACGACCTAGGATATATCTTAGTCGGAGTGCATTGAACGGTCAGGTAACTGTACGAAGACATTTCCGTGCTTGAGCCACAGCCAGTGCTGGATGGAGCGTAGACTAGTTGGGCATGCAGCCGGAACGGAGGGACATGTTGATATTTCTCGAAAAACACTAGCGCCCACGTACTTCAGGAGAAACGTTGCAGTAAATATTTAAAATTCGTTCGAGCTGCGGATTTCATCGATTCTTGCGATTACTAAGTCACCCTCCAGAGAATTTCGGAAATTAGTATAGTGGAGTGGAAATAGAGGAAAGGTTTAAGCACTCATGTTTTCAGCGCTGAATGGTGGGCGTTAGACATTGCACTAAATGTTGTTATGGCTAGAAATCACATAAAATGGCTTTGGCTAGGCCTATATGTCCAAGGACACAGTTGAACTTCGAGATCTCTCTGTTGTTTGCAAATGACGGAGATTGCCGAAAAAAAAGCGTGTTGAGCGCGCAGGGATCAACAAACCAACTTCAGTTCATTCCTTTTCCGGTATAGCGTTCTTTTCCTCCAGGCGTGTCTGACAACTCTCCCCACGCAAGCTGGGATCACCTGGCTGGTCTTACGCGCGTCACCTACACGTCGGACATGAATTCTGCAGCTTTCTTCAGGATACGCCTCGTTTTCACGGTCTTTTCCCTCGTCACTCTCGCCTACGCTGATGTTCCAAGAGTTGACTTTGGTCGTATGGGCACTGTCGCCGTCGCGGGTTCCTTCATTGGATTGGGCCTGTATTCATCTAATTCTACGCATACTTTTAATCCTTCCGCCTCTACCTTGGTCTCTCGGGCCGCAAACGGCACCATCAATTCGATCGCATGGACGAATGTAGGAGGTTCCATCCTAGCTGGCTGCATCCTCAACAATGTTCTGTATATTGGAGGCAACTTCAGTTCGCTTTCTGGACAAGCCTATGCGAACGTTGCCGCTTATGACCTTTCGTCGCGTTCATTTCGTGCCCTAGGGTCTGGACTTGATGATGCAGTTGATGTTCTCTACTGCGACTCGAGTGCGTCCCAGGTGTGGGCTGGGGGCAGGTTTCGCCATCCTGTGAACGTTGACGCTTTGTCTTATGGCGGGAGCGTTGTGGTTTACGATGTCAAGAGCTCCACCTGGCAACCACCCGCTTTTACAGGACTCACAGGCACCTCGCCGTCTGTACGCTCAATCGTTCCAAGTTCTTCGGGTTCGAGTTTATACTTTGGGGGTTCATTTACCACCAACTATGGTGTCAATGTCACGGTTGCCAATGGTACCAATAATCCAAATGTCCCTTACTCGACTGGTGCATCCCCATTTTCCTCTTCCCTCGTGCCCCTCCCTCTTGCCCCTGCGGATGTCGTTGCCAGCCCATCTTCGTCGGAAGATGGGTTCAGTAACATCTCTAATATTGTATGTCCTGCAGGGCCTGACGGCCCTGGCAACACGTGGTTCTCAGCCAATAATGCACGTACATTGATTACTATCCGGACGAATAAGTACACGACAGCTAGAGGTGTGCGTTTGGGCAACACTTTCTTACCGAACCATGGGACTAGAACTTTCCAGTGAGTCAGCCAGACATCGCATGCGGCAATGGAAGCTGAGGCTTGCCTTTAGGGTCGTCACCATTCCGGACAACAATCCATTGAAGCTCACCTACATTGACCCAACAACTCGAGCCAACGTTTCATGCACGGATTCATGCCCACTTATGACAGACTCCTCTATACCATATCAAGACTTCCTCTTCGAAATGGCAGACACTCTCACTGGTGTTCAGATCACCCTCTTAGAATGGGAGGGATCCAGTGCTGGGCTTCACCTTCTTCAGGTCCTCTCAGATGGTGCGGGAAAACTTCTTGAACCTCACTTTTGGAGCTGACAGTTATTTTCCCAGGTGCATTTGCTTCCGCCCTCAACACTGACAATCGCGCATCCTGCTATTCACCTAGCGGGTCATCTGTCGACTTGACTGGTACTTGGCATGCAGAAAACGTATTTACTACAATTGCTGCTACCACCCAAACTGTCTTAGTTGCGAAGCCCAGCGTTGGCACACCTCCCTCTAACTCCCCCAGCGTCACCTGGCATCCGTATGTCTCTGCATCCGGATATTATGATGTCTACCTATACATTCCAGGTTGTGATGACATGCAAGATTGTGCAGCTCGTACATCTGTCAAACTCACTACTAATCCTGGAGGAGGCGCCCTGCCAGTCGAGAAGACCGTTTCTCAGAATGTGCACGCGGATACGAGGGTCCAAATCTACAGTGGATATATTGCTACATTTCCCCCCTCATACACTTCGTCTGTGAAGCTCACGCTGGCTGACCAGCCAACAGGCAATGGGTTCCATGGGAATTACGAAATTATTGCGGACAGAGTGCAATATGTCTTGATCTCTCTCGATTCGACCGTTGGCGGCAACAACGGCACCGGGGGACTTACTACCAGTACAACAGGATTCGGCTTCTTTGAGTGGACGAAACAAGGCAACGTCAATGCAACTGGAGTCCTGCCCAACACTACCGAGACACAGCTTGATCAGCTTTCCACGCAGCTTGCGACTGCCCTAGGTTCAACAACGAGAACTGCCGTGGTCAATGCCTTGGTCGCAAATTCGGACGGGCAGGTTTTCCTTGGTGGTTTGTTTGGGGTGACCAATGGACCCACCAATGTGGTCGAGTTCAAGGATGCCGCCATTATCCCTTTGTCGAATAATGGCTTGAACGGGGTCGTTAATGGTCTGGCCATTGCGAATAACAGCCTGTTCGTCGGAGGAGCTTTTACAGATGTTGTCAGCGGGAGCGTGGAGGGCATTCGTGGAATCGCCAAATACGATTATGGAAGCAGTTCCTGGGCACCTTTGGGTGGCGGAGTAAACGGTGTCGTTGTTACTTTGGTGGTCGCGAACGGACGCTTAGTACTCACCGGAAATTTCACTGAGGTTTATTCCTCTGTCGATGGATATGGATCCCCAGCCGATGGGCTGGCTATCTGGGACCTGAACGGAGGGGAATGGGTAAAACAAAATGGAGCTTTCATTGGTTCAACTTCCTTGTTCGTGTCGGTCTCTGATGGTTCTTCTTTCATCGCTGGCAACATCGCTGCCGCGAATGAGTTCAGTGCGAGCGGATGGACCCTCATCCAGTCGGGCACAAACGGCCAGCCGTCGTTTACTTCCACTCCTTCCACCCTTGATGATGTTTTTCCTTCCGGAACGAACCCTTCGCCTTCTCACACTCCCGCTGCCCGTCGTTGGAACAAAGCACGGCTTGATACAGGTTTAATCTCCTGGTTATTTCCGCGCCTGAAGGCTGCCGTGCTCCCTCGCCAATCACCCCCAGCACCTGGTGGTTTACCTCCTTTACCCCCTGCGCCCGCGCCCGCGGTCCTTGCTGCAGCATTCTGGACCAATTCATCTTCGAAGCATCAAAATGTCATCCTTGGAGGAAATTTCACATTCGTTGATAACTCCAGGACTCGATACAGCGGCGTCAGCATCTACGATGTGAAGACCCAATTTATTCATGGCCTCCAAGGTGATGCAATTAGTGGTGTCGTGTATTCCCTTCTAGTCCAGGATGATACACTCTTCGTTGGCGGGAACTTGACCGTTGGAAACACGCCTGGCTTCGCTATTTATGATCTCAAGAACAACCAGTGGAGCTCGTTGAGCCTGGTGCTGAAGGGATCGCCTTTCGTCCGTTCAATCACCCTCCGACCGACAGATTCGAACACGGTCATTGTTGCAGGAACGTTTACTGGCGCGGGGTCGACTACCTGTGATGCCATTTGCGCATGGGATGTTATCCACCAACAGTGGAATACTCTGGGCAGCGGTATTCATGGCCAAGTTGCTGCTGTTGATTACTCTGAGGTATTGTCCAATTTTCCATCAATGGGCCAGTGTTAATGTTCATCGTGCAGGGGATTCTCGTTGCGGGGGGATACATAACTCTCAGTGACGGTACAAGTGCGAACGTCGCCAAATATGACTTCTCAAGTTCCACCTGGGCAGCAATCGGATCCGGTCTTCCAGGACCCGTAACAGCCCTCCGTATCAATGATAAAAATCTCAACAGCATATTCGTTGCTGGGAAGTAAGTGCAACTCCTTCCCACCGACTTTTTGTAATGCTCAAACCATTTCTCAGGTCTGCCGATGAAACGTCCTTCCTTGCCTACTGGGATGGTTCTTCATGGAACATTATCGGTAACTTGTTGTATCTTGTTTCATTAGAGAGGTCTCACTCATCAACTGTCCTTAGACGGGGGGCTAGTGCAATCAACGACTGTCTCCCAACTAGATCTAGTTCCGCTCAGAGACCAACATATTGCCAACAACGTACTTGCGCAAGACCGTGCACTCTTAATATCTGGAACCCTCAGCTCTAGCACCTTCGGTAATGTGTCGTCTGCTCTGTTCGATGGCAAGAGCTTCTATCCCTACATCACCTCGATATCGGGTTCCGGGGCCCAGGGCGTCATTGCCGGCTTCTTCCACTCTCTTTCCACATTTTCATCTGCCAGCCGCCGTGAGTGTCCTCATTCATAATAATCATGATGACTTTTATTGACAAATTCCGACAGATGTTCTAGGTGTTGGTGTCGTCATTCTCATCTCCATCGCCATTTCAGCCGGCATCGTCTTCTTCCTTTTACTCGTTGGTATTCTCCTGACACTCTTCTCTCGTGAGTCTACAGCCATAGATCCCAAGGATTGGGATCAGGATGAGAATGAGAGTCTTCGACCTTCGTCGCTCCTTGAGCATGTTAATGCAGCGACACGTAGTGCAATCATTGGGAACGCTGCCCTGGCAGAAACCACTTCTCCTGAGGATGATCGGCGACAAGCTCCGAGTCGAGGCTCGGAGGAGTATGGGACAACAGAGCAGGATCATGATGGATGGAGACGGGCAGAAACTCCAGCAGTGCCTGCAGGCGCTGATTACGATCAAGAAGAGGAGGGCAGACTAGCTCATGTACGGTACTCGTTTGAGGGGCAAGGTGAGGGCGAACTGCCGCTTGAGACAGGTACAGAGCTTTTGGTGCTAGATGACCGTGATGCTGCGTAAGTGCCCACCTCTCTCATTCGTTGTCTTGAACTAATTAAATGTGTTCACAGATGGTGGTATGTTCGTGATGTTGCAACGGGGCGCGAGGGTGTTGTCCCTGCGGCTTATCTATATTAATGTGTAACTCTCGTTATTTTCTTATTTTCTTACTATATTCCCCCCCCTATGTGAAGGCCATTAGCTATCTTGTTCATTTCTACACCTGGCGGCACCCAATCAAACTTTATGGCATTAATCGTCAAGCCGGTGAATTATTATGGTATCTACGTTAATCTTTAAACCGAGGGCGCAGGACGTCCAGAGGCGTCAACTGCATGAGGCTGCTCATTGAAGTAGAGGATCCCTGTAGTACTTATGGTTATTCGCCTTGATCCCAACACGCGTCCTGAATTCCTCCCGTCTCCTCTGATCTCTAAACTCCCTGATATGCTGCCCAGCTTGCCTCGCTCGGCCCCCCTCTCTTGCTTTGAAAGTCATTGTTCCCGTCCCAAAAGCTCCAAAGCCGGCCTTGATCGGGATGAGCGCCGGGTTTTTGTCTGCTATCAACTTTCGGACGAGTGCGGCCCCGGTTTTTGCCTCCGAATAAGAAGCCGTTAGTGGGCTGTGGAAGGACTGCTTGTAGTACCGAGCCATGGCTCGATGGCCTACTCGTGCGCCGGACGGAAGGACTAGTTCGAATGGTGAATCGCCGTATTTAAGTTCGTTTTCTGGAAGTTCTTCCTCTTCATCATACACAGACTCGTCGTCTTGTACGGTGACGTCCTCGTCATCCTCGTCCTCCCACTGATCTGAATCGTCATCATCACCAGGGGTAGATTGTTGTGCAGAGGTTGTAGAAGATTCGGTGTCTCCGGTTGTCGTTCGTCTCCGCAAACCCTTTCCGCGAGATTTGAGATAGGCAACAGGATACGAAGACGAGAAATCGTAGAAATCCGAGAGTTCAAGCTGATCTTCCCGTTTGTCATATGCTACTTTGCAGTGACCCTTAACATTCATGTGTTCCCTGACGGACTCTATCGACCGGAACTCCCGCCCCTTGCTATTGCAATACAAGCAGACATTCCCTACGGCGACTTTCTCGCCAAGGTAAGTGATCAGACCCGGGAGATCGACGAGATATTCGGCGTCAGGGATGAATAGGCCGTGGACGAAAGACATGTGCTGGAGATTGGCTTCGAGCGAAGGAAATTTCGGTGCAGTGCAGAAGATGCACGATGTAAGACCTATTCGAGTTCGGGCAAGTGCAAGCCTTCCTTCCAGAGTTTGTTCTTCGTCACCATCATCACCATCCTCCCCGTGCGCCTTTTTTACTTCTACCTCCCTTCCACTCTTTGTTGTTGGTGGTGATGGGGCAGGAGCCGAGGCAGAGGCTTCGGGAGCAGATGGAACTTCTGAGGCGCTTTCATTGGAGGTCTCAGCAGTCGTAGGAACCTCAGGGTTCGCTTTAGTTTTGAAGGAAGCCTTCGTCTCATTTTCTCGGTGTTTCTTCGATTGTAAATGCGACCGATATGCGTTCTCAGTGCTATATGACTTACTATTCAAACGACACAAGATCAATCAGTATCCCAGTCTCGTCAAGTGAATGAAAAAAATATTATCCTACTTGCAGGTCTCACATGTTGCACCTCTATCAGAAGTGGTGACAGCGGTCTCAAGGCGCTTATCTAAGACCTTTTGGTTGAAAATCTGTACGCTCACAGGAGGCAACGATGCAACACGACGCTAATGAAACTGGAGATGAAGTCTTCAGCTTGGCAGAGAAGGCTATTGGCACGTACTTTCATGTTGTACCGATGGTGATCGCTGCGGTAGTGTTCTCGCTGTTCCTCACCAGTGTGGAATGCGATGAGGCATGACAGGCAGGTAAAAAGTGGTTGAGTAGGAGAGTCCTCCATTATGTGCGAGTTGAACTCAGGATATGACCAGGCAGGGCAGGCGCCAAAGGTGTGATAAAGGGAAGTGGCCAAAGGTCCAACAAGGAAGCTCAGATTCAGAGTCACAGGGAACCACGTGACTATGACTCTGACAAATTTTGACAACTCCTGTGCTTAGTCACATTATTCCCGCTACTTCGTAGCTAGCGGGTCTTGTAAGTTTACACTGAATGGTTAGGGAACTACTTAGTCATGAAACTCCCCAGATCCTTTATTTTTTGTGTATTTATTTCGAGACCCTTACCCTTGGCGCTCTCACGAGCAGCCTATAGTGTGCAGAACTAGGCAGGAATCCAGCCTCTGTGTCAATACTTGTCACAGTCAGAATGACAGCATGCTCCTTTGAACGTCTGTCCCATCTTGATAATCAGCCGTCATTTAGACCATCTCACTTTAACTTGCAAGCAATTCCAATCCTCACTCTTTACCCATGTAGCCTCCGACACACCATGCGACTTGAGTTTGAAAGATCACGCTGTTTCCGAGTTCCACGCGCATTGCACTCAAACACCTATGCCCGATGACCAAAAATGTGCTAACCGTGTGGGTCTAGATCGATGGACTGTGAGCGTCGGTATCCGTGAGTGAGTACTCCGCCGTTTCCTATCTCACCGTTTGTCTCCTCAGCAAATATGTCCAATCTGCGCCGTTATTGATTCAACATGCTGACATCTGTTCACCCCCGCCCCGAACAGCAGAAGTTCATTACGTCGAATGGAGGAAATCTTGTACTACATGACGGTCGGTGCTCTCACAAAATTCCCAAACCCGTCTGCCCTGTCACTTCCACTCGTTACTTGGCTCTGACCACCTCGCTTCCTGGGTTTGCGCTCTATGTGGTGCAGCCAAGTTTGAAGACGCCATGCTCTCCAATCCTGTGGATTTGGACGCCTCGCTACTCGAAGGCCAACATCCCACAAAAGCTCATCCTTTTCCTACCGTTCTTTCCCTGCGGATCGTCAACGTTGTCATTAATTCTTCCCAGGCGTTTGCTAAATTCAACATCACTCCCTTGTAATCTACGAGGGTACACGGACTTTTGGGAGTGAAGAACGCTCGCCCGGCTGAAGACAATGAAACATCGGAAACCGTCCAACAATTATTTAACGATAGTAGAACCTAGTATAATCTGACGGAGAAACTCTCGACAGTGATTTGCGCCATATATATCCTAGCTGATGCCTCTCAGATCTACTTGTGCGTGTGTGAGCCACTGGCAGGAGAACTTTTGGACTGGCGTAACTCTAGTCCTGGCCTGAGTCCCGGCACCCTGCTCTGGTGCTCTCAAAATGTGTAGAACTTTAGACGATTGATTCAAAGCCCGCCACAACGTGCAGGGCTTGGTGTCACACATCAATGATTGCGCCGCCATTCCCATGAGTTGGTTCTCATTGTCGGACGGTTACTAAAAGCCTCATTTCATCCAAAACTTCGTATTAGACAGGGTTGGATCTTCGTACCCTTATAGACCAATGTAGCTCAGCATTTATCTTATTCCGCGCATTCGGCACTTGCAGGAATCTCATGGGCGGTCACGGAGGTCAACAATCGGGAATATGTTACGGTCACTCCCTAAAGCCCTAATTGGAAGCCGGCATCACACGAAGAGTCTGCGTCTTGCAACATTATAATGTGACTTCATGAGTATGCGCGTGTATTTCGGCGGTGCGAGGAAGAACATTACAAATTGGACGCCGCAAATTGGCGCATCGTGAGGAATCGGGGAAGGACCGGTTTGTTACTTGAAGGGTTATAAATTATCCAATGCTCTTGGCCGACACGGAACTGAGGAGAGGATGATGCATAGCTGTCACTCAGCCGCGACCAACCTGGGGATCGAGCCTAGCTGGCAGCTACGTGCATTTGATTTTTTACTCAGTTAGGAGGCGAAGAATCGATCGGTAGCAAGACGGAAGATGGTTAAGAAGATGAAACGAGCCTGCAAGGTAGGGCTGAGTACGACGGAAGAAGGTATGTATTTCTATGAGAACGACAACTAAATGACAATTAAATTTGCGTTTTTGCGTGTAAATGTATGCAGCAATGAAAGGAACGACCGGACTGCGGACAATCGATGGTTCAGGAATTAGCGCATCCAGGAAATCGGGAAGAAAGATTTTTCAGCGTGCTCCTTAAATCGGTTTCTGAAGAGCTGAGTTCGTTCTCTCAGACGGTGCCCTTGACCAACACCGAACTGGGCAGAGCGCGACAGAGCCACCATTCAGCCCCGCAACGATTCAGGGTGAACGCCAGTGTGAGGCCCGATAGCCATGATGTGCATTTCAGGCCCCACTGTATTATTTTTTGTTGTTGTGGGGGTCGGCTGGGAAGGCAGAGGCAAAGGTGTCATGAGGATGAAAAAAGTCTATAAGGGAAAGCTCACTAGTGGATCATCCCCAGATTGGGTTAGAACACTCTGTTAAATGGAGGCATCAGATGTTGACAATTGTGACTACCCGAGAGTAGAACTTACTCCAGCATCTGTCTGGGAGTTTTCCACATCGGATTCTGGGGATTAAGATGAGATAGAGGCGAGTATAAGGTATGAGCCATCCATACCTGCAACTGCCTCTGGGGACGCGAACACTATCGTAGTGATCGTTTCAAGGGAGTTTAACGACCGATTGTGAGAATTTGCATGATTTCCACATGAGGGACCCCGAATAATCATCAGGAGGTATGAGATGTAGTATGTCTGATGATTGGGGTAGCAGTAAGGTATCTCGTGTGGATCAGCACCAGGGTAGGATACTGACTGGTCCGATTATTGTTGTAGCCAAAGCGAAGTCATTTGGCTGGAGAGCCAAGTAACCTGATGGTAAGCCCCAATCAAAGAGCGGCTCGCAAGCACTTACCATGAAAAGGGAGAAGAAGCCCTGGAACAACTGAAGGGTGATGAGAACAAGGAATATCGAAACCTTGGTGTGTCATCAGTGCACGATTCCTTGAATGTATCGGAGTTCCATGTACAGATCGGGCACCCACGATAAAAATGGCCCGTTGCATTTCAGGGCCACCATCCATGTTCCTTGACCATGATTTGAGATGATCATTGGCGTGCAAGAACACGCCAACGTAAAAGGAACATGTAATTGCTGAACACACAACGCCCATGAACGCCCCCACAGCCAGCAGGGTTGACGGCATGAAATCACTAGATTGAGCAGAAGTGAGAAAGTTGTACAACAGCGTTACGATGGCACAAGGACTCACGGGGTTTTCACTCTCAGTACAGCTGCGCACAGGAAAACACCTGAGGAAAGTGCCGAATCAGTGTAAGGCGTCGAAGGCTGATTGTTGACACCTCACCCAGCTGAGCGACAGAGAGCAGTGCCACAAGTGATACACCAAATCGTATGATATCCTGTATATATTTCCTACGGCAAGTGCATGTAAACTTGGAGGTCCTAGCATGAACTTCAACAACATATAGCGAACTCAGGGTGAGAGTTTACCGGAAACCTAGCAATGCTAAAGTTTATGTCCCGTTACTAAAGGGAGGCCGTGGCGTTTCCGGATTACATCACTTACTATACAACGCAAAAGCCGAAACGAACATAGTGCCCAGGATACGGGCTGTAAGATTCTTTCTGGTACAAGGTGGGCTGGGACTTAAGAGTGAGCCTAAATGCACTATTGCATCACAAAGGACTGCTTACAGATATTGAAGGGTGGAATGAGTGTGACGAAGGAGATCCCTTAGATGGATTGAAGAACAGATGAGGAACAGAAACACTCTTCATCCAGAAATCTGCTGCTTACCCCAAGAAATCGACTGGACGGCGGCCAGCCACTTTGCCGCAATGAAAAGTTGAGATTGGATGGGATACATGCCCTGTAGGCGATGAATCCTCCACAAGAGAAAAAAGGACGAGATATAGACTGTGGAGGCTATTATGATGCTGGCTGGAGTGCCTAGCGTTTTCCTGTGAATGTACCGGTTAGATCACCACGTCATTTGAAAGACGTAACTCACAAGGGAGACTCATGTAGGGAGAGCGGATGTTTCAAACGAGCGTGTGGTGGTGACAGGGAACATGTGGAAATTCGAGTTGTTGACGGATACAAATGTTCGGCACAACAGATCCACCTCAATTGTAGAGCATTTTCATCAGCGAACAACACTTCAAATCTGAACGTGTGGTTCTGCTTCTTATCTCTCTCTCACGCACTGATGCTAATGTTAAACCCAATGCCGAATGTGGGCAACGTGTGGCGCGTCCTTAACAATGCGCGTCTTTTCTTGGAATGAAGCCAAAGATGTTGTGGGGCCATTACTTTTCGAAGGAAGACGAGTCAACTGCGGTCATCGCATCCCAGAGCGCCCTTATGATAAAATGCGGCACGGCGCAGCGACCCTACATGCCGAATCAAAAATGCGATAACCTTCGCGCCCACTAGTTTCAGATATGATACCATCCTCCTTTCAGAAGGTGGGCATTCAAAATTCAGCGGTTGCTCGTGGTGTGGTTCGAAGGAGAACGGTGACCAGGAGAGTGCTTATTGCAACGCCAAATGAGGTGAGTCTCTCGTCTGCTGCTCAAGACTTGAATCAGAGCCATCTTGGCCCCAAACCATACCAATGGCATTCAGAGCCCGATCCATAAATCCACACGTGTAAGTTCGGCGCCATCAATTGTCCTTGAGAAGCGAGGGCGACCTGAAGCCAAGATATGTAGATTGTGGTAGATGCATCTCACTTCGTTGAGCTTGCAAAGCCCTATTTTTCGTAGTTTGACAAAAGCAACACATATTCGTGACGACATTGAAATCACCTGGTCTTTCGAACGACCTCCGCAGTAAATGACCCAACGCATAGACGAAAGTTGCCTTATCTCTGGCCTGTCACCATAAAAGGGCTGTACGCCGCATAGGTGTAGCAGGTTGGAGTTTCGAGTGGTTGACTATCCATTCATGTAACACGGGATGAAAATCCATGCGAGAAACACTGCGAGTGCAACTCATGTAAGGGTGTCGACGGGGAACACTGATTGCACATTGTCTATGACTTCCGCCCATTAGTGTGGCGTCCAAGCTGGCTCCACTTAGTCCTTCTCGCTCATAACCCATCAACAGAAGCAAACCACCACTTTACCATAGGTTCACTAATAGCTTCTTCTCCCGTCTTATCGTTCAACTCGCCAAAATCGACTCGACCAATAAATGGAGTTTTTGCGAGTAATAGAGGGAGCCAAATCCTGTCGTCTGCCCACATTTGGTCATAGGGAACCCCAGGAAGAAGGCTTGTTTCGGGTGAGGTGTTGGGTGTAGGTGTTGGGACCGCAGAAGGGTTAGAAGTGGAGGTAGAGGGCGAACTGGAGGATCTGTCGAGGTTTGTGGAAAACCACTCGGGGCGCATTTCCTCGGTTCTAGAGGCGAAATGAGGGGAACATTTGGCCCATCAGTACTTGGCCTTCGCCTTTAAAGAGAGAGTGTAAGTATACAAGACATACTCTGAAGGCGTGCCATCCCACGTGTTCGCGCGAAACACATCGATGTGATGCGCATAGTTTAGAGAGGAAGACTTGAAGAAGAGTATTGCGGCGTGCACTAGCGGTGCTTCGATCACTGCCTCTTCCTGATATCAGCGTGTACGTGTTATCGCATGGAGGAATCTCAGGGAGAGATAAATTTTGACTCGCTTTGAGTTCTCTTTTTGCCGCATCGAGTGGCGACTCGCCAGGCTCTACTTTCCCCCAAACCCATTATACCTGTTGAAAAGTTAGCAGATACGGCGCACAATAGTGATCATGAGCGCGTGGGCCGCAGGCGAAGCAGGTAAAGAAAATGATCCATACATGTTCGCCCCAAAACCTCTTTTCTTAAACCCAAGTAAGATCTATCCAACATTATCGCGAGAAGTACGCGCGGGTGAGGCCCAGTGTGGTTGTCTAGCAAGAGTCCCAATAGGAGACAACTCACTTTCGCGTGTTTTTCATCCCACACGAACGCGTTCGTGTAACGTCTCACCTCATCATACGTATCCCACTCTCGATCGTGTGCACCACCATCTACGATAAGACGGGTGATATTGATCTCCGCAGGTAAACCAGGTGGAACGGTAATGGTGCTGGTGACTGTCATGTCCGTGCACGCAACTGGTGTTGTGTAGATGAACGTGTAGTTGGGCCAGGCGGCTGATCAGCCCATGTCAGGGATTGGTTTCCGAATTGTTATTATGTAAGTAAAACCATCAAATGCAACCAACACCGTGTCATTGCACATGCAGACAACTTGAAGGAGTGCTATCAAAAAGTTGGTAATTTCCTGCGGCTTGGAATAAGCTTGATTCAATACTTGTTCTAGCTCAGCATCAATCCTAAAGTAACGGCAGGTTTATCACCGCCCTTTCACCCATTACCGCGATTCATTTTAACTACCATTGAAAGCACAAGAGTATCACAGGAGATATCGAGGACGCGCTTCTGCCGGGGACCCAGGTGCATCGGTATCCACCCAACCCCAACCCCCCAACATTAGCATTGTGGACATCGCTGTGTACGCTGGATAACGGTTAGCCATATAACTTGACCACTTCACGGCTCCACCAGTGATTCCTGGCTGTCTCAGCATTGGTCGGTCGATTCCTTTCCATGCGATGCCAGCCGGATTCGGCGTGCGAAATTCTTCACGGCTATGAGGACCCAGCCCGCCCTCTGCTGGAAGAATAGGGAACGCCTGGCCGATTCAATCCAGTTGCACTCCGTATGAGCGGATTGCATTCAGCGAGTGAAACCAGCGCATGAACCATTCGTTAGCTTCCAATGCTGGTCGAGAAATTGCCTCAATACTCAGAAGAAGCGACCATCCCATACATATTTTCAGGGACATTATCGCACATCCACGATCCCGGGTAAGATGCGAACGGGGCTGAACATAGGGGCGTTCTGGGTACAATGGGGCATGACGGCGTTCAGATATGACGTGGCTGCAGCAAAAGTTCGTCGCATTCTGGCACGGATTGCCTTTACGTCATACAGTGCTCGAAGGGAATGTGTAGTATCCCGAAACTGACAGCAATGGACCTGACGCGCAGCAGCTTTCGAATCATCATATGAACACATCTTCTCCGTGCTTCCTTGGATCCCTTGGCATGCTTCAACGCGCGGTCAATAAATCGAGTTGAGCCAGATTCAGAGTGATTGCGAATAGCAGTCTTGATTCATCTGCGCACAAATACAAAACAATCATAACACCGCCGATCTCGTGCGGCTACTGTGGGTCTTCATCCCAGTACACGTCATCACGAGCTTAGGTCAGGCGTGGTCAATATTACCACTACTCTACGTAGGGATGAGTGCGATCCCTCGGTCGTCTTGCAGCTATAATGGATACATGTGTGCTTGTTGGAGGTTCGACCCTGCCACCTAGCTATGCGTTTCGATGGGGATATTTGAGATACAGCTAGGATAACAGAAGGACAGGGTTTACGAAAGGGGACGGAGCATCACGTATGACACTAAGCGACCTCTTGGTATGAGTGGTTGCACTGCCAGTCTTGGAAAGCCGGCTCGGTTGGGATGACGGTCATTTGTCGATGCAAAAAATGATAAACACAGGTTTCGAGGTTGATTCCCAACAGCCCATTGGGTTCAACAAGCCATATACAGTCCTGAGAGACCGCATCTCCAAGTGACTTGAGCTCTGACTGGAAATCTCTAGGTGCTATTCGAATGGTGCGGTCCACAGACGCGCCTGGACATTGATGAGAAGTTTCCTCCCCCGCTCTCAATAAACGTCAATAGCAGTGCGTTCGTTGGTGGTTGGTGGTTGGGTTGGGTGGCAGCTGCACATAGAAACCAACCTTGGGCAACGATGTTGGGGAGTATAGAGAAAAGGCGACGAGAATGGACTGTGAGGAGACCTGTCTCTGTCGCCCAAGGCCTCCGAGACATTCCGGTCCCAGCTCACATGATCCAAACACAAGGCTTTCGGTTACCGTTCTCCAGAACGAGAGAGAGGAGCATATGTAACTGGCAGCGATTACAGTTGCAGCCTAATCACCAATGAGAATGACCTGTTTTCATGTTGGCGGTGCTGGAGGGAGTTGCCGCAGCTTTGGCACATGACGCTGGCATAATTTATTGAGGCTGGAGTACCCCTGCCAACAACTATCTTTCCTATACCATCGAGGAAATTCTTGCGTATTGGCCAGCACGACTCTTATTGGCCTAGGACACCCTTTCTTAATCAGAAATGGACAAGACAAAGCTTGCCACGATGTTCAATCTTGACGATGACGAGACTTATCAAGTCAGCTTTCATAAACCTTCGTCGTATTACTTTGGCTCACAAAAAAAACACCCAAAAAATTTACGTCATGACGAAACATCCATGATCTCTCTCGGTTACTTTGGTAGAGTAAACCTCTGGATCAACAAAAGATGTCCCAATACACAGCAACAACTGTGAAGAAGTCGAAACGCGAGAAGGATGCAGAGGCTGCAGAGGTCAAACGAAGAGAGGAAGAAGCGCAAGCAGCCAAGGTATGGAAAAGCACCCATCTCCATGAAGCACATCTTCAACTGAGATGACTTCCACCTCTAGGCGTACGCTGATTTTATTGAGAGCTTTGAAGGGGGGCCGTCGGGATCTTCCAAACGAGGCGCTAATGCTTTCGTTCGTGCATCCGGGAGCGGAGAGAGCTCGGATAAAACATATAAACCATTGATGAAAAGCACAGAGGAACGACCAAATGTCATAATGCCAGCCGATGATGAGGTGGGCCCTGCGTATTAATTCACTGCATGTGCATGAATGCCAACTCCCACCAGCCTATGACGAAGCCCAAACCAAAAGGCAAAAGGGCAATGGATATGTTCCTTGAGGAGATCAAGCGGTCTGAACATTTTTGCGCCTCCCGTTCGTCTCGAATACTGAGCAGATGCACTCACAGTGACCAAGCTGACAGAGAGAGTCGACATCGCCAAAGACCAGGTGAGATTTACTCTAGTGTGATGGTGTGAGTGATCCTTTTTCGCCTAATATGCCACTTAGGCCACAATACCTCCGCAACGGCGATGGCAGGTAAGGACTCATTTGTGTGCATCTCATTCCACTCATTCTCATATGGTTATCAGCATATGAAAATCAACGCGGAAGTCGAGATACAGGGGATCCCGAGGTGACTTGTTTCTCAACACTTGGCTTTTCCTGCGCACCCCTCATTCTCATCTATAGACCACGAATATCTTTGTTGCTAATCTCCCTCCTCATGTCACGGAAGATTCGTTGGGCAACTTTTTTGCCTGTCATGGGCCAATAGGATCTGTGAGTCTTGGTACCAATCTTATTGACGCCAGATCTTTTTAATTTTCCCTCGTATCAATAGGTCAAGGTTATGTGGCCACGAGGAGACGGTACCATGGGTCCGGGGAATGACATTACTTCATCACGGCGGATGAAAAATTCTGGTCTAAACGGTTTCGTTCAGTACATGAAACGAAAAGACGCGGAGGCTTGTGTACGAGAGATGGACGGGTTCGAGTGGGGCGGCTCCATCTTACGCGTTGGCTGGAGTAAAGCCGTTCCACTCGCATCAAGAGCTATATATGGTATGTTCCTAGGACAACTGATTATCAAATGCGCTTCTTGTTTGCGTGAGGAATTTCTCATGATGATGATATTGATAAAGGCACGATACGCTCGCCGAGCCCAGATAGACACCGAAGCAGCCGTCGTTCCCGCTCCCGCTCTCATTCCCGTTCTCGTTCCCGTTCCCGTTCCCGTTCCCGTTCCCGTTCCCGCTCACCGCATCCTCGCTACCGGTCCCGTTCTCCTCGGTGGGACAGAGATAGACATCGTCGTTCTCGATCACGATCTCGTGATAGATATCCTGACCTTGGTCGTCGAGACAGAAACACGCATCGTCATGACGTCTATGATAGGAAGTCATATCGCCGTTCTCGTTCATGGTCGAGATCACCTGGGCGCAGGAGGTGGTCGAGATCCAGGTCAAGATCGTCGAAGTCAGGGTCTCCCAGTCGTGGTATTTCGAGGGACTTGCAAGAGTTCATACAGATGGTGGCCAAGGAGATCAAGGAGAGAGGCCACGAGTATGAGGAAGCGATTCGGGAGAGAGAGAATCGGAATCCAAGATACGCGTTCCTTTGGGATGAAAAGGTGAGTAATTTTGCACAATGTCAATCATCAGTGTTGGTAAGCCTAGATTTTGCAGTCTCCGGAGTATGCATATTTTGTATCACTCACTACCAAGTATATGCCAAAATTTGAGTTTGAGGATGATGTAAGTGTTTTGTTTAGTGATTTCATTGCCAAATTATGTCCTCATTATCCAATTCAGGGGAGCCAATCTGTCTACTCAACCGATTCAGCGGAGGAATCAGAGCAAGAAAGGTCTAGGCGCAAAGGTGTGCTCGGAAAACTTGCTCGTCAGCGGTTTGAGAATATCTTGCGAGCCCAAACTGGAAGGCGAGGAGACATTGCCAGAGCAATGGTATTTTCACTACAACATGCTGAGGCCGCTTCTCAGGTAATCCCCTTTCAACCGTCTTGAATGTAACACATCATTCATTTCCCCCAGATTGCAGATATCATCATTGCTTCTCTCCTTGTCAATGGAACAGCTGTACCACGCAAAGTTGCTCGTCTTCACCTTATTTGTGACATTCTTCACAATTCTGCGGCGCCAGTCTCGGGTGCTTGGAAATACAGACAAGAATTCCAAACTCGACTTCCCGTCGTCTTCGACCATCTCTCTGCCATATATCACTCTTTTCCTGGTCGTATCACGGCTGACACATTCAAGAAGCAGATACTTGCAGTTGTCGAGGTCTGGGAAGACTGGATCGTTTTCCCCCCTGACTTTACCACAGAGCTGAGAATTCGATTGGAAGTGGGTGAGGCAGCGGTGGCCCATATGAAGGAGGCTCAGAAAGTTGTTCAGGCTCAGGAAGATGCGCCAAAGGAAACGGCAAGCAAGTTTAAGACTAGCTCGTTCCAACCAGCTACTGCGGCAAGTGCGGAACCTGCTGTTGCTTCCAATCCAATGGAAGACCTGGATGGAGAGGCTTTGGATGACGTTGACGGTGATCCCGTTGACCTAGACGGTGAGCCTGGAGACATAGACGGTGAGCCAGTTGATTTGGACGGTGAACCTATCAACTTGGATGGAGAGCCTGTTGACGTTGATGGCGAGCCGGTGGACCTGGATGGTACACCACTAGGGGACCAACCAACGACTGGCTCACCCACGGGCTTGAAGTTGAGGGAAACCGCCGAAAGCCGTGACGGAACTCCCATGGACGAGTCTGATTGATTTGTTTGGTTTACCTTACGTGTCTTCCAAAATCTGGGTTGGATTCCATTATTGTCATCCACTTGTAGAAAATGCAATACAATTTAATAAAGATGAAATATATGCATACGAAAGCAATTGAAGATAGTCCCTTTGATGTGAGCGGGTATTCGCGTCATTACTGTTTACCTGTGGTTGTTGACAATCTTCAAGATTGCAGTTTTTGCGTCTAGAACTGACGCCTCGGTCCCTACAAGTGCATCAGAAAGAGCAACACTATGGCACACCACCAGACTTACCAATAATAACAATAGTGTTGTCGTCTCGTCCAACGATGATGTCTGCGCCGATGTCTGCACGAAGACGTGCTATATTCGCCCCCTTTGTGCCAACGATACGGGGGAAAACGGAACGGTCTGCCAAGGTGAGGAAACCAATGTGAGATGCAAGCTTGGCTTGCTCCTTCGCATCTTCGAGCCGCTCTAAAGCTCTGTCCAAACCGTCCTGGTCACGGGCCTTGAAAGTCCACTCAGCCTCGGCCTCATCTGCGCTGCCGAAGTTCGGGGCCAGTTGCCACTCCACGCCATCATCTTCCGTGGTCTCATCGTCGATGCGAGCGATCTTGCCATTTGTGGGTCTCGAACTAGCGTTGGGCTTCTCAGGCACTTGGGAGTGGTCAACAGTGACTCCAATGGAGCGAAGATCACGGAAGAATTGGCCACCTTGACTGATAGCATGATGGTACTTGAGTGGTACGGATACTGTCTTAGTGACGAGTTGGAACTTGTGTGCTCTCTCCTTCAGCTCGGGGGCAGGTTTATCATATGTCTATGGAAATGTTTACATCAGACTGGATCGTGTGAAGGCAACGTATCAACTTACAGCAAGCTCCTCGATTGCCTTTCCGCATGCAGCCGAGGGCCCAATTACTTTGACAACATCAGCAGCATCCACGCTTTCCAGCTCGGACTGGTTTGAGATGTCTCCTGCTGAGTGATAGGACCTTGAACCAGGAAATTGAATAGTCACTCCGTGTCTGGCCTGAATATCGTTAAGATTCTGACCGCCGCGTCCAATGATTGTACGATGCACAGAAGCGGGAACAACAGCTCCAAGAACAACGCGGTCACGAAGGTCCGCAGTAATTTGCTCCAGGGCAGCCTGAATCTTGGCGACCAATGCTTTCGGCCCGCGTAATCGAACTTCATCAGCAGGTTCATTCTGACGAGGGCTATGAAAGGCTCAAGGTCGTGTCATCGCGAGGGCAATTCAGTATGAGCTTACAAATGAACAAGTCCTGCTTGAGCGCGAGACTCCGAGGGACCACCAGCTCGGACAATGGTATCACGCAAATTCTGACCACCGGGTCCAATGATGTTGCGGTGGTACCTTGACTCAATATTGATTGTAGTGGTGATTTCATCCGAAACCTCGTTGGCGATGGCCAGGATAGCTTCTTTCGCAGCCACGACTGCTTCCTTCGATCCTCGAGCAGTGACCAGAGTTTCATTTCCTTCAGCCTTTTCGACATCCACCTGGGCGCCAGTGTCGTCCTTGATCAAGTTGATTTGAGCACCCCCTTTACCAAGGATTCGAGAGACAGCCTTAGTTGGAACAGTGAACGATAGAGTTTGATTCTGGTCTTTCTCGTACTCAACAGCCTGGTATAATAAATCAGAAACAGGCGTCGACACATCCTGTGATAAGCTTACCTCCATGATCTCGGCTTTGGCACTGGCTACGCCCTTCTTTCCACCCCTCAAGAGAACTTCATCGAGTCTCAAATTCTCGCGAGGTCGGGCAGCCTTCGCCTCATCAGAGCCACCATCCTCGTTATCCCTTGACTCCCGAGGGAACATTATCTTAACCGAATGCTTTTCCTCCAAGCGGAGAACATATTTGCCGCTAGCTGCTGGGGATCTCAAATGACATCAAGATCTGATTTCGTGATTACTCACGTCCTATTAGTCCTGCGTGGATGAAACGGGGGATCTTTAATATCTCGGTAGTCTCGTCGGCCTTCGAGAGCAAGAGATTGGAATGAAATCGACTTAATAGCCTGAGTACCATGGGCTTACGAGCTTCTCAACTTGATTAAGAATTCGCTTCTTGGCTTCTTCGGCGTTCTCCTTGCGACCAACGATCTATAGAAGTGTCATTGAGTTGTAAAGGGATGGTGGAAGAAAATTCAGCGCTGACTTTGACATGGCACTTGGCAATAGGCTTCTTCTTTTTCGATTTGCTGTCCGTCTCCTCTTCGTTATCGTCTGAGAAGTCAAGAGAAATGCCAAGCATCTCACGAAGCTTGTTTGCGAGGGCACCTCCAGTGCCAACGATACGCCCAAGATATTCCCGAGGGAAGTCAAATTCGAGGGTCTGACACCATTGAGAATGCAGTCCCTGATGAAAGGACAATCACATACATAACCATTGTCAATCTCATCCTGCTCTGCCTTCTGGACGATCTCGCGAATCTCACGAATGGCCCGGTCAACCTCCGAGGAAGGTCCGCGGATCTGGATGTCGTCTTGTCCCAAGGGAGTAGCATCGGGACTGGGCCTTACCTGAGCACCAACCTTGATGGAAAGAATCTTCTCTTCCCCGATAACGCTGTACAGAGGGCGCGAGAATGACGATTTTGCAGCATGTATCAAGTCAATACTTACGCGTTGAGTGTAGTGCCGTTCTTTCCAATTATCACAGAGTGCCACTTTTGCTCAACCTGAATCGTCTCGCTCTTGACGTCTGAATAATCAGCCACCAGCTTGAGCACTTCCTTCTGTACATCATCAAGATGGCCCTGCTTCTGAGTCGTGGTAGGCGCCGCGGGTGAAAGCGTCAGAGGATCATGAACCAGCAATACTTTGGATAACTCGGAAGACTCTGATGGAAAGAACAAGAGAACATTGTGCTGCTCTTGGAATTGCTTGATTCTGCATCGCACCTCGTCATGAATACGCGACATCCAATATAGAGAAAAAACGCACTTCATGCCGTTCTTCCCAATTAGCGTCCTGTGGACTAGCCAATCGATGTCAACTTCACGTAGGGCGCCTTCGAGCTTGTGAATGAGCTCATTCAGGTCATTAACAACTGTGTCCACTTCAGCCTTGTCGCCAAAAAAGTCGATATTCACGCTGTTCGTCTTTTGAGCTAGGGCAGTGGATGTGACGTAGACAGAGACATCAGGGTGAGAAGATGACAAATTCTTGAGATACGCGGACCGAGTGAGATACGTCTGCACTTGACTTGCATGGGAAATCGGACCTGGGAGGACAACCCCACTGGAATACTTCGAACGAGCCGTCTCGTATACTGTACCAAGAGCCAATGGTATGTCGTCAGACTTGCCCCACACAGTCACAGAATCACCGGGCTCATCAAACGGGGTGGGAATAACGGCACAGTGTGTCTTGCTCATGAGCTCCTGTGCGCCGACACCAACCAGGAGGCGATGTTGACGCTTAGGAATTGAGAGGAGAACATTTTCAAGTGACTGATCCCAACCATTGACGTCCTCTTTGACCTTTGCGATGGTGCGTACAACAGCCTCGCGTTCGCCACTAACAATAACTTCACGAAGAGGCTGGTTCACGGTGACGGTGATCTCATCATGTTGATAGTCCGAAAGTCTAGCCACAACGAAGGGAACAATGTGAACGGGCACATCGCGAACACGCTGCGTAGACTTAGACTTCTTTGTCGCGATGATTGCGGTGATCTCAGAACGGACTTCCTCTGCCAATGGGCCGGGGCCCGTTATTGTGATGCGGAGTGTCGGCTCCTCATCGTCAAGAGCAGCGACGGACGCGTCCACCTGAGTAGGATCGCGACGAGGAATGTCCACTTTAACAGAATGACCCGTATCCTCACGAATTTTGTTCAGCGTAGCGCCTATTATCCTGCCACTATGAGAAAAAGTGATGCAAACCCGAAGGAATGTGATGAGTGACCTTTAGGACCAATAATTGTACCAATAGTAGAAAGGGGTGCTTCTATAATGAGCGTGACCTATGGGAAGCTATGATGGGCAACTGTATGCTTTGAGGATGAACTTTGGGACATACATGGGGACTGAGGGAGGCTGTGATTTGCTTTGTGGCAGTTTCGACTGCGAGCTCTGATTCGCCCTTAACATGGAACGTCGTAGCACCAGTAGTTCTCTGGCTGGAAGCCTCAATCTTCGTTTTTGTCTTAGCCATAACCTCTTTCACGACAACTCCGAGTGTAGTTGGTTTTCCAGCAGTGCCAATACGTGAGAGATCAACCCGAGGAAGAGTAATGAGACTCGCGAAGACAGGGACGTGGATAACAGGAAGCCGTTTGATTCCCCCAGTACCTGATGCCCATTGGGACGCGGGGGCTTTTTGAGTTCTGGCAGCAGACGGTGCAGGCACAAGAGACGGAAATGAAATTTCCGATTGGTCCAGCAGTTCACCATTCACCTGAACGGGTTGTTTGAGCTTCCTGGTTTGTTCAGGCTCGTTGAGACTGGGGAACGGATCAGGCGCGCCTAAAATGGAGATGAGCGACCTTACAATGGAAAACAAACTTCTCGGACAGACCTTCCAGTGCGTGCCGTTTCTGTAATTCTGCGGCACTGAGGGAAGCCATGACTGGACGAATGTACCGGTTGCCGAGTTAGAACTGAAGACCTGGGGTCTGTGGAATGCTGCCACACAATTTTTAGAGAAGTACGTGGCGAGAAACACTTCAAACTAAGTTTTGGTCCCGTTCAGCCCACGTGACCAACGTCACTTCAATGATGGGATTCGCTTCTGATATTGCTCTGCACCTTAATATTGCGCATCCCACTCCGATGACCACCACCCGTGTTCACGCTCCCTGTATCGTGCACCCTCCTCCTTGTTTTATCATGGCATCCTCGCACCGCCCCATTTGATACTTGACACTCATTCATACCGACCCACAACCGCCTCCCAGGCTCCCACTATCCTTCACTTGTGGTACGGCATGTGCATATGCCGATGGGCACGGTTGATCTAAATGAATTCATCTAATCCATCCATTCGAGTATTGTCTCGATGCCCTGTGAGGACAAACCCAAGCATGAGCATGAAAGGCCAGAGATGCGCAGTATTTTGTCTCCGGCAGGTTGCTTTGTTCTCCGTGTCCAAGCACCGGCGTCGGATAGGCCAATGATGGCAACTAATTAAAGCAGACAGCAACTCGAGCTCACGTTCACAATATCGCTAGGCGGGGTAGGATAGGGAATCTTGGGAAATTAGCAGAAATGAAAACAGTTTCCCTGCAAATTGAAATGTCCCTCTGTTATTCCATTATATATTAATCATAAAAGTGAACCTAATGGTTCGCCGCAGCCTGACGGTTGGTCGATTGCAGTGTGTTTGTCGCGGAATACTCGACTCGAACAGATAAAAATAAACTCAGACCTAATCCACGGCCGGCACTGGTAGTCCATAAGCAGGACGATGGTGGAGCTGAAGACTCGGCTTGGGCGCACGATATTTCTCCACTGAACGCAGTCACCCACGTCATCTTCTCACGCTGTATAACCATTCTGCTCGATCCTTGTCTGTTTCAAATGCCTCACTATGCCGAGCCGACATTCGCTCATATTCTCCCCCCTAGCTGGAAGGAACAAGTGATTGGCTGGCTAAAGGAGGATACTCCTTCCTTTGATTGGGGTGGTTACGTCGTTGGGGAGGTGCATCGTGAAGCCTACCTGTTTGGCAAGGGTAAAATACCAGCCGTGCTAGCGGGAGTACCCTTTTGCGATGAGGTATTTCGATACCTTGGGTGTCAGTACGTAGTGGCACCTGTTTCCCCTCACAAGCAGGTGCTGAATGCTAAGTAGTGTAGAATGGCATATGTGTGAAGGGGACATCTTCGAGCCGATCAAACACGTCGCCACAGTCAGCGGACCTGCGCGTCAGTTATTGTTAGGAGAGCGTGTCGCTCTGAACCTTCTTGCAAGGTGTAGCGGCATTGCCACCAAGTACGTCTACGAGACCTGAGAGCTCCTGCGGAAACAGACTTCGGCGTAGATCCCGGCGGTTCAAGGCTATTGCAGATGAGAACGGTTTCAGAGGGATCATTGCGGGCACGAGAAAAACTACACCAGGTACCGTAACCTTTTCCTGGTGTTCAATTATGTGCTAATATTTGCCTAGGCTTCCGTTTGATCGAGAAGTATGGTATGCTTGTTGGCGGGATTGATGGTCATCGCACAGACCTTTCGAGTATGGTCATGCTCAAAGATAATCACATATGGTCCTCCGGATCTATCACTAGGGCCATTCAGCAGACTCGACGCGTTTCAGGCTTCTCTGTCCTCATCGATGTCGAGGTACAGTCAGAGCAAGAAGCGGACGAAGCTATTGAGCCGGAGCCGATATAGTCATGCTAGACAACATGGAGGGCCGGGAGTTACTCGATGTAGCACAAGGACTCAAGGAGCGATGGTCGGGGAAACGGAAGTTTTTACTAGAGACCAGTGGTGGGATCGAGGAAAGCAACCTCCGATCCAGGGCTGTGAATCGTGAGTTTAATTTAACCAAAATTCTATTGGGTGCTCTCTGACGTTACCGAGCAGCCATTGACATCCTGAGCACAAGTGCCGTACATCAGACTGTGCAACACATAGATTTTAGTCTGAAAATTCAGATCCCAAAACCTATCGTAGAACGAGCATAGTGGGTTCCAAGAGCTAATTAGCTGCAAACACAGTGGGTCTATGATTGTATGCCAAACAAGTTCAACGCATTGGATCCTTTCACTCCATCCTTCTCAGCATCGCTCCACGAACCTACATCATCAATGGCTTTGAGATTTTCTACGACACTCATCCATTTTTCCATGCCTTTCTCCGCGTCAATCGGCGGGAAAAATGGATGATCGGTGCCAAACATCATGTGAGAGGACCCAACAAGACTTTCGGACGAATGGGTATCATATCTGACAGCACGACTGACGGTCGATGACACAAAATCGAGCTCTTCGGAACCACTAAAGAGGAAAATGACTTGCATCAGCATACAGGGAGCGGTGGGAACTAGACAATTACGCACTAAGCCACGGCGTCGAAATAAAGTTTTCCGAGATACCAGCGCGCATCGTGTTTCAGGCGCGAGGCCACAACAGGATCATGCACAATGCAAGATGCCAAACGAGAGGAAAGCTGAGGCAATGCGCCTCCAGAGTGTGCCAGCAGCAACTTGAGTTCGGGATGGCGATCGAACACCCCTGCCAAAATGAGTCTAGTCGTAGCTACGGTGGTCTCGAATGGGAATCCGAGGGCTAAGGGAAGGACATGCCCATTGTCTTTCTCGCCCCAGACACCCGGACCAACGCCGTAGTGGGGATGGAGGAAAATCACGACACGCTTCTCTGCGACACGAGCCCATATTGGTTCCAGTTCCGCTGAATAAAAAAAGCCTCTAATGGAAAAGGTATCATAAGCTTATACTTATGATGCTGACCGTCATCGAGACCTTTCCCCAAACCACGAGTCCCCATAATTAGACCGCGCAAGTGGGGAAGTGCTGCTATCCTGTCGATCTCGTCGAGCACGCTTTCCGTGCTAACGCGAGGCACTAATGGGAGCAAGCCCAGCCCATAAAGGCGCTTGAGAGTTGCAGAGCCACTTAAGCTTAAGTTTGGCCCCGTAGCACAGTAGTCATCCAAATCTTCGTTGAGAGCCTGAGCCATTGAAGTTGCCTCGCTCGGCGAAAGGAAGTCCAGCCATGGATTTGCCGTGGACACCTTTTGAGAAGTTACATTTTGGTGAGAGAAGGTAAAGTACTCTACCCACAACTGATATATCGATGTTGTGCTTGTCCATGAAAGCCAGTTTCTGGTCTCGATCCCAATACTGTGGTCCAACGGGCCGTCCCCCACTAAAAATTGTCATTTCAAGGCCAGGATGAATCCACTTTGAAACGCCCATGCCTAGGCTCGTTCTCCAATATGACCAAACGATCACCATCCGACCTCGATTTTATTAGAGGAACTGCGGTTCGTTGCCTCAGGAGGGAGGCATATCTTGGCAGGTACAGGTGAGTGTGCACGTCCACAAGCAATGCACGGGAAGCCATGAGCCGGCCAGCAGTTCCCAAGATTCTCTCGGGCTCGAGGAGATGGATCAGAACACCAATATTAATTCCTTATTCCTTGCACACGAATCACGGGGTTTACATTGTTTGTCGGCTCGACAAAAATAAGCCAAGCTCTGCTCTGCAGACGCGCTCCTTCACCACATGTCGGGTTTCTCAGAAGAGGTTCATTTACGCAACAAAGTCTCTCGGGCTTTTGGTTCGGCCCGCAATGCTTCCCCAGAAAAGGTGAAGTCAAAGGTGAAACGTCATTTGCGCGCTTACCAACACAACTTCCAAGAGACGAGAAGTATCTGGCGAGCTGCTCAAATGTCTCCAATCGAACTATCAGAGCGTCAGGACTGCGGCATCTAGACAACTCGCACTTCTCTTTAAACATATGGGAGAAATGCAAGAGCAGGCAATTGACACCATCCTCGACTTGTGCGAGGATCCAGAAACCTCTGTGAATGTCCAAATTTCTGTGGTGAGCGACACGCTCATTAACCGCTTGGCCCCTCTCTAGGTACGAATGATTGGCTATAAACTGCTGATGGATACGGCTAGGCGCGAGCCAGCCTGGGCACCTCGGAACACAGACGTTCTTGTTCAATTGTTGCAAAACGAGGATCCTTTGGAGCTGCAGACTATCCAGAACTCCCTTTTTGAGATAATTAAGGACCTCCCTGCCAAATCTCTGCCCATCCTAGTCGAATATCTTGTTGGAGATGGTGCAGAACACACGACAGAACTGCGAGATCACGTCATCACGTTCTTGACGGGCAGATCAAGTCATGAGATCATCCCAATATTGCTTCAGGATGGTGCAGGCGCTCAACTAATCGAAGGCCTTGTCAAGGTACTTCCGCCTCTACGATTCAAATTTGACCGCGATTCATCCTCTTCACCAGGTCTTGAGCGGCGCTTCAGCTACTAATGCGCAGTTAATTGTCGACAAGCTGCTGCATCCCTTTTTCAGAGAGCGCCCGCATCCCAAGTTGGCACACAATGCCGTCCGGTCTATCTTGCACAACGTCGAAAGCCCCCGCAGGAACTCTGACGGAGAGGTCCAACAATTGGATGGGGACCAGCTCGTTATGTTGTACGAACTCGCAGGCCTTCTCGCATGTCAGTGTGAAAGCATCACCCCCGCCGTCGAAATTATCGTATCTGCAGACCCAGTTTTTCCTCGACTCCCCAAACTGCAGCCGGATGTGCAGATAACATTCATTATGGTGATGCTCAATCTCTTCAAGAGCCGACTGTCAAGCCCCGACGGTGCCAATCTTTCAGAAGCTTTAGCCGCTCGCACGGTCATGACTAATTGGCTTAGCGATATATCAAAAGTTGGTGTTGTCTGATCTCATTTTAGTGCCAATTTAGATAGTGCACTCAGTATTCGTGGACGGAAAACTAAGTATCATTTATGACAATCAAAGACTCTCATCCAGGCTTCGGGACGTGATCCGGAGGCGCCAAGACACTTATCATACTATCTGAAAGATGTGGTTAAACCCCAGGTTAGTTGGCTCGGTGCTTATCCTCATTGTTTCCTTCCTGATCCCTTTGTGGCAGTTGGATCGCGATGCCAGACTTCGCGAGAGGAAGCAATCAGTTATAAAAGAAGTTAGGCTGGCTCTGGAGAGACTCGATGAGCAATCATTTGCCAGCCTCATCGCCGAATTGAAGGTAAGGCCCTCCCTGGACCGTACGGAAATTACCTGATGATGCACCCACGTCAGAAAGTGGAGATTGCTCCTGTCAAGATTAATCGTACTCCCCTGTAGGACCCGCGAAAAGGGGCAATGCACCGGCGGAAGCCACACCATCTCAGCCAACCCCTCCGATTGGACCTTTCAATAAACGAAAAGCGGATTCGCTAGTTTCGACGCCAGCTGCTTCCCCCGCACCTTCCCTTATCTCGAGATTGAATATCAATGAGCCTGCAGTTTCGGACGGCGAATCTCCGGAGGTTTCGAGAGAGACCAAACGACCGAGAACGGATTCATTGCTTAGTCGACTAGGTGACAAACTCACACCATCTCCCAAGCCCACTCCAACCATACCAGTGAATTCTTCCCATCCTCTGCCGCCCCGTCCTTCCCCATCCGTTCTAGCCAAATCTAAGACAACTGAGATCCAGATGCACAATAATGGAACTGCCGCAGTGTTCCATCCAGAAGGACTCCGCATGCGAGGAGCCGCTAGTACGACGTCCCAATCACAATCTGCTCCCGCCTTCCCTGATACTCCCGCATCTACCGCAGTCGCCCCTTCTTTGTCTTTTCTTGGAGCCGCGAAGAAGCTTCAAGCAGCAGGTATCGAGAAGCCTCCTCCAGCCATGCTCACGCGATTACAACAATCTTCCCAATCTACAGCCAAAAAGGCAGGGAATGCTGCACAAGGAAAACTGACACCCCCTTCCTTGTTGACACGGACCCAGACAGCTCCAGCATCCGCATCCGTAGTGTCGCTGATGGCTAGACTGCAGTCACAGGAGGTGCACAAATCCCTTGCTGACAGAATTTCTCCTCTGCGACCAAACGGAGCTGGCGTTGGCAGTGCGGAAGCGGGAAACAGGGAATAAGTCCAATCTATCACCATCGCCCTGGACCAAATCCTCCCTTGTGAATAAGCCAAGTTGTGTATTGCTCGTCTTCCTTGTTCCCTTGTATCAAAGCAATGATATTTCCACTGTACATCTGTGCAACCTCATCCTTGAGCTGATTTCGGAGCCGGGGATTGCAGTTTTAAGTCCGACCGTAACTCCGTAATTCATTAGCCTTTGGTGGACCTTGTGCCCTGAATGGCACAGCAGCCTCTGTCGATAGCAAATGTAATGCACAGCACGTCTACTGACAACTCTCCGAGCCGTGGTATAGCGTCAATTCCCTCATTGCTCCGCGGTGCTGGGTTACCTAGCAGCGTGCCTTCTACCCCAAATCGCGAGTGGACTATTTTCGAGGATGTATTCCTCCAAAACCAAACGGAATCCGGCCTTCAGCGATCGCCTACGGCAGCGTCTTCTCTGTCCAGAACGTCGAGAGGTTTGCGCCAACGAGCTTCTATCTTCAGTAGTCAATACCTTGAGCATGGGGGTGCAAGGCTCATCACCGCAGAGCCGTCCGAAATGCCTGAACGCGACTCCGAGGAACGTCTCTCAACCATCACGACGAGTACCAATAACATTGTACGCGCAGCTTCACCTGACAGTGCGCGGTCCATTGTTTCAGCACAAAAATGGCTGAGTGTTCCGCAACTGTCAACTCTACAAAAGGATATTATTAAGTGCGCCACAGCGTATCTTATTGGGTCACTTTTCACCTTCGTACCATATTTTGCCTCACTGATATCAGACATGGTTCCCAATCATGGTTCAACGGGGCCGAGTCCTGCTGGACATATGGTTGCTACAGGTATGCAGGTGGGATACCTCCCACAACTACTCTCACAAATGCTCGTAGTCACTGTCTACTTCAACCCTGCCAAAACCTTGGGTGCGATGCAAGAGGCAGATGTATATTGCCTTATTGCTGCATTGTTCTCCGCGTTTGTTGCGCTTGGATCTATGGACACGTTCTGGTTCTTTGAGATCAAACCGGGATGGGAATGGTTAGCTGATGCCCTCACATTCATGTGGATTGCTGCTGCAATGTCTATTGTTGCCTGGGTCAAAGTATGTGTCACTATGGCGGTCACAATATCCATACGAACCGACCTTTTTATCCAGCAATGGATGAACAAACCATCATTTTCACCCGGTTCGTATTCTGCCTTAAATACCAACGAGGTTGCTCTTCCGAACCGGGATTCCCAGCTGCATCGATGGCTTCAATAATTATATTCATCACGTAAGTGATTAGAGCCTTGGCTGAGAGACCTGGAAGGACATCTGTGCTCCTAGAGTGGTCAAAGAAGGGGGACTGCACATCCTATTGCAAGTTTCGTTTATTGTGCTGATAGGTGAGCCAGTCCCAATTATGCTAGCCGACCAGCGTTCATGATTCTTTTTTAGGTTCAATAATTTCAAACCTTGTCTGCATACTTATTTGGGTAAGCCTACTGCCGTTAGACTACATCTGTATATCTTGATTCGTCTGATAGCCCCGAAGTGCAACAACCGCATTGCAGTAAGTGCAATGTTACATTATGATATTTCTGTTCGCTCACTATACGCTAAAGACGAGATATGTGTCGATCACTCAACTCATTCGCCACACTCCTGCAGATCTTAACGATGGCCTTTTTGCTGGAAGAAGATCTCCATTCGAACTCAGAAACTTTACTCCAAGCAATCAGGGATCACCAAGCCTCATTTACATCTCTGAAGAAGAGCCGGGATGAAGCTAAGTCAGAATGGTGGAATCCCCGGATACAGCGCCCTTCCGATGCCTATGATGCTGCTGTGGACAGTATGACTCGTCTTGCGCAGCATATAAGTGGGCTTCGTTCGGGGTTGCGCCTCGAAGTCGAAATGTCACTAGCTAGACATGAACTCACAGGCTTGTCAAACGTCGACCCCGATACACAGAACGCGGTAGTGGAGAAGGAGTTTGCGCAATTGGTCGACGAACTTGGGCCGCCTATGAGCGCGCTTGCTGTGAGTTTGCGCCTTTCGCAACGAAGGTTCATTCTCGCTAAAGGAATTGAATTTAGTCAACTTGCGTCCGAATACTCACAACATTGCGAGAATCGTTTACCGCTCACATCGCTTCTTTGGCCACTCCACCGAGGGCGGAGCTGCATCATGACTATGATGAATTGTCCTCGGAAATAGGCCGGGCCTTATTCACCGTTGAACGAACATCCAACTACGCATTAGCTCGTCTGTTTGAAAGAGAGCGCAACAAATCTGTAGGCGGAAGTCGGGTCACTGAACAGGACCCCATGTTTCTCTTTTATTTGTGGGCCATCCCAACTAGCGGTGATGCGGCCGAAATACAGCTGACCACTTCACCCACTTGCAGCTTCTTGTTCACGTTGCAAGAGTTCGCCCGTGAACTGCAAGTCCTGACAGAAGCCATGGGTATCATCCACCAAATTGAGCACTCTGCCATTGGCTGGACAGGCTGGTTTATCTCATGGTTACCTCGTGGTTCCAAGGTGAAGCTACAACAGCGAGCGTTGAGGAATGCCTCTTCACGTCCATCCCTTAAAAATCGACTCTGTGAGCTCTTTCTGTTTGCATTATAGAGTCTCGCTGGCTAATCAGATCACCATGCTTTTGAATAGCAAATTATGGGCCAAACAAGAATGCACCAAAGGCGTCTAAGCTTTTCCCACCGGTCAAGCCCCATGCACCGAATACTATACTTCGACCATCACATCTGTCCCTTCCGATGTGGGGCAGGGTCAAACAGACGATATGGTCTTTTTTTCAGCGCTTACGAGAGCCTGACACCGTATATGCCATTAAGACTGGGACCGGGACAGCCATTCTCGCGCTTCCAGCATTCATAGATTCCACAAGGCCTTGGTTCCTGGAGTATCGTGGTGAATGGGCTTTGATATCTTTCTTTGTCGGTGCGCCATGCTTCATATCCGGTTTAACATCGATTTGTCATGTCTTCTATATCCTAAGTTATGTCCAAGACAATTGGGGCGGTGGGTATGATTTGGTGGGACCCATAATCTAAGGTGTTAACTCGGATTTGTCAGACGAACGTCATGGGTCTGCATCGAATACTCGGGACATTGTGCGTGACTGGTTCCTCTCACCTGGGTCACACAGAGACTGAATTTTTATAGCGTCGGAGCTGTGGCAGCGTTAGTATTGCTTGTTGCTGGGCTTAGATTGGGTGTTGATGAGCATATACAGAGGCACCATCTCGACCCTGTTTCCAGAAAAGCCCATCTTACTTGCAGCCTTCGGTTTTTTCTTCTCGATGCCTTGCTTCTATGTAATCATCACCATGCCACCATACGCCACAAGTGGCCGGTTCGTTCTCCTTGCGTATAATCTCACCACTCTTTTTTGGTAAGTGGCACAGTTCTTTCATTCGATCCCAGGGCGCATTGATGAAGCAGGTGATGTGCACTCCAGTTACAATCTCCGCTTCGAAGACCAAGCGGTTTGGCAAATTGCGCTCTACCGGTCATGTGCTGTAACCATAGGCGTTGTGTGGGCGTTAATTGTGAGTAGGTGGTGGTGGCCTTCCGAAGCTCGTCGAGAGCTTACGAATGGACTCTCAGAGTATGTCTTATCTTGTCGGATAACTTCGCTCATTTATTCTTTGGGTCGATCGGTGCATGTATGCAGATTTTGCCTAAACATTGGATGGCTATATACAGCACTCGTAAAGATGAACTCACAGAGTGGCGAGATACCAGATCCCCATGCCCACCAGCGTATTGGATCGGAAGACGTTGAAGATGTGCAACTTCTGCCCACTATCCACGCATCGGAGGCCTTATTCATGGAAATGTAAGTCCTGCTCTATTTCAGCATTCCACCTGGCTGTTTGGCGCAGGGGACGACTTGATAACACTCCTTGCGGATTTCATTCTGTCAGGGAGTTACACCTGCAGCTAAAGCTTCTGGAACTGCAAGGCCTGCTAGTCCAAGCAGGAAATGAGCCGCGGTTGAAGGGGCCATTTCCTGTCACTTTCTATAGGAATATTTTGACGAGTCTGCAAAACATACTGGATAAATTGCACAGCATGCGATGTGGTAAGGTTTGCAGTCGGAGAATTATACTTAATTGATAAACTGATGACCATGGTGTGCAGTGGTGTTCAGGAATGAGTGGTGAGTACAAGAAGTAGTGGTATCGCGGCCAAGCATGATATTAATTAATGCTTCCAACGTCGTACTCAGGAGATCTGTAAGTTGATATTGGGTCGGCCACTGGGGTTTATCTAAATTCCCCCTAGCATGAGACGAATTTCATCAGGGCAGTCAACAAGGAGCGCCGCGAAATGGTGGGTCATATGCCTCAATCCAGCTGAGATCCTCTGACGTGGATCGCTGTCTCACCTGTCAGGTCGGCAATGTTATCTTATACTGCTCTGTACTTTCAGCGGCTTTCGGTTCAAAGTCGCCTTTATCACCTTACCTCCCACCAGCTGAGCAGGCCCGACAAAGACTCGTCGATGCATTGCGACGCTTCGATATGACCGAGAGTATGGAAGGACACGAGTCCAGACAATTGTTATACGTGGCGTATGCGCTAATGATGAGTGAGTCATGCCTGTTTCCTCTGAGCTTCTGCCGTCCTGCCTTTCTGGCGTGAAAGTCAGGGGGCTTGGTGAGCAGGATTTTGGTTTCATGGGACTGAGAGGTGTTTCTGCTACAGAGGGTGTGATTTCCGAATTGGATTCTGTGGGGCATTCATTGCAAGAAGCGTTTGGTGTAGTTGGGTATCATGGACCGCAAGACTTCGATAGCATTTTCGAGACTGATGGTACCGGCAGCGACACCAGTTCGCCACGGGTTTAGCAGAGGCGATTGCCTGAGCTTGTTGAATTATAATTTCACTTACCCTCTCCTGTGCTGGGACTGTGCACGTTCCGTTCCCGATATACAAGTGGACTACTCAATAGTGCCTAACGCAGGACTACGCTTCATCACAGTCGTCCCTATTGTGTATCCTTATTTGTGTCGAGTTAATCAAGTTATTTGCTGCCGATCAATTCATTCCCTTCTTGGTTCGTAACTCTTGTCTCGAGCAACAAGTCAGTCCGTTTCCAGCTGGGTTATTCCTCTTGTTCCGTCCTTCCACCCCCCAGCTGTATCCTACCCTTCCACTCCCCATTCTATCCGTTCCCTCCGACGTATACTACGTGTTAGCAAGCAATGGGATGCACTCAGTCTACTGCCATTGATGAGGCCGCCAAAGCCCGTATGTCTTAACTGTCGCCCTTTGTTTGCTAAAAATGATCCAAGTTCGCCGGGCGTTTCGAACGTCGCCCCCCGCCATTGCAGGCAATGACGAGATCGAGAACCAGCTTAGGAAGGACCGGGCAGAAGCCCGCAACGAGATAAAGATGCTCCTTCTGGGCGCTGGTGAATCTGGCAAGGTGCGTGCCAGAAACTTTTTCTGCAGTTAGACCTGGGCTAAGGTGTCAATGGAATCTAGTCAACGGTCCTTAAGCAAATGAAGCTCATACACCATGGCGGTTATAACGACCAAGAAAGGGAATCTTACAAAGAGATTATCGTCAGTGTCTACGCCAAGCTTCTTGAACCTTGCTTATTTCCTCATCGTCCACGCGCCCTCGAATATTCAACACTCAGTTCTCGAATACCATTCAGTCTATGCGTGCTATCCTTGAAGCGCTCCCTCTACTCGGCATAAATATTCAGCCTGCTAATGATGGTCGTCGCGCAATCATCATGTCTTTGCCTGGACAGATCGAAGGCGACACCCTCCACCCTCACATCAGTGATGCTGTGAGGGGGTTGTGGAATGATCCCAATATCAGGGAAGCCGTAAGGAGAGCAAGGGAATTTCAGCTGAACGATTCTGCTGTATAGTGAGTTTTTGACCCCTTACCTTTTTGTTCGTTCCCTTTGTGTGCCCCTTCTCGCTAGTTACAGAAGGCACCTTTACATCCCACCGTTGAGAGGGTTCTCAGGGATTGATCCTTTCTTCTCCTTCCGTCTTACTTCGGACTCAATTGGCTGATCCTATCTCCGCCCCAATTCCGGCTTGTATCCTTTCGACGAATGCACTGCAGCTATTTTAATGCCATCGACCGTATGTCGGCCCCTGGTTACCTCCCTACAAACCAGGATATCCTGCGCTCTCGAGTGAAAACAACGGGAATCACCGAGACGACGTTTCGTGTTGGTGAGCTTACGTACAAGTTGTTCGATGTCGGTGGGCAGAGAAGCGAGCGGAAGAAGTGGATCCATTGTTTTGAGAATGTGACGGCGTTGGTGTTTTTAGTCTCACTCAGCGAGTACGACCAGATGTTATACGAGGATGAGAGTGTAGTAAGTAAAGGATGCCTTCTGTCGCTCAAGCAACGTGAAGCCCAATTATTTGCATCAACGGTATAGAACCGCATGCAGGAGGCACTGACACTGTTCGACTCCATTTGCAACTCCCGTTGGTTCGTCAAAACTTCCATTGTAAGTTTCCTCCTCGTAATTGCCTTTATCGGATTCTAACTCTTCCCTCAACTATTCAGATTCTTTTCCTCAACAAGATCGACCTTTTTGCTGAAAAATTGCCAGTTTCTCCCTTGTCTGACTACTTCCCTGACTTTACTGGAGGCCCTGATTACGATGCAGCTTGTGATTATCTCCTGCATCGTTTCGTCAGTCTTAACCAGAGTGCAAGTACGAAGCAGATTTATGCTCACTATACTTGTGCTACTGATACACAACAAATCAAATGTACGTGGCTGAGCCTGCTATGCGAGACCTGGAGAGGTGCACTAATACTATTGTTTCAGTCGTCTTGAGTGCTATTCAGGATATTCTGCTTCAGATACACCTCAGAGAATGCGGATTGTTATGAAGATTTTATGACGCGGATGAAGGCTTGTACCCGTCTTGGTATACACGCTTAGAAGTTAGGACTAAGGATTAACAAAACACCATATATTTTTCCCTATCCCTCTCGCATTCCTCCGCTCCTCTGCCTCCGGATTTGTTTTCATGACTTTTATATTCCCTTCTTATCTCGGCTGTTATATTCATATTTCTCCAGCATTCTCTTCAATTATTGTACATCCCCCCCGCATTTCCCTTTGCCCTCCGTACCTCCTCACACCCTTCTGTTTCTCTCGGCTAGCACGACCTTATTTTCAAGCTCAACGTCGAGTTCCCTCGTCAAATGATGTGGTCTTGTTGAGGACTAGGGAAATCACAATGACTGCAGTGAATCTCTGTCCGGTTTGAGCGCGGTTCCAAGGTAAATTGTTTTGAGTGCTACATGGATTCACTCAAACACATCCGGCAATTCCTGGTATACATCAAGGTCATATCATCACAATGAGCTGCAGCGTTCGAGAGGCGCAGTCGTCCCCTGACAACACGGACATTAGCATTACATAGCATTGCTCATTTAACCTACAGTCGGGCCGGCTTGATCCCCAGGTCAATATGCGATTTTTGGAACATGGTATGTACTCCAAATTCAAAGCGGGATTTTCCAAGCTCTGTATGTTCCATATCATACATTCGGCTTGTCCATTTGGTTGGTCGCATTTAGACCTTGAAATGTGGTGGAGTTGGCCGAAATCTTAATAATTCATATGTGACATTAGTACATGATGGTGACACTGACAATGGATTCGGCCAACTTCGTTGCAACAGCTCAGGAAAAGTTTGGAAAAGTTTGGACCGCTTGAACAATAAACAGAACGGCTGGTACCAGCCTGGCATAAAGAAACGAAGGAAACAAACCAACAACCAAACCAAATTAAAATCAGCAAACCCTTCGTGTTGTGACAGCTATGCAGAACTCACCAATAAACCAATATACCTAAACATCAAACATTTCGGTAAAACCTCCGATCATCCTCTTGCTCCCAGTATATATAACTGTCATTCATTTTGTTTTCCTTTCCTTTCTCCCCTCAGTTCTCTTCTCGCTGTTAGGTAGAGACTGAGGTTCGTTGTCTAATTTTTATGTAGCGTGCATCCATCCCTTACGTTGTACACTGCCTAGTCGTCCGTACGTATAGGTAGCTATGACAATAAAAGCTCTCTTCATGCTGTCAGCTAGCGACTGAGACACCCATACATTCAGCGCTCTGTTACGCTTTGTCGCACTTTGTGCTCACGTGGTGCCTTTCGCTGCCCAAAGTGCGAGGGTTCTTACATTTGCTGACGTTGGCGCGATCGCACACACTGAATTGGCTTGAGCTTGTGTGTACACCTTACTTGATGTTCAATAGGCTTTCACGTTTTTTGTCATCGGCATCGCCTTTTGCCAGTAATATGACTCACGGATTGGCTACGAACCCTCCTGCGGCGACAACGCAAATCGCGTTGAATGCGGTGCTTGCAGATGCCTCGAGCACCCGTAAGTGCACTTAATGGCAATGGAGTGCCTATCATATGCTCTCTTTTCGGGCTCATATCAGAGAAACTGATGCAAGACTCTTCTTCCCTGGTGCATTTTCCCGCTTTGATTAAGAGGTTGCGACGTTTGGGAGCGGGTGCTTCTGGGGAACCGAACATAGTGGGTTTATTGGCATGCCCATTGCTGCAGACAATTAACTGACCTTTTGCATTATGGCGCAATACATGGTGGTCACCTCCAACACGCTCACTAGTATTCATTAAACACTACAAATCAAGAGGAATAACTACTCATGTTGGATACACCGGAGGAAATACATCGGATCACGCCTACAGCCTGGTTTGCACAGGACGTACGGGTCACGCAGAAGCTTGCAGGATCGAGTTCGATCCCAGCAAAGTGACGTATGCTGAACTCGTCGAGTTCTTCTATCGCACACATGACCCTACAACGTTGAATTCTCAAGGTGCGGATCGGGGAACGCGTGAGTGTTGTCTCTTAATCCCCGATTTCTGTTTGCTCGCCCCCTAATGACGGTTGTGTTTTGCCCGTCTATGAAATGCCCATGACTTCGCGTCCCTTCTTGATGGATACGTTGCGGATCTGAACGCATTGGTGTTGTACTTGTTACGCCTACACACCCATTGGCAATGGGCTGAACCACCAATCCTGCTTTGCAACCTTGACTCTGATTTTCACCCAATATATTGGATAATTGTGCAATGGTCGCGCTTATTCCCGGGCGCCTTCTGAATGCACGATTGCATTCTCTTTGGACCGGATGCTCTTTCATTCTTTCTGTCGGAAACATATCACCGGAACACACGATTGGATGATGCAATCCTTCATGTGCACCCCACGCCATTCCTCTCTTCCGGCTGCGACTCCACAAATCTTTGAAGAGTACCGCTCTGCAATTTTCTACAGTAGCCCTGAGCAGAAAGAGATAGCGGAGAATGTCACGTCGGAGGTTCAAGAGAAGTATTTTACCCCGAAAGGAAAGAGCATTGTTACTCAGATCGTGGAGGCGGGCAAGTGGTGGGACGCGGAAGAGTGAGTGACCTTTCCCCTATAAGCTGTTGAAGATGTGTGAGAGACATGGGTATTGAACGGTGGTTCCTCGCCAAACCAAGATGGGATGCCCTCCAGGTGGCCCCTTTGTTCGTGGGGTTTCCATGTCTCCTGGTACCCATTTAGCGGTCCTGGTCATGCCGAGGCATCGACCGCACATCGCTGCTTTTCGTGTTGCTGCCTCAGCTGTTTCCATCCCGAATTTGTCCATCCCCTTTGTCTTAACCAGGCAAATGGCTTAATGCTTCGGCTCTCACTTTCTTGGTTGGCACTGTCAGCCGCTCATATATCAATTATTGACTAATCCGCGTCTGTTCGAACAGTTACCATCAGGAATACCTGTTCAAGAACCCCGATGGGTATCAGTGCCCGACGCATCGCCTTCATTGGTGAGGGCATAGAGATGGTTATGATGCAACTCTTACGTCTGTGCGCCGCCGCTTTCATACGCCATAAGAAGGATTGGAGATTACGAAAGTCCCCAACCCCTCGGCGGCGAAGGTCTTCATCTCCTTTCCAGCCCCTTTCTTGTTTCCGGGAATACAGTGAATTCCAGGCTAGCCCAAAGAAAAACTCCTCAGGATCGACCCGAATACTGGCAGATTCAAACGCAAATGAAGCCGTCATTAACTTAGGCATTGCATGTACAATATTACCCACTTTCTCGACAAATACGAATCGGATGCCAGTGATCCCAAGTCCCCTCACATGAAGAATATTACATGACTTGAGAGAGCGTTGGTCTCTTAACGACTTGATTATTCATGTTTTCCTTCATTCTCTGCTTGGTTGTTGACAATCGACTCCGCACCGTCACTTCATAGAGCTTACCCCCGGGCCGACCTGGTAATTTCTTGAGCGCTTCTCTCGGACATAGACCGCAAGCAGGGTCCTAGTTCATTGGGCAAGCGTTATGAACACGCGAAATCGAAGCTCATGAGCGTGCCGTGTTCTATGTGGATGAAGGTGGGCTATGTTCTTTCGGTCTCATGAAAGGACGCAACGATATAGGGGTTGTGCTCTGCTCTACTTCTTTCATGAATTTATATTTAGCGATGAGACGACGCAGGCGAAAATCAGTGCCACCCAGCCGCACACCTACTTCTGATTCGCGGTCCACGTCCTCATCAACATTGTACTGACACTGTCTGAAAGATTGCCCTTGACATCGTATTGGCAAGTGACGACAACAAACATTTTGGGTACTGGGATTATAGAACACTGGCCCTTCGTAAACTCATGAAGCCGCGGCGGGAGACATTAGTGAATGGAGGCATCAATCGAAAGATATTGCTCAGGAGAGCGACTGATGTTCGGATTAAGGACTGATGACGAAAGAAGCAGGAATAGACTGTTGACCGAGGACGAAGCATTCCTCGCGAATTGAGCATGGCACCATGTCGGCGGACAATGATTACTGATTGCACTCGGAGCATGGCCAGTTGACGACCTCCGTTACGATATCGTGAGGATCTGCAAGCCTGTGGTTGGGGGGGACTCCGGGAGTCAGCTCTTGATAAGGTGGGGGACGGCGAAATGAACTCGAAAATTTAACATACGTCGACAAACAGGGGCTTCCTTGACAGTCGTCGCACGTAAGGGGATGAGCCACGCTGCACTTGCATTTCCTCATCTGGCAGTCAATCTGGAGGCGAAATGGTCAGTCTTGAGAAGGTAAATGGGTGTCGTAAGAGGCGAACTCTGTGGCGTTCGATAATTTCAGTATGACCACAAGAGTTCTTCCGGTATTCGGTAAGGATGAAGCACATAGAAGTCGTCGTATGATTGGTTGTCGCGTACGATGATTAGGAACGTGGAGAGGAGGCAAGACTGGATAAAGGGAGGTTCAGGTGGAAGGGGACCAAATAGCTTGGAGACCTCAAGCGAAAGGCGGCAACTTAAATGCGATGTCCATGAACAGCCATAATCCCTGGCGCACATTGACATATATTATTCGCCGATTGGAGGCTGGTACGGTGCTGAACTTCCAATTGCCCCCAGATACCAGAGGGACAAATTGCAAATTGACTGCGCGGCCAGCGTGAGGATTTATAGGATAATCACCACACAACCTGTTAAAGGGGCTGATCTTGGTGCAGCAAAAGGGATTTCCATTTTCTTATTTTGAAAAGGCACGGGCATGGAGGAAGAAAAAAATCGCTCTGCTGAATTGTGATATGTGCCGCCCTTGAAAACGGATAAAATCAATACTTTGACCATAACTGGTAAGAGTGACTCAGGAGGATAGCCTGCATCAATATCAGCGCAACCAACTGGAGGTCGCCAGAATCGTATGGTCGAATAAAACCGGACTTGATGTATGACTTAAGATTAAAGTCTCAGTCGGCCTAGGCAAATAGGCCTGATTTGAACTATGATAGACTGTCCTCTACACAAGATTCTTTAGATATCCAATCTTCTGCTTTAGAACAGTTGAGGATCCAAAATTAATATTCACGCGAAAATCCAGTGGCCGGTCAGCCTGGGAACAAATACTCGTCAACACACCTGACTTGGAAGTGACATGAAGAAAGTCTCTAACTTTATTCCGAGATGCGAGGTGTCACTCTTTCAGAGAGCTGTTTCAACTCGACGCATTGTTCATGCACCACAACAAGCATCGCCGGCCCGGCCTGGGCCACCCCCCTGCCGGCGAAGGAGCAGCGGGAGTTTGAAGACCTTGTCAAGCAGGCTTCGAAAGGACAATCAGATAATTCCACCCCACGAGGTCCGATGAAAGAGACATTTTTAAACGAGGGGGTCCACCCAGATGCCCCGAGGCGTCCGAAACCCGAGTTTGAAGGTGATGTGAATCCAGTGACCGGAGAACGAGGTGGTCCGAAGATAGAGCCAGTCAAGCACAACGACTGGAGTAATTCTGGAAGAGTGACAGACTTCTAAAGGTGGGCTGAACAGCTGGGCTTCGTAGTCCACAGATGTCGAGAATAAACACTGATATTGATTTATCATGTATTAATTGGGGTTGCTGAAGTTGATGATAAAACCACGAGTTCAGTTCATTTCCATGAACCCATCCAGAAACTTGGGCTGCTGTACATGCGCAAAAATGGGTTATAATAGAGCAATTGAAAGGCTACTGTGCTGTGGTGATAAGTTGCAGTCGTTGTAGGCGTGGGTATCATGCAGAATCGTATTTGTATTTGTACTTGTGTACGCCGAACGCGACGGGCAGGTGGTGAACACGGCATAGGTCGTGCGCGCTCGAGAAGCGTGGCCGAATAGCGTGCTCTCCAGCTTTTTCGGAGCTGGTTTCTCCCTTTTCGTCCATCCCCCATCTCTTCTCCTGACCTAGGCCTCATGTCTTCTGTAATCGACGACTACGAGCCTCTGGAAGTCATCGGGAATGGCTCGTTTGGGGTCATTCGCAAGGTCAAGCGGCGATCCGATGGCCAACTGTTTGCTCGAAAGGAGCTCAATTTCGAACGCATGTCAGATCGTGATAGGAAACAAATAGTGGCTGAAGTGTAAGCAGGACTGACGGCGCGGCCCTCAGATGCTCATTGTGAACGCCACAATAAGGAATATCCTGAAAGATCTGAAGCACGAGAACATTGTGCGCTACATCAATAGAGTATGCTGGGGCTTCATTTTCAACGGATGAATGCTGACGAATGCGATAGTATGTGCATCAAGAGTCCAAGATCCTGTACATTCTTATGGAGGTAGGTAGGCGCTACCGATCTCGATGGACCTGGATTTATTCCTTGGTTTTAGTACTGCGGTGGTGGAGACCTGGGCTCGCTAATCAATACCCACCGACGCCAAAAGTAAGGGTCCCGGTCTTGTTGTCGTCCTTTCCTTTAAATATATCCACCATCTAGCCGGACACTCCCAGAGGATCAGATATGGAACCTCTTTACCCAAATATTACTGGCCCTTAACCATTGTCATTGGCCAAACATCCAGCTGAATATTGCGGATCCTAACGTACCTCACGCTGATATCAACTCTGGAAATCCGAAGCAGCAGGTCCTTCATCGTGATCTAAAGCCTGAGAATGTCTTCTTGTCCTCGGATGGTGTCATCAAGCTTGGAGATTTTGGTCTTGCAAAGCAAATTGCAACGGCATCTTTCGCAAGTACATACGTTGGCGTAAGGTTGATGCCCATCGCTCCCATAGTATGATATTCACGCCCCGTTCCAAGACGCCTTACTACATGTCCCCTGAATTAATGAACGAAAAAGCTTATGATACCAAGTCAGACATTTGGAGTCTTGGTTGTCTCCTTTTCGAACTCTGCGCCCTGAAGTACGCTATCTCATTTTTTTATTCGCCCGATGGTGAAACTGACGTCAAATCTCAAGTGCGCCATTCCACGACGCCCAGACCTATAACGAGTTAGCCACAGCAATCCGTTCGGGGCGCATACCTCCCATTCCAAAGGGATACTCATTAACTTTGCAAACTACCATCAGGAGCATGCTCAACGTCAACGTTATCGCATTTTCCTGTTTCCAAAAGAAGGCGCTCTGATTCTTTTCCCCATCTAGCCTGCAATGCGGCCATCCACCCTTCAATTACTTAAACTTGAACAGGTAGTGTTCGCTTACAAACTCATCGATGTCAACAAGTTGTACGTCAGCTATATTTCGTTGTCACATCAGAATCTAATCCATTTCCCGCTCGTAGAATTAATGACGTCAGACACAGACGAGAAGTGACCCAGGCCCGTGAAAGCGCACTCTCTATGAGAGAGGATGCTTTGACGGAACGAGAACAGGCCCTGGAAGCTTTACACAGTGATCTAATGGCACAGGAGACCCGGCTGAAGGAGGAGTCGGAGCGCATCGCCTTCGAACGTTCACAGCTTGATCTGGAGCGCGCCGTTGTGGAGAAGGCCGCTAATGACATGGCCCAAGAACGTGCACATTTCGATCAACAAGTAGCCCTCGCAAGAGATGCATACAGGGAGTTCAGCGAGGAGAAAGAAGCCCACCAAAAAGCCAAAATCGAGTGGGAGAAGGAAGGTATGTGTGATGATTATGTCGTGGAGTATGCCTACTCAGCCTTGCCGTCACGTCAGTTCTGAGCCGAATGGCAAAGGCGCCGTTGGATGACGTTAAGTATGTCCGGTATACAAACATGCGTCAAAATGTGCTTCAGCTTTTTCGGGTCTCTTAGGAACAAACCGCCGAGGTCTCTGAGCCTTCAGAGGTCGAGGTACGCAGACAACGATGAAGACACCCCAACAAAGGCCCCGATGGAGACATCGACATACTCTGTCTCAATCCCTCATGATGACACTCCGTCTAAAATATCGAATCCCAAACATCATGTTACACCGGTGCCCCCTCTGCCGCCACAAGGGCCCCGCGCACCTGGAATACAGCGCCTTAAGCCGCAGACCCACCACATGAATACAACACCACTCCTCCGCCCCGGCAACCAAAATGAGACTCCACGGCGACTGATGCCTTCAAGAAGTATGACCGATCTCGGCTCGGCGATGAAAGGCGTGGTGTTATCAGACACGGGAATTGCGATCCCAACGCCGGCTCGGAAGTTCAGCAATGAGTCAAACACAGCCGGATTGCACGCCAACTCACCCACTTCATCAGCTTGCCCAACGGACTACCCCGATACTACAGACACACAAGAAGAGTCGTCCAGCTCGTACGAAGACGTTGTCGATACGAAGAACGTGACAGCGCGACCGCGAGTTGCCCGTCGGCGTTCTATCGCACAACCAGTGCCGATATCGTCAAATCGAGTAAATATTCCACCTGCCATCCCAACGACACTAATTCCTAGAGTGCATCAACAGGGGAGTATCGATAAAGGGAGCTTGTCATCGAATCCCAGCATCCAGGATAGCGTCAATGCGGCTATCTCGTCTTCATTACCACTGGCCCCTGTCTGGGATTTCACTGATGAGGAGAATCTGCCCAGCCCCTTCATGAAGCGCAATACGGACTTCAGTGTGTATGCACGCGAGGGAAGTGGTTCAGGATCAGGGTCTACATCAGGTGATGGCAAGTACGCCGTGGGACCGGAAACCAAGATGGCACCTCCTCATGTTAGAAGTATTAGCGCGCCGTCGGCGAAGACAGGAAGACAATCGCTGATCTCCCAGGCAGTCAAGGCCAGCGGGGAGGCGCAGAGAGCGTTGGCTCGGAGACAAGCGGATATGAAGCCTGGCATGTAATCCTTTTATGAAGCGCATGTATTTATTTTCCTTGATTGGAGCTGTTGCATTTCCCCCTAGGTCACCTACATCTCTGCATTTTCGTATCTGAAATTCGGGGCTATGAATAATATGAGATCTTCATATTTACATCATTATCTCCAACTAGTTCATTGTACCCTTGAGCGGTACCACTCCGGCCTTGCTCCAGCACACTCCGCTCAATTACTCCGCTGGAAGTGCTCAGACCCTGATACGTCCTAGTTTGGAGGAAAGAGGTTGCTGACAATGAATGGTCAGTGAATAGGTCCCAGAGACGCCCAAAGTGGAAAGGGGACAAACCACTTGAACCGGCCAGGACATCGGAAATTGGGCCGACCACCCCACGTAGTATCAAAGCTTTACTTTCCCCCAATTGCTCTGCGAATGAAAGATGAAATAATGAACAATCGCACGTAAATGGGTGATGTAGACACGCACCCTGATCCCTGTAACGCTTAGCATGTCGATACTCTCCACTAACCAGTGAAAAACGTGGAGCGTCTTCTTCACCAATCGGATCACGACCGCCGACCTCATCTACCCAGGAGTGGCAGAAGAAACAAATAAATAATGCATAAGCCAATAAATAGTGTGCTGCATTACCTGACGTGTCCATATTTGCAAAGCCTCCACCAAGTACCTGGTCAAAGTCTAGCGCATACTTAATGGGCCAAACTACCTCATTTTGGAGCGCGAGATCTAATTCGTAAGGAGTGATGATTGGCCTGAGGAAATCCTAAAATGCAGTTTTTTGAAACAACCCGAGACCTGGCTGCTCAGAATGGCTTGCCTTCGCGTCTACAATACTATTCTCAGGGCACGCCACATAAATGAAGCATTCTATCTCCATAAAGTTTGCAAGCTTTGCCGGGTTCAATTTTCCTACACTGAGAGTGTAGGACTTTTTGTGGTGAAGACGGAGTACTCGGCGCAGTTTCGCTATTAGGGGAAGATAGAGAGCTGGGCCGAAACGGTCAAATTTCGAGCGGGGATGCAGGCCGAAGGGGGGGACTGACAAACACCCAGTGTCCCAACCAAGATGCCAAAAACGTCTGCATCACGAGCTCTCTGAATTATGGCGTATCGCCGCATCAAGATGCGGTTACTCCCTGTCTCTAAGCGGGCGGATCCCCGTTCTGGGTCATAGGAGTAGATCTAGCAAAAAGATCAAGTGAAAAAATATTCGAAAGATTTTTTACTCACATCAAAGGATGAATTCATGAGAAGAATATTTGTCAGCGCCATACTCTCTCCCCCAACGTAGAAGATAACACTTCTGGAGGGCTCTAGGTCGCCGGGGACTCGATTGTGACGGAAAGAACCAATAGCCTCACCAGGGGAATTTCCGAAGATGTTCTCTGGGGAATGTTGAGCCGACGGAGGGACCAAATCAGGCGGGGACGGCGACATCTGGACCCGCGGGCCTTCGGGGAGTCGCGACTGGATAGCACTACAGACGGCGTCTTACACGCAATGAAGAGCCACAAATTAGCAGTTGAGAAAAGATCAATCACCTGCCCGATATGCAAACGCTACATTATACATCAGAAATATTGTCCCAATTGCCTGTGCGTCTGTTTGAAATAGAGCATGACAGCACTCGAGTAGTGAAGTGGCGCAATGCTGTACGTCGATGGCCAGCTTGCCAAATACATAGATTGTGGGGATGCGAGAGGTTCTATATGTACACACGGCCAAAATGAGCGCTCAGGAATGAATCGCATCCCCTGAGTGCTTACGGAGAGAGACAAGCATGACCATAATGGACCACTGCATCTGCGTCCACATGTTGTGCGGAAACTTCATCCACACAACAGCTGTAGATTCTATTTTCAGAAACCACACAAAGTGGAGGGTAGAGGCTAAGAACCTGCCATGGGAAGTATCCGCTAGCACATATAGATCACGATTTGGCAGCTTGGAACTCAGAGACTGGAAGACAGGGACCGAGTATGGGAGATACTCGTCAGGGAACTGCAATGCTATCTACATCACCCATGAGACCAATACCCCAATATAGTAAGGAGGAAGAGGGTACTCGATGAAAGTCCCGCAAGAGGATCGTTTCTACTGTCTGTTGCACTTCGAACATCTCAATAACAGACAGCCCGAGGTCTTGGGGAGTCGGAACTTGTCTGACAGTCAAAGATTCTGAGATAATCCGGTCCTCCCTTGCAGATAGAGCTTCCGACATCATTCACAATGAAATTATGGAGTTGATTCCGGAAGTGGAAGTGCCCTTGCCGTGAGAACTTCGACGACACTGCCAACTCCTCATGCGGTCTGGATTCAATGCCATACACGCCGGGGGCCCTGTACCGATGAGACAGTGGTCAAGTAGAGGTTCTGTAAAGTGTAGAGTACGTCTGGGATGGCGTAAGCCGCTCTTATCTGACATCCCGCCCCTAAATGACCGCAAGAATTGACAACTCATCGAGCACTGCAAGCTTTTTACTTTAGCTTCCTACACAAACGTAAAAGATATCGATATCATTCGCGATATTACTGGAATCTGACAAATTCATTTCCTCGCCGCTCTATTCGGTGTGCGCCGACAAAATTGCGTTTGAGGCGTGTTTTGTGCTCATGGATCCTGCCAGTGCGCTATGCGAGCGGATCGCGGTCTCGACTATCCTCGCTCCGACGCACACTGATTTTATGACCTTCCGGGCATCCTCGAACATCTCGCGTTCTGCTATCATATGGGAGATGAAGATTCAATTTAATTCCTTCGCATTTGTCTTGATGCTTCAGCCCAGAATGTCACGCAGCGTCATGAGATCGAGCACACCATCCCCATGATTCCTGATAATGGCCCCTATTTGTTACTTGGGGGCTCAGGTTGTCACGAGAACCAAATAATAGTTTCGTGCTGGGGACTGTGCAGTGGGAATATGGGATGCTGGAAGTACCCCTCATATAAGCATCTTCCTTTTTGTCCCACTGTTCGTTAGCAACCACGGCCGCTCCCTGGATAGCTTTTTCGGAACCCAACTGCCCGATGGTTTTGCTCTAGAATGAGAACCAATTCGGGGTGTCTCAGAGAGAATCTCTTCATTTCACTAATATTGCGCCGCTGAGTACCACCCAAGTTGCATGACATTCAAAGGTCTATTGAATCCTGCGAAATGATGATATTTTAATCGCCCAAGGTCGTCATCAGCAAACACTAGGATCGTGAAATGAGTCGCCCCATTTCTGGAAATTCTTGCTTCAGCTCTTCCATTTATGCGTCCATATCCGTACGTGCTTTCATCCTCCCACAAATGCCTCAAGATCGGATAAGAGGCCGAAGACCACGATACGACGGAAATCTAATTGCGATCACAACGGGCACACGGTCATATTGTTCCGTCCAGGGAAACGTCGCAGCAAATTAATCCACATTTGAGAATACAAGTAGGGCTACAATATTGCATTTAGGGGCACGAATGATAAATCAGTCTCAATGGGCATCATTCTGGGCAAAAGCTTTGAGAGACGCCACTTTGGACTCCATCCTGGATAAATCTGTTAATAATTTAGTGATGCTAGCCTCCACGAGTCTGACATCTACAGTGCTGCTGTTCTCGTCCAGACTTCCTGTCCAGTAAGTGCGAGATGATAGGGTATCCAAGGTGCCTGTATCCACAACTGCCCTCGCACCCTTATCCTTTTCTTCCTCGTGGCGACGACTATCATCACCCTTTGGAGGAAACAACTGCGAAAAGGAGTCACTCCTCTCCTCTCGCTTGCCGTCCTCCAACAACGTGGGGTTTGGAACACGGCTGGCATGATTTGATAGACTGCGACTTGTCCCAGTGAGTGTAAGCGTTGGAGGGTCGAATACGAAGGATAGTGCGGCGTTCCGAACGTGAGGAAAAGGAGAAGCCGAACCCGACCGTCTCGACAATGACGAGCCAGGTCGTGGGCTGGGACTCGGGGGAGCACTCTCATCGAAAGAAATGGACGTGTTCAGGTCATTGGGGCGGTTCGCCTCCCGCTTCTTGAAAAGACTAGGTATTGGCAGTTTTGATGTATCCCCCGAGCAGTTGTGAGTGTAGTGAGTTTGGGCTTGCGACCACTTTCCAATACTTTCTTGCGTGCACTGGCACTAACAAGAGCCATCATCTGCATCAGGGCCTCACGGTCGGAAATGAGCCGTTTCCTATGGCTAGACGACATCCCTCGCCGTTCCTCAGTCCGAGGCATCGATATGTCATGGTAAGAAACGGTGGGGCGGTTGGGAGTTTTGAAGTCCTTTGGAGAAGGCTGCTTAGGAGGCGCACGAAGAGAAGGGGTTAGCGTGCCCAACCCGTAGGCCCGTCCATCCTTGCGACGGGCCCCGTTAGCCAGCGTGCCCAAATCTGGTGGAAGGACGTGGGCAGGCATCGGCGTCCCTTTGGTTATCGAGGGGGCCGTAAGTCTTGCAGATGCGGAAACGTCGAAAGCGTCAGGCATTGGCCCCCATGAGAACCCTGTGTATGCTGGCATGCTTTGTGCTGAAGGGCCCCGGTAAGATTGGTCAATAGCGGAGCTGTTCATGGAGGACTTGAACAGATGTGAAAAATCAAAAGGAGACGATTTATCCTGGGAAAGATCCAGCTCATTGGAAGTACATGAATATTGGTTTTCGGGGGGAAAGAATAAGTTAGGTGGAGCAGGTCCTAAATGTGAAGCTGGTCAAACACTTAAGACTCAGTTGAGTCCATAATTGCGTACTTTGATCTAATGTTGACCAGGAGATCTTAGCGAACCAAGGATGCCGGCGAATGTCATTGGTTCCACCAACTCCTAGCCGCTCGTCAGCAGTTGTTAGTAACCTAGGAACAGCTATTAGTTCTTTGCTTGGCAGATGTCCAGGTGCCCCTTCCACCTTCTGATGAGATCGCACAATGTCAAGCTGAGGGGCACCGCCTCATCAAACCCAATGTCCGAGCCCTATTACGGTGACTTTTGCAGTCATAAAACAAAATGTAGTCAATTGATCGCACCTCATGTTGAACTATTCTAGAGTAGGTTTGTTGAATATTCGGAGCAAAGAATGGGGCAACACCGAGAGCCAGCTCGTAAATAACAGCCCCCAGGCTCCACCAATCCGTTTCGCACCCATAGCCTCTTTCGTGCATGCTGACTTCAACATGGCCATCTATTTCGGCAGCAAAGAGGGCATCCTCATGAGCCTGAAGAATCTCTGGGGAGATGTAATCGCACGTCCCACAGGGGATTAGACAATAAGGTTTTGCCACATGCCGCGGCGGCTTTGAACTCGTGCTAACCAGGGGAGCAGCACACCCAAAGTCGATAAGCTTTAAGCGCGCATCTTGAGATATAACAAAGTTATGGGGTTTGATATCCCTGTATCGGAATCGATGTCAACAGTGATCCAAGGTATCATGGCTGACCGTACCGATGGGAAAACCCTTGGGCATGACACCAATCTATGGAGTTGATTGCTTGAGGCACCCACCACCGAAGATCAGCCTCAGTGACTTTTGAATCGGGTACGGAGGCGATGAGATCCCACAAACTACCTCCAGCAGCGTATTCCATAACCAGCACCAGCGCCATTGGTGTTTGAAAGGCGCAGAGAAGCCAGATGACCCATGGACATTTAGTTACAGTAGCCCTTGAGAGGATTTCACGTTCTGTCTTGACAAAGCATTGCTGACGGAACAGGCAGACTCAGTTCCAGCAGCTGGAAACCACATGGCCAAAAAAACCTACATCCTTGTATCGCTCAGCGGTTGATTTTTGAACGCACTTTCGAGCGTAAACTTTTCCATCGTGAACGCATCTGACTGCCTCCAGCTGCGAAAATCTGGGTGAAAACAGAACTCCTTTACAGAAAGACAAACTCACGGCACCAAATTGGCCCCGATCGAAGTTACAAATAAAGGAAAAATCTGAATCGGAGAAGCGAAGGGATTCCACAGCTATGGGGGAAACCGTTGCTTCAATTCCCAGAGCTGACGGTATGTGCTTGGCTACTCACTACATCGTAGTTGTCTCGACAGCCTCGAACATTCCTCAACGGCGAGAGCCACTGGATCTACATGGCCGGGAGCCTTATGTTCGTCGCATCCGGCAACTTCAAGAATAGATACAAGCTCATTCCTACGCTCACGCCATGTTCGCAAACTTGGACTCATTGAGTTGAGTTGAATGTGTTCATTGGTCTGAAAGTAATTGTTGAAAGGTCTGTTCTTGAACGGAAAGACCCAGCTCAATGCCAATTCAGTTTCGGCGCGTAGCCAAAATACATTTGAATATTGAATATCATTCACACAGCGAGATGAGCACGGCTTTTCAGTGCGTGCAACCCAACTGTCATCCCCTAGGTGTGAGTCTAAAATCATAGCCTGTTCCAACCGTCGCAGCACCCTCCATTTCCCGCAACAGCGCGAAGGCGCGTTTATGATTTGCCGACTTGCTCGGAAACATCATCCCAAATGAGGCGAGTGTCGAGGCTGACACAGGGTCCACCCAGACTTCAGGCAGTCGGAACTTTGGATAAAGCGCTGCAAACAAGAATGGGTCATTTTGGAAGGAGGATACTGGAGCACATTTGGGAAATTCGGCAGGATTTCTTGCCACTGTAGTGAGTTCATGGAGAAGCGACCGAGCGACTGATATGGAGCTCAAGTCCACTCCATACTTCGGCCGATCCACTAGTAACCATAAAGCCAAGTCTGGACGCCTAAGCTCTACACAACGCGCAAGGATTCTGTTCGAAGTGAACGCATCGACCTGCCGCCTCGCTTTTCTCCATTCCACGAGGGCATCTCGTAAAACATCCAAATCGTCCGAGTCCTGGGATAGCGCAACCAATTTCAGGAGAGCATGACGAGGAGGGGACTGACGAGTAGCCGGTGTTTTCCCGCAGAATTTTCTGAGAGACTCTCGCGCAGCAATAAACACCATACGCCGCGACTCATCCGACAGTGTTTGGGATGAAGAAATTGTGGGTGCGGAAGGAGTCTGTGGAGTTGAAGGGGAGAAGGATAGCGGTGAAGATGGTGTAGTTGTGTGACTTGGTGTCTTTGAAATGTTGTGGGCTGCCGAGGTAGTCTCAGATGAACCGAATAAATCATCACCGAGCCCAGCTTCCTCGTCTAAAAGGTTGTCATGCTTTCCATTAGCCCGCTTCCTTTGTGCAGCTGTGATAACCACGCGTAAGACTCTAATATGAAATGAAACGATGTGGAGGGCGTACAGATTTGTGAAGCGTGAAATTTGCAAAGAATGTTGCCCTGTCTAGCTGGGATCGAGGTTCTCAATCTTAGGGTCCCCGACCCACTGCGAAGAGTCCGGTGAAACATCCCAAACCTGACCATAACTGCTCAAGCAGAAATTCGCACGGTCTCCTCGATATAAATAAGTATTGATAAATACACCGAGCCTCAGATTACATTCAGCATATTTATGGCGGATGCTGGGAAGGGAAAAGGGGCCGTAAACCAGTACAGCCCGATGAATTTTTGGTGTCAGAAATATCTTCTTATGCCCGAGGAATCCCATTCACGAAACCAATCCAGGCCTTCTTATCTAAAACCCCTTCATCTAGAGACCCAAAAATTATCAGCATGCTGAATCGCAGAATAAGTGTCTGAACCCACAGTGGCCGTCCACATTGTTGATAATGACGTATCTCGCACCTAATTTAGTGAACATTTGGTGAACAGCTTCCAACGGAGTGTTGATGTTGACGGATAATGGTGCCTAATTATTCGTAAGTTTAGGGAATGAAAGGCCCGCGAGCGTAAGCAGCAACGCCAATTACCTGGTCCATAAAAACTGTGAAATCATAGGGGTCTCGACCCGTTATCTCATCAACCAACGAACCAGAGGGTGTGAAGTTCTGGCGGAAGTAGCATGCTGCTTCAAGATCACCCCCAACCAAACCTGCTGGCAGCATTGACGAATTGATTTCAACGAAAACGACGGTAAGGACATACTCAGCGCGTGCTCGAGTTCATTGTAACCAATGTATCCAACGACTTTCAACACCGAGTGCCCTTCTTTCACCAACACGGGAAGCCCAGTGTCCAAGCCGCTGATACGATTAAGCTTAACGAGTAATGACCGTACTGTCAATTCCTTGTCAGTCCGGATAACCTCCGCTTTATAGTTAACGATGTCGTGGAGCGTTCTCGGGCCCCAAAGATAATCATGCTGACAGAATGTGAGCAACAAAAGGATCAGTTACAGTGTCGATGCAAATACCTTGCAGTCAAGATAAGGGAGCTGCGCTAATTCGATGACTGAATCATATATGCCGGAAGGCTGGAAGAAATCCGCTACGGTTTTAGCAACAAGAACAGATAGCATCACGGGAACGACGTATGTCATCGTTCCAGTTAGCTCAAAGACAATTACAGCCAGAGAAATTGTTGTCCTGAGACTCTCAAATGAGTATTCTGATCAACAACGGAAGAGGTCGCTCAAGACGCTGACCTGGTCACACCGGACAGGGCAGCCGCGGCCCCTACCTAAAAAGCGAGTTTGGATGAGTATCGAGGATCTCCGAGAAGTCCAACCCGACTTTCCATAGCATATAGCCCAGGAATGACGCAATCATCATCACCACTAAATGAACAGACGCCGAACATTGGGTATTCCTGATGATGCACTTGAAGATACCTAAAATGGGATTAAATGTGTTCGATAGCTTACTAGTGCGATCATACCCTATCCCAATACCTAGAATACGACCAAAACATGCCCCAACCCCTGTAAGGTAGCACGTCTCTTAGCATGAAGAGCAGGCTCTTTGCAAATAGTCACGAACCAAGGGTAGGAACGAAGAGTCCGGCCGGCAATCTCATACCGAAAGTGACAATCGTCAATGCAGCCTTTATGACCATGGTAGCCCCAATCGCAGTGATGAGTGGTGATACAGACGCATTCCTGGGAAGACAGAGACCCTTGTGCGCCGCTCCCCCAACGTGGCACTCGGAAAAAAGATTGTACACAAGCTCGGGTCCCCCCATGCGGGTATATGGGTTGAGAAAACATAGCATGGTGGTAATGATAGTTACCTAGGAATAACGGGTGGATGAGGTTCCCGAACAACAAAATGAACCACTTACGATCAAGACCTCGAGCAAGAGGTATCTTCGGAACCACGTAGATGACCGAACATGGCGAACCCATAATACGTGCAATTTCGTGAAGTACGCTCCATAAAGACCCTGAATTTCTGGATTTAGCAAAATTTCCAAGGTCAATAACAGGTGATAAATTGCATACACCAAACACTCCAAGGATCAGGAAGGGGAGTAATTCAAAAGTATGCCAGTCCTGAAACAGCATGATCAATTTGACGGGCACTGCCATACCAGAATATAATTCACCTTGTCATAAGTGACTTGGAATAATACGAGCTTCCCGGTACCAAATGGATCCAAGAACCGAAGGGTAACAGTCGCAACCGTGGCACAGAAGAAACTATAGATATGGGGTTCTAGATGCTAGTCTTGCAAGCACAGTGCTATAGCTCTTACCTTCTCCACATGACTTTAGCAGGGAAGAAATACGATACTTCCTCCAAGGAGAATAAGACACCACCGACAGGAGCACCAAATGCGACAGCGACTCCGGCAGCGCAAGCAGCACTTAATATTTCTCTTCGTTTGGCTGGGTAATGTAAGAACTCGTCAGATGGTTAGTGTAATGAAGAAGAGTGGTCACCTTCGTTTAGCTCATACTTGACAAACCATCGACTGATAATATTGCCCCAGCATGACGCAATATGAACGAATGGGCCTTCCTTTCCTGGAACGAAATATATATAAAGGTGGAGCTCGAGAACGATGAACGATTACGTACCGAGAGTAAGACCAGACGCCACAGACATCGAAAGACCGATGCCTTTGATTAAAAGTGTCTGCGCTCCAAGATAACCCTCATGACAAACCCTAATTATCCAAATTGAAATGGAATTCTTCTGCTTATTACAAATAAAGCAAACTTGCCTCCCATTATGCACTTCACTTCCGGAATGCCGCTCCCGGCCGCCTTTGCGAATTCAGCAGGGAATTAAATTTGGACAAAGGAGGGGAGGGGGCCGAGGAGAACTCACGAAGTACATGATCTTTCGCTTCCTGGGTTAGCTTCTAGCGGTACAGTTTTCTTCATTGAGCCCGACGTTAAAGCACTAGCTTCATTTGAATCGCCAAAAGATGTAGAAGGCGTAAAGTGCACCGTCAACCAAGCTGAGCCCAGAGCGAGAATAAGCTGCACGAATGTCTCCATAAGTGTTTTGTACACGATAAGGTTGGATGTCACCTCACCGCAAAGAACCCATAGGTAACATACTCAATCCACCAAGCTTCAACACTTGGCTGGGGACCATCGAATCGTTCTGCCCAAGTAGACCAGTTTCCACAATGAAAGTCAGACGTCAAATAATTCTCTCCCAATACCTGGCAACAGAAGCGCTTGGCTTTCCACCATCCATCGGTACAATATCCTTCCTTGATGTCGAAAAGCCTATATGTACAAGTCCAATGTAAACCTGATTCTACACACAATAATCAATTTCCCTACCACTGCTCTAAGCGGACAATTATAAATGCAGTAAGCGCAGTGAGAATTCCGACGATGGTAACCACAATCCATCCAAGTGATCGGTCCCAAGCATTGATGATGCGACCGGTAAGAGAGCGCCTATTTCGCAGCCGTAGAGCGCGAGCAGACCCCTTAATCTGTAAAGATGCAATTGGCATCCTCCAAGACGAGCCCGGCAGGCGCGCCAACGCACCGAATCATGCAACCAATCAATTGAGGTAAAGGTGCTATACCAGAATCTTATGCCGTTTATATATGTGTCGGCATCGGTATTGTTCTCTTCCAATACCCTGTCATATGTTGAAATAGGGCGTTGAAATAACGAGGAGGTGGTACTTAGGACCCGGGAAGCCGGCCTCCAGGTGGGGACACAGAGCCCTCATCTGCCACGTCATTCGAAGAACGACGGTCGTCGATGTGAGACCGCATGGGCGAGACGGTCCCATAAGTATGGAATATTCGTGAAGACGTGTGCAAGGGGGTTCGTCCATCTCTTGATGGGGAGGCGGGAGTACGAATGGCAGAATCCGAGTATAATCTGGGCCCACGGCGTGCGCGGCCCCATGTAGATTGAGGCGATTCATCAGGGCTGGTCATCAATGCGTCCTCGCTGTCCCTGGTCTCCATCATAGCGAAGACCTTGGACCTGTCAAAAAAGGGGGAAAGCACGTGCTGAAATCGGATCGCGCTACAAATATGACTGGGCGAGATGGGAGTGGCTCCAGCATGCGCTACAGTCTATTGAGAATTTCCCTGTCACTGGGGCGCCAAAACCATGATCAGTGTCATCTATCGAGGTGTGGAAACACCAGCTCAGCAGGCTACGGCTGGGCGGTAGACGCTTTGAGAAAAAATTGTCGACACAAACATGTGTAAATATGTATATGTTTCGAGGGTTCATCTTAGCGAGCGAGATAGCGAATTAATTGTTGTCTCGTGGATCGTGCATTCCATGCAGCTAGAAGTTGAAATTGGAGGGCTTAGGGCGATGTTAGGTGGCGCGGGGGGGCTTATGATTCCGCTCGTCGTTTGTGTCGAAGAATGATCCTGTAAGGCTGGGCACGGCGCTTTACATTCAAAACAGAATCAACAATTGACATCTCGCTCAAGAAATGAAAGAGGTTATGTAGGGGCAACTAACCATGCATGGTGGCAGGACACCTGTCTCTTTGGCAGGTCGCCTGTCAAACTCGGGATGGCAGATCTGGACCCCATTGGTTCCGTCCAGCCACCAAGCATGTCGATTCAAGCACCATTGCTGTCTCCACCACTCACCCACACTTCCAGCTTCCACGGCCTCCATAATTTTTCGATACTTGGTAGCGAACCTCTAAACTGGGAACAACCTTCAACTGCTTCATACTGGTCAGCCCATAATCGAGGGGCGTGGAACACGTTGCTTGGGCATGGACGAAACGATCCTATTCCTACTTCTGTAGAGACGATAATGTGCATAGAAATAGCTCCAGGAGTGCCTTTAGCTGTGATCTACGTTGTATCTCACTAATATTCACCATCTTCGTGCTAGAATAGGCGCCGGGGTCAGTGGTGCAGGAATTGCGCATTTCCTGCTTCACAACGAAAATTTCGGTGGTTCCATTGCAATGTTCGAGGCTCGCGAGGTGTCATCAGGGGCTAGTAAGCTTACGAAGTTCTCCGTATTCTGTCATCAGGCCGACTCACTTGGATTGGACAGCTGGTCGGAATGGTGGCTTCGTGAAACCAGTCCCTTTCGAGGCCTATCCCAGGTACAAGGAGAAATATGGCACAGATCGCGCTCTCCAACTGGTAAAAAGCGAATATGACAATATGAAACTCACAGAACAACTGGTCGAGGTCGTGTTCGCCCTCATACCGAAAATCCTGCTCCTAACCCATGTCTGCCTAATCAGCTTGGGGCGATCGATGCTCACTTTGTCATCCGTCCACATCACGAAATCTGTTAGTTTTGGTTTATGGAGCCGAACCCATAAGCCTTGATGGTGATCTGGTGTTTTTCAGTGACGGACGAAGACACAGTACGCTCTCACAACAGTGCCTACGCCTCCCTCCGACGTGATCGCCACCTGAAAGGGATGGAGCAAATAGATGGCGTCACTTGGTTTCACGACTCTGAAGAGGCCCGACGAGTGCGTCATATCCATTCACGCCACCTGACTCCATCTCATCATGATTATCCAGGTAACACATTCAAAGAACGCTCTGGCAGCGTATTCATTTGATACCGGGACAATCTGGCCTCATAGATTTGTGAGCAACATGTCTCTTCTGCCATATTTCTGTAATTTCCAAGTTACCCATGATAGGTTCATGGGCTTTTGTCAAACCTCCAATCTTCGTCCCTGAGCAATAGATTCAACCTTTACACACATACTCCCGTCCTCTGTATAAGTTGGATGAAGGACCAAATTGCAAACTCTCGGTGGCATGTTCAAACGACAAGAGGCAATATTACAGCCCGAAATGTGATATTAGCCACCAATGGCTACACCCGTCACCTGCTACAATCCTCCTGCGGAATGCCTCCCCCGCCCTCATCTATTAATGGTTGGTTACAGGTGCTGTCACGCGCCGTAACTCCCAAAAGATACCAAATGGCGGCATACACAATCCCCGAATCTCTCCTCTCCAGCTGGAGGTTCAACTTCACTTTTGGGGTGAGAGGGCCATTGTCCAATGGGTCTACCGACAAAGAAGGCGGATACGGAATCACAACATATGACGGAACGCTTGTCGCTGGAAGCGAATTGGCCCAGATTGCTTCAATCGTTGAAGACGGACCCGACCCTTGGATGAATCAGACAGACGATTCTATAGTACTTCAACCGTCAACCAAATGTAGGTGGGCATTGATCAGCATCGAGTGCAAGTGCTGATTGTGTACGGAACTTTTGTGTTAGTTTATCAGGACTTTCCTGGTCGGGTTTTCGAGAATTGGGAGAGCGAATCTGAAGGCATCGGTGAAGGCTTAGTGCGTACTTGGACTGGGTAAGCTGAGTGAATGCCTGCCTCGCGTGCGGGCATCGACATTGAGTTTTCTCCAACCTGGCAGCATTCAAGGAAGGGTAAAGAAACCGGCCCTATTAGACACTAGAATGAATTAACAATCTATATAGACCCGCGATAGTCTTCCGTTCGTTGGCCCTCTACCTGGTAAGGGAAACAATGGACTTTTCGTCTCGATAGGCTTCCATGGCCATGGTAAGCACATTGTAATCTGATTCGTATCCATCTGCAATGCTTTTTTTTTTCGCAGGAATGTGTCGGACGCTCATCGCCGCGCGCGGATTAGTGCACCAAATGCTGTCGCCCAACTTAGAGTGGGATGTGCGGCTGCCGCGACCTTTTGAAGTCACCGAAGAACGACTCCAGTCATAAAGTCGCATATGTACAGCGTAATAAAGATTCACGATCGGTCTATTGCACATGGTAAGGTTCGTTATAATTTATGCGAGAGAGAGAGAAAAGATAAGGTTTGCGTGGAGACGGCATAACACTGAATCCTCTAAATTCAACAAAGAGGATTCGCGCCGATTTAAACGCATCAATTTGAAAAGGCGACAAGAGCCTATGATGCGATTATGGACGGGGAGCATCCCCGAGGCGCAAAAAGTCAAGAACCATTATGACACAAAAACACAAACATGAGGGATAATGAGTGTGCAAAGCAAATTTCAAGATACATAATACCCAGGAGACGGATTATCAGCAAAGTAGGGAAGTCATAAAAGTGAGCTCGGAACCTTTCATGCATCGCCTGGAGCTGCTGCCATTTCTGTGTCTGCGTTAGCATTGGTTTGTTCGGCAGACTCTGTGGCAGCAGCCTCTGGTTTCGTTGCAGGATCCTCCGCTGTTGTCTCCACCGCATCCGTTGCAGCGCTCATCTTATTCTCGTCCTCTTTGAGCGCTTCACTATTTGTCGGATCAGGCTCGGCATGAGCATCAGCGTCGGCTGACGCATCGGCCATCAACGCATCGCCGTTGGTCGCTGTCGTAGGGGCCGCAGAGGCCGCGTTTGCACCTGCGATTTTGCTCCACTCGGAAACCAGTGTCTGGGCGCGTTCGCGAATGTTGTGCTCATCACCATTGGAATGACACCGTCTGGAAGTCCAGCAATTCTTCGCATGACTTTGCCTATCGATTAGGGCTTAGCATCGTTTCTAGCCCTTGAGCGCACGCTCTGAACGCACCGATCTTGGACTGGGTCATTAAATCCAGCGTTAGTTGAGGAGTATAATTCTCCAGTGTCGTCATGAGGTCCGAGGAATCTTTCATATCCTGAGGAAATTCGTCAACTATGTTAGGTTTTCGCACCGTGCGTCAATACACACCTCTGCTTTAGGATTGCCCGACTTCGGTAAGAAGGTACGCTGCAGGTCGTGTCTCCAAGTCTTAACTTTCTTGCCTTCGGGCCCCAGTGCTGGTAAAAATGCATAAACGATGGCGCGGGGGAACACTCAATCAAGAAAGGTTTTACCCTCGTCCCCGTCCTCCTCCTCTTCCTTCTTAGAACGCTTTGCGTGCCGTGCAGCATCGGTCTTTGCATCGACAACAGCCGCTTCATCTTCACTTTCAACGGTCTCTGCAGATAAAACACCGTTTTTCTTCCCTCGACCTTTCCTAGATTTGGGTGTCGCCTCCTCGGACTTGGCCTTGGCCTCCTTTTTCCCTTTCGGTGTCCTAGGCTTCGACTTTCTGGCCAATTCGTCTGTGCGCTTGCGTTTTTTTGTGGCAGGTTTCTCGTCCTCCTCGTCCTCCTCATCCTCTTCATCTTCTAGCTCGTCAACGGGAGCATTTTTCTCCTCCTCCTCTGCTTCCTGTAGCAGTTTGGCTTGGCGAGCTTCCCATTCGGTGGGGTCCAGTGCTGTTTTGTACGCCTCCATTAGCTCTGCATTCTTTTTAGATGGCTCCCGGATGTAGGCCTCAATCTCATGCTTCAATAACTTGGACATGTCTTTTGCGATTTGCCATGCACTAGTGGGGGGTGGTTTAGTGTCTCACACAGTTATGGAAAAATAGTGCAATTACTAACTGGTCACCCACAGGGTAAAAGCGAACGCAGTAGAAGGTGTTCTTAGCCCCCTTTGGACGTTCCTTCTTGACCGCCGAAGGAACAGAGTCAGGATCCACGATCTAAGTGCACGTGAGGCGAACCAAGCGACGCGTCTGTGAATGACGATAGTGACATAAGACAGAGCAGTGCTATCTTACGCGAGCTGGCCATGGGGGATAACCCTTAATCTTCGCGAGGACAATATCTCCGACTTCATATGTCACTGGGGGTCCCGAAGATTTCTTAGACGAGCCAGACATAGCGAAAAGCACTAGACGGTAGACAAGAGATTCGCAAGAGGCGGAAGGGACTTTTTGAGAGGCAACGAATAAGCGCTGCAACGACCTGATCAGATGCCCGTCGCAGATAGAGTTCAAAACAACTCAGGTGCCGAAGCTTCCGGAATCAAAATCGGAGTTTCAAGCGGCGCTTGAAATTCACACGTGTTTCCTCAACCTTTCGACCACAGTCATGAACAACTTGCAACGTTGTTAGAGTGACCATGACGTTTGAAAATGTGCTTGGACGTTTGTGTCGGGTTGGATTGCAGTATTGGAGCGTTACTCGTAACCCACACGATTAGCCCAGCAGAAGATAACCCCTTTGGCGCTTGGCATTTACCGTGCCCACTCCATTGCATCATAGTTACTCCAGTTCCCTGTCATAGATATCGTCGGTAGCCCCGCTTCCACATTATCGTCTTCAGACAACTGTACTGCAGTTTACCTTTCTCGAATCACGTGTATGGCTCGTTGATCCGTCCAGGGGTAAGTCACTTATTCCGATGGCAGAATACGCCCCAAAAATTTACCGACGGTTGCGAACGACCGAAAACATTACCGATGGACAGGTTCGCTGCGCACCTTTATGTCTCCTTAGCTATGGTTTCGAAGATGCTCATACCGGCCAAGATGGTTCCTTGCGCTTTGTTTCCGCATCTCCACCTCACTCCCATATTCCACGTTGGTGACTGCATTGCTCAATCGCTTGCAATGCAGGTGTACATTCCATTCATTTGCTTCCCAAAATGATATTTGAATTTATGAACTTGGTACAAGATAGAACGACTCCGAGAGACAATCTTTGATCAATTGCTTGAAGGAGCTATCCCATCGGTCGCCCTGATCCCCAATAGCTAAGCTGGGCATCAATGGATGGCGTCACTGGTAGGTTGATGTAGGGAGTGTGACGGAGGTCCGGGTCAGAATCAGGCATGGAGGTAGCGCTGGCGATTAAACTGGAGGAATGAGGTGTTAAGGAGAAAAGATTCCCGAACCCTGTGTACGCACATTTATCCGGATCGCTGGCAGATGGAACCTTAGTGTTGTCATGCAGCACTGAGTTGGGGGATACTCAATTGAACGAGCGGGGAAAGATCATTGTCATTGTGGTTGGGGGTGCCTCATAAATAGCTGTTGGCAATACCAACCTATGGTCGGAACGCGAGCCAGGCATGCAGCCGATTCGGCTGCTCACCAACTCACAGGATTGTAGATGGGTGACAACCAGAGTGGGGTCGACGCCATTCTACAACAAGTTCCATTGGAATCTCGTTTAGTTTTCCCTTGTCATATATTTCACGAGATGCCTGAGTGGATCGCGGATGATGTTGAACCTCGGAATTTCCGGTTGAAAATTCCGACTTACGCGGACCGTGGGTTGATTTGACAGTCCTAGCGATCCACGACCCGCGTCGAACACTCGTGGCATATCAATTGAAGTCGGGATTGATGGACAATTCAGCATCGCTGTTCGGCAGATGCCGGTGGTTAGCCATTCCCTTTCATAAGCAGCCAGACTCTTGCGATGAGCAACAAGATAGTGGTAAGAGTTGACTGAAGGACGCTGCAGTTCAACAACATCTAAAGATGCCCTATCATGGCTATAGCCTGGCGTGTACCGTCACATCGTCGATGATGTTATGGCAAACATCAGATCTGAGTTCGAAGAGTTCGGCGTCGACGAGCGAGTGTTGACCGACCTTCAGGCGGTAAGCTGAGTTTCATCTCATGCCTATTTTCCTTTTTCGAATGATCCACTGGATGTTCTGTGCACCTGGAACATGAAACCAGAGGTGGGAAAGCAAGATTCTGAGTTCAAACGTTGCAGAATTCGAGAGAGCACCTCCGCAACAGCCGCAACCGCATCTCGTCTATCCATCTGCCCCACCTTCCCTTCCAGGCCCACCCCTCTCGACGCGCTACTCTCATCCTAACCACCTTGATTCAACTCAGCCTCCGCCACTCGCCGCTCCGCCTCCGTCCACGCTCTATCCGCGTCTCCCATCAAACGGCGTTGGGAATCCGCTCGGTTCTGGCTCGCCTTACGGCTTCAATGCCTCATTACCAGTATGTCTATGGGCCGTTTTTGTTGAAGACGCGCAATGCTGATTTCGTCCAGCCAGTGAAACAGGAACCTCAGACTCAAACACTTCCGCGAATACCACAATTAGATGGACCATCATCTTCATCGCAGGATTCTGATGGTTCATCCGATGAAGCATCACCGTCTCCGATATCGAAACCTGTTCCACTGCCATCTCTGAAAGTTGAGAAGAAGGAAGAAATTGATGACGAAGCAGTCATAGGTTCCGATCTTGATGACTCAGACGATGATGATAATCTCGCAGGAATTGGAGATGACCCAGTGAATGGTGCCAAGGACATCGTATTTTGTACTTATGACAAGGCGAGTTCTGGTCCAACAGGTGACATCACTTTACTCAATTCGGTCGTCTCTCGAACATCCTCTAGGTTCAACGTGTGAAAAATAAATGGAAGTGTGTTCTCCGAGATGGCATGGTACACCTTAACGGAAAAGACTACCTCTTTTCCAAATGCAATGGGTATGTCCTTTCTTGCTCTTTCACGGGGCCTTCACTCAGTGACATACATGACAGTGAATTCGAATGGTAGGAATCAATCAATAACCAACCCCTCCCGTACTTGTACTTCTCTTTCCAAATTAACTCTTCCACTTCTTGAGCCTCTCTGTACTCTTCTTTTCATCATCACCCCGTCTCATCACTCACAGCATATTTCCCATGGCATCTTAGTCGCACTAATCCAATTGAGCTATAACCATCAACGTGCCATCTCGATCCCTGTATTAATGAATATGTCCGTCCATGCGGTCATTGTGATAGGCCATAGCTGCACCGCACAGTTCTGTCCAGCAGAAACTATGCACACTGAATCGCCAATGAAAATTTGAGTATCGATTAGTGTTGGAATTTGGCAAACCTTTCCGTAATTGATTGCATAATGTTACTCGCATCGTTGAACGGTTAATTTGTCGCAAAGTCCGAATATGCGGCCTCCACTAGCCAGAAGTCCTGCATGGGTGTGCACGGGGAGCTCGGCAGTTTGCACGATCGACTGTCCTAATGGTTCCTATCACTCACCATTTGGGAGATGGCGGAAGTACATGCCTCGATCTTGTTCGGTCCACATGGGGCCTAAGTGTCTTTGCAAAGAGGTACAAGGTAGCTAGGGACGAGTCAAGATCTTACTCAATCTGGCTGCCTGCTCGTCTAGAGTTGCCTTACATCTGGTGAGCTTTCATGAGCCTCGAGCAATCATTGATCCGGACTATGGACATCGAAGATTCTGGGCAATAATCTCGATAACGAAGCGCTACCACTACTTATCATTCGCCAGCCCGAGGCACACCGCAGGGGGACAACACCAACCAATTATTCCGATGAACCCGCTCTCCAGGTTTGGTCGCGTCTTCAGATCGATGAATGTTGCTTTCTCTGAAAAGTCGTCGGCAACACAACAATTTATATTATAAAGGGTTCTTCCAAGTGAAATATTGGCACCCAACCTGGGACATTGAGTCTCAATTGCAATCTCCCCTCAGGCTCTCTCAGAATGGATTGTCGCAAAGAAACAGTTTCTAAAACAAAATCTCTCATGAGAAAACTGGACCCCCCTGAAATATGGGAAGTGGGATCGGCTGATGTGCCTCAACCTCCGCACGCATGTTGTCGCGAGAGTCTCGATTGCCGAGGTCTATCCTCAACTATGTTAATCTGTCTGTGGCCGGAGAAGACGGCTTGGTCATTGCAGCATAGAAGCAGGACCAAGTATCCTACGTACTTTTCTGCGGACACGACAGCGACTTCTCCGGAAGTGCCGCCAAAGCTAATCAACAGATGATCTCATGCCTCCAACGGCTTCGTACTTCAATACCACGACTACTCGTGGCCCAACGAGTCAGGTAAAATGACCCAAGAACTCATTAGGTTTGCCTTATGTCCTTCCTGTTCACGGTAGCATTCAAACATCACTCATGGATAATACTGCGAAGGGGTTTTAGAATTGTGATGAATATACCATATGTAAGGGTGCCGAACTCAGTCATCTCTATTATCTACGTCCAACACAGAGGACCTCACCTGGCCCCAATCTCTGCGACCGTGAATCTCTCATGACACCCTCACGTCCACTGTTCATTCCCCCTGGCTCGGTCACAGGGGCCAACAAACTCCTATGAAATGAAAATTGAAGGGACTAACTGGTTCGGCTGTCAGCTAACCCTTGGTCGTTCATGGGCAATGGCTTCAGCAGCGCTACAAATCCCATAAATGAAGGGCGAAAATACTCGCGATCTTGGTTCTTGACTGTCGTTGCCGTTACTTTCTTCGATGGTCCCGAGTCAAGTTACTCGCAGCGCTGATTCCGACACCCTGAGCCACAAGCACGACATTCTCTGCTTATAACTGACTGTTTGTTTTTAAATGGCGAATACCTTTATGTCCGACCTCCAGTCATCACAAAATTGTTTCCTGGCTCACCCCCCGGGGGTGACGGGGGGTACCGGGCCACGTACAATCCCTGAGTCTAGTTCCAAGTGCTACTGCTTTCGTTCTCGTTACGCTAAAGTGAATCGACTCACTCCCCGATTATGTTTCTAACCATGACGTCCCCGCGCGTCTTTCATGGAGGAACTTCAAGAATAATGCGTGGATAAATCGCGATATCAATGGAATCCCAGGCCAACAAAAGTCTGTGTCCGCACATGTGCAAAACGGCCTCTTCCTGGATGGAAGATAATTTTGTCACGTACGCTCCCCATGATCAGTTTTGGTCTTTCAAGGTGCGATTCCTGGGCGCAAAGCATCGCAATTTAGCTATTGCATCGGAGTTCCTCATCAGTGTGGATCTCAATATCCCTCGAGCTTCGCTCCACTAGCAAAGGGTTATATCTTCACACCCTTACGTCGGGATGCTTCTTTCTTCTGCTCAGCCACTCTGCGGAGTTGTATGGGTGCTGGGTATTTGCTCGCGGTCTGGTCCGTTGGATGTGGTTTTGCAAAGAATGAGTTCAGTTTGAATATTTCAAGGAATGGGGATTGTAACTGGAATCCCTGCTGGACTGGGGTGCCCGCTCAAACGTTTGAGGCTGGGAACAGGCCCAAGACTTGGCCTTCACCGCCTTCAGCTGTGGGGCTCCACTCGGTAGCGCGCTAGGTTTTACAATGGGAAGCATCTCGATCCAGAAGACGAGGTCAAGTTCTCGCCTTAGTATCAGATAATCTTTACATGGCATTAATATCGACCTGCAATAAATAAATCATAGGTATATGCATTGGAGCTCAGCGTTCCATTTCGGTGCAGCTCGTGTCGGCTTGATACAGTGCTGGCACTTGCATTCTCGAGACATGTCGGGTTGATAGTTGAGCCCGGATAAATTATCCTCGGTTCAACAAATTGGCTACGCTTTGGGAGTATGTAATTGCATGGCGTGCGCAAGACTTCAGAGCATGCAGAACGAAGCTCGACGAAATGTGGACTTAACTGATAGGGGCGAATGCGTGGTCAGCAGGGAATTAACGGCCGAGATAACTACGAGATACCGTGTGGTGTTTGGGCAGTGGCAGTAGCCGGTGCAACTTCAGCGATAACAAACATACATAGCTGAAACGACATGCGAGTTAGCGATCGAATGAGAGGAGATACTTCAAAGCCTGTGCACAACGTAAACTGCATGGTGTGACAGTAGAACCAGCGCTAAGCACAAGCTTGCTTTACTATACTGTAAAGGAGGCGTCGAGTATTTGTGGCGGCCGGCCGATTAATCATACCGCGTAAGTCTAAAGCCTGTAGGGGTGCGATTATCATTTATTCTCGTTATGGCATGATTCGTCTGTCCCTCATTATTCATTGCTTCAAAGATCGAATAAGGATCATTGCAGCCGTGTGCTCCCCCCGCAATAATTACATGCAGGATATCGCCTATCCCACATTCCTCATGCATAGACCAGGCAATTCTGTCCCAACAACTAGACATTTCCTTGAATTGATCTGTACCACGGTCATGGGTTCTGGTCACGTATTCTCCTCTATCCCCGTCTTCCTCGTTCGTTCCCATTACTGTCCCCGTCACAACCCATCACCATCACCTCCTCTAAGTATGCACCTGGTAACAATTTGGGCGACTTTTCGCTTATGGCAAGGCAACGATCACATGTTTCATACAGCAAGATCAGCAATTGGGCGTGCCTAGCTTTCCCCCTATGTTGTCATCTCTCTGATACTCATGGCCATTGCGACAATCCTTCGACTGCGATAAGAGCTTGCCACTTGCCTATCCTTCGGAAGAGCCGAAGAACATAGGGTGCGGGTATAATGAGAATGACCGCAGGGGGTATCACAACAAGAGCGAAGATTGTGAGGACGAGTGTTATGGGAGCTTTCACGACGAGGAAGTGAAATATGGGGATATATGACCCTTCCCAATCGAGAAACTGCATTTGAAAAAGTGAGGAAACAAGTTTTGAACAAAACGATAAAAGAAACTGACCATGTCGTATGAATTTTGAAGGAATGTGCGTTGAATGGGGATGCCTGACTCCGGGTCAATTTCGACGGGCGGCTGATGGAAGACAGCTCTTCTTTGTGGAGGAGGCTGAATGCCGTGGAAATAGCTTTGCATACGAATCTGAAAGCGCAAAAAAATTGCGGGCAGTATGGCATTGTAGAGGCGAGGGATGTGCCCACCTCAGCATCGGCAAAGAATCTTGAGCCGATAAGCGTCAACCACCAGATCAAAGTCCCTTTAGGAGAAGGAAACATTGGCATATCGTTATGTCTTTGCCTTGTTCGAAACTACTGATAGAGACTCACCCAGAGGTAATGTCAATAGTAAAGTTGTTCCAATTAGAACACCAAGGAACAAATACAGCCACGCAACAAGGGCAAATAAGAAATTGAGCAATATAAGGTGGAGGACAGGTAACCAGTAAGCCTTTCGTCTTAGTGGTCTGAAATATTTTCGGAGTCTCCGTGATGGTGCTGATTGAACTCGTGCTTGATGTTGTTGTTGACGTGAACCATGCACACCTGCAACATTCTGGAGCAAAGGCGACCTTTCTGATACCAGATTATCTTCGTCATTCTCTGGGTCTGGAAAAGTTCCGGAACTGGAAATGCTGGCCCTATGTCGCGCCCTCTTAGCTCGACGCACGGAGTCAGCATATGAAGGAGGAGGTTCGGTAATGGTGGTAGTATGGTGATAAGAAGTTGCAAAGTTGTCTCCTGGAGTCATATAGACCGCGCTCATGGCTAAAGTTAAAAATGTAGTGATATCGAGGGAGCGAATGAGACGTTAAGACGTTGGCTGACGGACATCGGAGATGATAGGGTCATTTAATGAAGGGGCCTTTATTTTCTCGGAAGTCACGCGACTGAAATAGTTCCGGATTTGGTCTTCCACCGAACCGGGTTTCCATCAAGTACAGATCAGATGCGCTGGCCGCCATAGAGCCAATCCAATTTCTGCTTCGGAAAGCTTCGTGAATTTGCTGCACTACGACAGCATTTCCCAAACTCGTTGAGTCGAGTGGAAGAGGCTGGAGTTTACAGCGAACTGAAGCTGCCAATCAGGTTGATGGAATAAACGGGTCGATCACACAACAGTTTGGACGTGATAGCATGACAGACCTCTACCAGGCTTTGTACCTGCACCTTTTATGGCCAGACGCCTCGACCATGTTTGAGAGCACATAACTAGTCAAGAGCGACCCCGTGTTCTCTCAAATCCAATTGCCTCTGAGGGTCTGCTTCTACCCAATCGCTGCCACTGGGAATGGGTTCCCGCCATGACTAAGCTTTCCGCGCCTTCCTCATCTAAGGCATGTGTACAGTGTGTGATGCAATGAACGAGGTCACAGATGGGTATTTCACACTACATCATTAATTGCTGGGAGGGCACGCCCTACGGTCTGATTAAATGGGTATAGGCACCCGTACAGCTCCATGCAAAAGTGTTGATGGGAGTGGCACAATATTGAAGCCAATAATATACCGCCCGGTATATATATACGCATCACTGACAACACATCAACCTCTCGCCCTCGTCCCAGTACTAGTCTGCGTCCATTGACGAGTCACGTAGGGTTGTAACCTAATTTCATCATGCATGACCCGGTTCAAATGCTCAGGAGATTATTCCATGTAATTTTTGCGTGCACATTGTAGACTCATTTGCAGTCACCGCATCCCAAACCTATGATGCATCATGCGAACAACTTACCCTAGGAGTTCATTCATCTAAAGTCTACACTGGTACACTGGATTGTAATCAACAACTGGAAAAAAAAGCAGACAAGTTTCGAAATTAGAGTTTGGCACACGGTCGCCTAGCACGTCGCTTTAGGATTGGCCTAGCGCCAGGAATCATTTTCAGTGTATGCGCCAGAGGTTGGTGCGACAAGTTGTCGGTCAGGATCGCTTTCCCAAGTGACTAGGGAAGAAGGCCGTTGACATCAACTCTTCAAGATCCTCGAACCCACTCACCTGCGCCATTGTACTTCCTGATGTACTTGTATTGGAACGTTATCCCAGCGGGAACATAGACGGTGGTGGACCAAGTGGGATAGCCGGCTGAGCTGAGAGGCACGGCACTATCTGGAGACCAACCCCCAAGAGCACCAATGCTTCCAGCGATGTAAATATTCTCCTATATGAAAAGCCCTGTGCTGAGCTCGACAGTCATACCTGCATATTCGCAGCAACTTACCCCCCAAACAGTTGTAGCGTACGCATTGAACGTGATGGCAACAGTATTTGGGCAGGATGCTATGGAGAGTCCCTTGGCACCCCAAGATGATGGGAGGGTATTATTCCTGGCGTCGAAGGCCGTCAAAGCAGAAGCGAAGCTCCAGGTCAACTGAACAGCGCTCCTCTGAGCCCCGGTCGACTTGTCATATTGTTCGCTCAGCTCGCCGCTGGAGGGTGTGTACTGTTGAGCGAGAAGCAAGAAGCCTGTCGATATGATTCAGCACAAAGGAGCAGTCTTGAAAAGGGGTGCTCACCATCAGCATATGCAGACACCGCATCGTATAAAGTGGTGTAAGTGGAAGTATCGGCAGCATAATACCCAACTGCAGCAGAAGAAATTAGTTGTTGGAAGAAAGGAAGGGAAACCGATGTGACATTTATGCCGCCCGCAGCCTCCCATTGATAGAGAGCATGGTAAAGCTGCTGGCTAGCAGCAAATGTCCCAATGTACCAAGGGTTGCCTAGTGAGCGAGTCAGCAATTAGTGTCATTCCGTGGTTGGATATAGTTACCATTGTAATAAACGTCCTCCTTATAGCGTCCAAGATTTACCGCACTGCTGGCCGAAATACCGGAATTCAGCGAGTAGAGGCTTCCCCTGAAGGAATTGACGGTCGTGTAATGATTCAACAAAGCCCTGTCTGAGCCCGGTTGGAAGGTGGCAGCATCAGGACCAGCGGCAGGACTAATCAAAGTATCAGAATAAGAGAATTTGCGTAAATTCAACGCACGATCTCACTCAAATGTATGTATGGATCCTAGGAGAGTGTTGATATCCAGACCGCTCCGCCGGTCCTCGACATTAATATTAGCTATGAGAGCGCTAGAGGAAGGGGACCAGAAGGACTGGATGATACAGGTTCAGGATTACAGCGGAAGAGACATGACATAAGACTCACTTGTAGGAAGCATAACAAATTTGCGGCTTGGATTGTGTACGTGGATGCGCGGGTAGAATCGCCTTGCTTCGCGGCAAAAGTCGTGCCTTCTCTCAACGCGCGGTGCTGGACGGCAATAGTGAAAAACGACGAGCCATTCACTTCCTCCCATAGATCAAACCCAGTCTGTATGAGATGAGATGAGAGTTCGCTAATAGAATGCGCTCTCCTGAGTGAAAATACCTCATTCCAAGTGCCAGCTACATAGTCAAGATCGAGTTGTACCATCGGCCAGATTGTATCCGCAGGATAGCTGGTATTGCCGTTTGAAATGAGATAATTGGCCTGTCGGTAATGGGTGGGTGTGCAAACGCGATTCAGGCAGTATCACTCACGAAGTTAATGAGGGCGGTGGCTCGAAGAGCCGGCCCATCTCGCTGAGGACGTCCCCAAGCATCGGTGAATGCAGTCTCGTTGACCTAGTAAGGAAATACTGTAGGCAAAGGCAAGCTTTTACGTAAATGGGGGCACTCACGTTGAACTTAGGCTCTCCAACGCTTCCCGAAGGATTCGAGACGCTTTGCAAAACCTTTTCGGCAGCAATGAAATCCGTGATTTGCCCCAAAAGAGTCTTGTCTCTACCCTGTATGTACTCATCGATAAGCAGCTTGAAGACCTGAGCCCAAAATGCGTCAAGCTGCTAGTATTCCTGTGGCTAACCACAGGGAATTTCGTACCAGTGAACTATCTCTCGTCCCTGATAGCCTAAGTATGAGAATGATGAATGACGTTGTTGAGTCCAAGCTACTAACAAGTGTACAGGTAGTTGGGATCCGAGGTCGAGGGTGACGCAATGACAATCCTGGCAAGGGAAATCCGAGTCAGAGTAAAATGTGAACTCTTCAGCGCCTGGCGCACCCCGGTTTTGCCCCATTCGTCCCAATATTTGCGAGAAGGCCAGCCTTTGCGAGTCTGGACGATCAACATCAGCTCGTGCATTTGTTTCTGATAAAATATACACACGGAGCCTCGGTCGAGATGTATGAAGGCACATCACGAGTGGCACTCTAATTGATGGGTCAAGCCTCCTCGTTGTGCAAGCCAGCAGAATTACGTACGCCAAAGAGAGCATCGAGCAAGACGGTGCCCTTACTGAACAACACAGCGACAAAGGGTGCAAGTTGTTGGAAAATTATGGTCATTTTTGCGAACACGGGAGTATGTCGTTCTGAGAGTCAAGAACGAGCTTCCTAGCCGCAAATGGGTTTATAAGTCAGGTGCTATATCAATTACCTGGTTATGCACATAGAACCCTGCATCCCAGCATTCGTGGCGGCGGCAAGGTGGAATGAGGAACCATTTGATGATACAGCCAGAGACTCGCTTCACTTAGAACACTGGTGCAATCGGATGGGGAACAATTCCTCGGAGTGTGTTCTTGTACGATTGATGCTGTCAAAAGGAGCATATGAGCACATGGAGTAATTACGGTATTTAAAGTCGAAAGATCAACAGCATGGGAAGGGCAAGAGCGCGCGATTCCTTGGGACCCGTTTCATCCAAACGGATTCATTCAGTAGTCCCCAAACGGTTCTAACAGTCATTTGTCGGTGCTTAGAGCATGCTGAGAATGGTAAATGGATCTGGGAGCCAATCATCAAAACTCATGCGTTGTGCATTTAAATTGTGACGGACGACGAACAACACTTTTAAGGATGAAAGATTGTACAATTCATACCCAACAGCACCCTTGGATGGGGAGAGCCGAGTCAGGCGGTAGCGCCCTGCGAAGCTACTGCAAATTATGAATGTGCTGTCTATTGGAGAAGCGACGGGCGTCAAGGGGTGCGCGGCAAGTTGCGCTTGGCCTCAATGTGCGTCGCCCATGCCCTCAAGGGATGCTTCACCTACCTTTCCACCCACCTTACATCCCCCAGATACCAAGCACCCAGTGCCGGGGAAGATTGTGAAGGTCGTGAAGATGCACCTAACGACACAGCACATCCTCTCCAATGTCCGGCAATCGACTTGCCAACCTTCGCGTCTTCTATCAAGGATGGAACACTCACTAGACCTGGCTTACGCAGAAAGCTTCGTCCGGTGTTCGCGAGCGATGCATACACCCCCGAAAGCGCGTCCTCGAGCTTGAAGGAGTTGCGGAATGGAAAGCCCCATCCATCTGCTACGTCGACGTTGGACGGCTGGACGAATGGGCTGGGTGCTACCGGAAGTAGCACTGAGCCAACCGATGCCGCTCCGGGAAATACAAGGGAAGTCTATGTCCATGAGGTGTGCCCCAGGATGTTTGTGCCTCTTTGCAAATACCCATTCCGCCTCAGATCATGCCCGCAGATTCACTCGAAAGCGTTGCGCTCAAATATGGCATCAAGGTATTTTTCACGCGTTGATCGAAGTGGATCGTACTCATTTGAGCGTGGCTTTCAGGTTGCTGCTCTTCGCAAAGCAAATAAATTATGGCCAACTGACAGCATACACTTGCGAAAAGTGAGAATTAATAGCTCGATAGGGATACTTCTGGTGATCATTACTGTTTATAGGTCTTGTATATCCCGGTTGACTGGCAGAAAGCGAAGGACTCGATCTTTGACGCAGATGAGGCATTTGCAGCACCATCTTCATCCAAATTGTCTGGGGAACGAGCGATTCGCGAGTTCGCCAGCTCAGCCACAAGACGCCACGTTCCCCTTTCAGAGCTTTCCTTTTTCCCGCCAGGTGCTCATCAGTTGGCTTGCCCGGAGTCAGTTCGAACCTGCCTCCGTGACCCTGTCCCCGAAACGATACGATCGCAGGGAGAGGCCAGGTGTCTTCAGCATGCTCAGGAATGAGATTGAGCGCCTCTCCTGGATGTCAACTGACTCGCTTGCGCATTATTCTACCCCTCGAGCGTCATTCTCAGATGATGGTGTAGGGACGTCCGCAAGTGCCCAGAGCGAAGTTGAGGTCGAACTTGATGTTGCAAGAGATACGTGGCGAAAAAGTGGGGTGCACGTTTGGCAACGTAATGGGAGCCCAGAGCTACCAAAGGCACCAGCGTCGAAGATCAGCTTTGAGGCACCGGTTCCCGGCGCCGGACCTCCTATAGTAAAACGACAGCCGGGGGAAACGCCCCAAATGTCAATATTTCGACCACCAGGACGATGACATTTCTCCGCATCCTTTTTTTTACGTATCGCATGACTTTTGGACGCATTCTCTTAGAATTTGTAATCTGCCCAGCCAGTCCCGATAAGCTGTATTATTACTATTTTGCTTTGCGACGGTCGTCACGGTCGATAACTTACGCGGTGCTTCTCCGGGAATTTTAGGTAGGCACATCACAATCAGAGCAGAAAATAAAAGCAATGAACTGGAATGAATGGGCAGAGTGAGCACGAAGTAGAGGTACAAGGGTGTTGAAAGTAGATTAGTACGAGCAAAACCAAATCACGGGCGAAGGTTCGGAGATATCAGACGGTGAAGCAGTCCATTCGGCAGAACAATCAAAACAGCCGAATTGAGGCAATTAACAATGTGCCAGGCGCGAAAAAAGAACACAATAACGTACAGCCCTCCTGCAATCTCGTACCTCCATTAAATAACAATGTGGCGTCACAGTAGTCATGGGGTCAAAAAGGTAGGATGTGAGCTTAGCATTCGGCGTTTGCGGGCCTGCCTCTGCAAGCCCTCGAGAAAAGTGAAGTTGACATTTGTATAGCCACATAGTAAAATTTACTATGAGTCCTGGACGTCCTGCAGGACACCGCAGAGCAGCGGGATAGAAATTGAGAGGTTAGGAATTCAGTTCTTGAGCGAAGTCCAGGACCGGAAGGGTCAGAAGCGTCACGTTACAGTCACGTCGCGTTGTCACACCCTTGCGTTGAATATCTGGAGCCTCATAATCACCATTTCTACCTCCAGTGTAAAATCAACACATTGCAATGACAGCCACATCTGCACACGAAGAAGAACAGTATCTGTCACTCATTCGACGCGTGATGGAGGAAGGTGCGACACGCCCTGATCGCACTGGTACGGGGACAATCTCCATATTCGCGCCTCCCTCGTTTCGGTTCTCACTGCAGAACAGCGTGCTTCCCTTGCTAACCACGAAGCGTGTCTTCTTCCGTGCGGTACTGGAAGAGCTTTTGTGGTTCGTGCGCGCTGACACAGACTCCACGCATTTGTCCGAGCGTGGCGTAAAGATTTGGGATGGCAATGGGAGTCGAGAATTCCTTGATAAACGAGGACTCAGTCATCGCCGGGTTGGTGATCTTGGCCCCGTATATGGGTTCCAGTGGAGACACTTTGGGGCGAAGTATGAGACTGCAGATACAGATTATGCCGGTCAAGGCGTTGATCAGCTAAAGGAGGTCATTCGAAAGATCAAGGAAGATCCAACGGATAGAAGGATCATTATGAGTGCCTGGAATCCTGCAGGTGCGCGCATGCTGCATATCCTATCCTGCCAGACTGATTACGCCATTCTCTCCAGACCTGCCTCAGATGGCGTTACCGCCTTGCCACATGTTCTGCCAATTTTACGTTCACCTGCCTACTCCAGCAACAGAAAAGCCGGGACTCTCATGCATTATGTTCCAAAGATCTGCTGATCTTGGACTAGGCATCCCTTTCAATATCGCTTCATACGCTCTTCTTACGCATATGATTGCTAAAGTCACTAACACGGAGGCTCGGGAGCTCATCATTCAACTGGGGGACGCGCATGTCTACCGTGATCATGTTGATGCGTTGAAGATTCAAGTCACGCGGGAGCCTCGTCCATTTCCAACTCTACGGTGGACCAGGGACATCACGGATATCGACGACTTCAAGTATGAGGATTTTGCCGTAGAAGGATATCAGCCTCACGGGAAGTTGGACATGAAAATGAGCGTGTAGCGGTGAAGATGTAATCCAGGATGAATTTGAATTTATTTTGATGCTTCTATTTTGCTTGAATATTGCGTTTGTGTTCCTTGCATGAGTCCATGTTCATACAACTTGAACGTCTGCAGTTCTGGTTGTGAGCGATAACATGCCCAGGTCAGGACTTGAGCTTCCCGTTAAAGAGAGGCTGGTCACCTGCCTAGACTTGAGCGCCACTGCATTGAATTATGTAATGTGACTGTGCGAGTCCCACATGCACGTGGCCGTGACGTTCACATTCGCAGGCCTATCGCAAGGTTTCAGGCCACGGGGATAGGTGGGTTGACAAGGCAAGACGATTTTCTGCATCCCTTCCAGGAGTGCCCTGGAGATGTCACGGCTTGACGCTAAGGACGCTGGTTCTCCTGGTTCCGTCAACTGGCATGTTCCTCGTTCTGTTGAACCATGAGTGGAAGTTAGCTGATACATCACGTAGGCTCCTTATTGTTCTATGCGTTGTCATCGTTATCGTCACTTCATTCTTCCTCTTTTTTTGGAACCGTTTGTTTGGATGGTTCGTCGGATTCGTGCTCCGTACCTTGTACTGGAAATCCAATAATGTCTGGTTAGAGTTCGGTAGGTCACGAATACCGGGCCCGGGGTTGACTCTTTCTCGACCTTACTGTTTTGTCCGGCAGATGCTATCCAAATATCACTGCTGTCCGGGCGACTGTTCATCAAAGAGTTGAGGTACCATTCAACAAATCAATCCGTCAGAATTGTAAAATTCCACATTACCTGCCGGTATTGGTTTTGGAGAACCCGAGAACTCAGCGATGACACTAAGGTAGTTGGAGAGAACGTCCGTATGTGTTAATGACTGGACGCCGTGTATGTATAGGTTTAATCACCTTTGTTCACAGATTCTCCAAAGCGGGCGCCTTGCCTAATTAAATGCGTCGCGGAGGGGTTGGAATGGTTCATATATAACCGAACCCCTATGTACGACGACATTCTGAATTGTATGATGTCGGAAAGCCAAGAGCAAAATCGCTTCCCCCTGAAAGGGACGGCAACCAATGCTTCGCGGGTGACGAGGAGTGATTACCCCCAAGCTGAAGCTGTAGATGCCCGAACAGGTCTGTCATATCGTTCGATGATAATTTGATGGCATTATGATTTCAATGCTTAGATGCAGCTCAGCGTCGCAGATACAGTGCCCTATTGCGACTTCTTATCGCTCCTGTCGTATATGTGAAAAGTTTCATCATCTCTCTACTCCCGAAGTTCGAGTTCGGCGATTTCTTACCAATCTCATTTGATTTGGTTCGAGGGGCTATAATGGTTGGGAACAGGTCAACTCCAATTTTGCTGGTTGGAGCATTCAATAGAGCCGAGGGTACATTTCAGATTGTTCCGGTAGGATCACGAAGTCCCCAGATAATTACCTTCTAAAGACTACTGAATACCACAGTCTCGATCTCAGTTGGATTTGTACAAACAAATATATGCCTTCAAGTTCAAGGACGTGAAGATATACACTCGTGTAAACAAAGATTACTATCAGCCTATGGTTGGGCATGGTACCGCAGTTCTCAATGACATAAAAGGGGCTACGGGGACGTGCGTAATTACGGCTTGAAGGCAGCTCACAGTTTTACACCCTTTCCTAGTTCCCCTACTGTGCCCCTCTCGTTGAGCAATTTTATATCTCGAAAGTTTCGCAGCATTGCCCTTGGTTTCTGGCGGCCATCTCTCATTCATGAATCTATCGAGATGAACCGTTGGCAAGGTCTGTCCCGGTACCACACCCAGCTAGACACAATCGATCGAGATCGGTCTGATGAGTATGCCCGTTGGTCCACCTTATTGGAGACATCGATGTTTGAGATGCGCTATTATTCGGATGTTGCAGGTAGGTTGGTGTCCGGAACTTGGCTCAATTAAATTTATGTGTTTTAGGGTCTGTCCCCGCGAATGCACGTCCGACGGGAACCGAAGGCCTTGAAACCGTGGACGTTGGTAATGGCGATCTGGCTCCGCAGTGGGGTATTGACTTCGTAATTTATGGTGGGCAGTTGCATTATGGGCCATGGGCGGATCGGCATCGGTGCGTGTGCTTGTCCGCTTTGTCGAGGGGTTTCGAATGAAGCATACTCCGTAAGACGAATCCTGCAAGATATATTTGCACTGAATACTTATCGAACAAGGGGTCCTACTCCCAAACTGCAGCAAGGCCAATCCCGGTTGCATTCAGCACTCAAAATTTTTATAGAGCTAAAAGAGGAAGTGACGCTGAGGGTTCCTATCAGGGAGGTTTCCAAGGTTTGCAGCTTCATTTTTTGCACAACGCGTTACTGCAACGCATTCGTCTAGAATTGGCGTTATGACGTCCTTGGTGATTTGGGGCCCTCTAAACGCAGCAGTCGTCCATTCGGATGGCTGGATGTTAAGATTGGAGCTGATTCCACTGTGAATTATGTGATGTCTATGGTTGCAAGCGAAAGCGGCTATGACAACTTCCTACAAATACATGCGGACAAGCTAACCGTCATCTCAAGCGTCAATCAGTCTCGATTCTTATTTGCGGAGTCATGCCGAGTAAGTAACGAGAAGAATGCGCTGTTACACTCCTTTCTTCATGGATTTTTTGCAGATATTGTGTGAGATGCCCGCCCCTTTACAATGGGATGGACGAAGGGAATGGGTGTTTGATGTATCGTTGTCGAAGTCCACAATCTACCTTCTTCGAGACCACATCACCCTTCTGACCGATATGGCGAAGGATTGGTCTATGGGTCCTCCTGCAGAACACGCCAAGTTTGTTCCGATGATATACATTTTGAAGCTTGCACTACATGACTTCCAATTACGTCTTAATGTCAATGACTACAATGTGATTGATTTCCCACTTGTAGATCGTCAAAATGGTGAGCTCCACCTGACCATTTGATGTTATAATGTGCTCACGGACCGGACGCAAAAATCAGCGCTTGTCAACATTGCTGGTCCATCGCTAAACACACATGTCTCACTCCCTTTTCTGAAATACCGTCCATTATCGAGCACTGTGACGTTTTCCATTAACACCTTACCTCTGGATGTTTCGTTTAGCCTCCCTAGTTGGAATACTCACGTTGTTCTTGGAAAGTCCCACACCATCAACATTGGAAGCATAGGCTCCCTTTCTCTCAAGTCCTCTTACCTCTATCACGCCGACGTCCGGCCTGATAACGTGGATACTCTGAGGCTTGATATGAAGGTATTGTGTGTTGGGTTTATCGCGAGCGTGCTATTCACTCCTTATCACATAGGCAACCCTCTTGTTATTCAAGGCGTATGGATGGGCTATCAGACAGCTGATGATTGTTCGGGACAATTATTTCGGAAATTTCACCAACTTCACGACTCGCGCTGAATACCTTGACAAAAAATCTTTGAATCAGGTGGGAGACCCTATGAAACAGAAGTATCGGCCAGGGCAGGTGTGTGAAACGTCATATTGCTTAAGTCACGCTGAATTTTGTTTGGGCAGTCCAACATGTTCCATGTTACCCTGAATTTGGACGTTCACGATTCGGCGATTCTACTTCCGCACGAGCTTCACAACTGCCGCTCAGCGATTTGCGTCAAAGTCCCTAAACTCCAACTCATCCTTAACACTCACGATTATTTTATGGGTATGCCAGAGTCGAGTCCGCTACTCCTGAGTCACTAACGTTAGTGCTGCCAGAAATGACCCTCAATACCTTCCCTCTCTCCATCAGCTTTATAGACGATTGCTCTCACATGGGTGCCTCTGATTGTATGAGGATCAAGGGGAAATCTATAAGCGTTGCTGGTAAGACCGGATCACTTACTGGAGATTTACCTCAGTAACCTTTGTCAGGCGTCGATATTAATGCGCATCGCCTTTTTGGACCTCCTCCTCTGGCATCCACATACGTCTGCATTTGGGAATTCTGCTTGGGGTCTGTTCATGGCTCCCCCTCGCTGCAATTTTTGACCGTTTTACGAGACTGTGTCACCGTCTTCATCACGAATATGAAAGATACTTTGAACGCTCCAGCTGCCGAGTTCCGTCTGGATTACGATCCAGACGTAACATTCCTCGCTATGCAGTTGCATGACGTAGATTTGGCTATCATGTCAGAAGCGGCTGCGATTCGTCTTTTCTTGTCCGATGGCCTTCGCTTTGCTTCCAATGATCTTGCGGGCCATTCCTATCGAAAGGTCAAGAGTGTGGACATCCCTATATCAAAGGTGCAGTTTCTTTTGGAAGACCAGGTGGAGAGAGGAATTGCTGGCTCCAGACTTTGGCTTGAAGTAGGATCAGCAGAGTTCGATCTGCACATGGACGTATATCACTCACCCCCGAATTGGCAAAAGGATGCAGAGCGCCAAATTCTTTTTGTTCAGAATCAGGATTCATTGACTCGGCGCGTACCCTTCCTCTACGAGCAATCTCACGAATCGCACGATCGAGGCAAGTCTATGGTGTGTATTCTGTGATAAGTGGTCACCTTATTCACCCTTCTTTAGTTTACCAGCACTTGAACACATTTTTGCTGCCCTTCGTAAACACACCCGAGCTCGCGAAGAGCCCTGATGCGAGTCCAGGGCACGACAGCATTTCCACAGGGGAAATATCCGATGCGTTCATGTCGTCAGACTCTGGGCCAGATTCAGAGATATCGAAGTATGTTTCAGTGGTCCGCGTGCAATTCCGTTTGGCTCACCCTCGTCTCGGAAGACCAGCATTGTACAAGCCTGGCTCTAGGCACAAGGGAGTTCGGAATCCATTTACGGATGAAGACATATCCAGTGGTGATGAATCCGACAGTGGTGATGATACAAGTTTTGTGTCGAATACGGAGTTCGAAGACGACGACAAATTTTACAGGAGTATAGAAGAAGATGATTCAACCGATACACCACACTCGTCGTCATTCTCACACGCCGTCACCCCAGCGATGGCCATTTATCGTTGCATACTTTGCAAGCTTGAACTTGCGAAGGACCTCGGAGGAATGCGCTTCATACCCAAGGTAACACATATCAAGAATTGTTTGCCCTTACTCAACCTCCACATCAGGCTCCTGGTGTAACTCCGCAGAGCCACGCTCCTTCTGACCCAACGGACCCTCTGGTGCTTTCGCCTGTTCAACCGGAACAGTTGCCTGCCCAACATAATTCTACGTTGCATCACGCGTACATCAGACTTGAATCAAGGCATCGTAATGAGTTTATGCTCACCCCACTGGTGAGCGACGTCGTCTGTAGCATTCTACAGAGTCAGCAGCCGAAAAATCATGTGTGTCCTCGCGTGACAATATCTTTTTGGCCATACTCAATAGTCGAATTTAGTATGACTCCCTGGAACAGCTTCTGGATAGGATATTCATTGATTTTATGGATTCCCATCCTGCGAATGCGAAACCTCGGGACAAAACTTTTCAATTTGACGCCCGATCAGTTTCGTGGCGCATCCGCTTCTGGCAAGTCATTCAGGCACCACCTGTCACAGAACTGGGTCGAACACCTGAGCAGCCTACAGCTGTGTCGCTCGCAGAACTTGTGATGAGTTTCGGCTCCGTCCAGGGGTCGCTCGGACCGTCCATGATTACTGCGGTCAATGCGTGCCTCGGGGGTTTGTATGTTAATGTTCGTAGCGGCAGCATCTCAGCACTTGGATACTCCAAACCAAGTGGTATTGCGATGGGGCCCAGCTCCATCGACATCCAAAAGGACCAGCAGGGGGTGACAATTTCTGCAATTCTGGGTAATGTTCGGATTCAATTGGATGATACCTCTCCTGGTGTCACCTATGGGACAGCTATGGCATATGCGTACCCTTTCGTGCGCATAATTAGGCTAGTAACTTCTCAGGGCAAGAGCTCGCGTGCTGCTCAGCAGAGTCTAGTCAGCACTCTCCTGTCCCTTTCATCCACCGCACATGGTGGCGCACATCCACTCTCCTTGATTCAGGTCTCTTTCATGGTGACATCTGGGACACCCCAAGCCATTCGGTCAGATCCCTTCCTGTCGATTTTTACCCTGCTTCTGCAGAGCATACGCAGTTTGACTCCAGCCGAAAAAGCAGAAATAATGGATATGCCCTCCACTAGATCCAGGGATCTTCTTGACGTGAACGAACTTCGATCTGAATTCGTCTCTCTTCTCAAAGAGAAATCCTCCCTCGGGATGCTTGATTTGGATGACGAACAGATTTCTTCACTGCATATTCTTGACTTGCTATTTCCCACCCAGCATGAGGATACCCAGGTTCCGACTCTGGTCGGAGTCACGCTGTTGATACGTCATTGGAATGTATCGCTGAGGGACGCTGTACCTAACACCGAAATCTCTATAGATGCAGTGGACCTACAGGTTCGGTCGGGCATTCGAGATCTCGGAACATTGGTGACGAAGGCTACAGGGCAATCAGCGCGAGACATTGTTGTTCAGCACATCGTTCTACATCTTGGAGTGTCAGGAGTGAAATTTAACGTCCTACCCACGGCATTGTCATTCGTTAGATCATTGCTTCGCCTGCAGCGATTCCGTACAATCAGCTTGCCGAATGCCAATGCCCCATCACCCCAACCCTCAGATCGGGGTTCCAACAGCAAGATCCCCATATTTTTGGAAGCATTCCTTGACATCAGTAGACTGGATGTTCGTACTTCGGCCCAATTATTGGACGTGAATCTCAAGCTGGTCGGGGCTCAGGCTGGTACAAGCCTAATCATGCGGAGGAATGCTGCCCCCATCCAAGATTTTTCCTCATCCATTCACGGTTCTTTGAATGAATTCCAGATTCAGGCGCGATCTGCCGAAGACTCGCAAACTCAGACCAGCGATAGGGCTATTTTGGCCGAGCTGAAGCTCCTGGGCGCGGCGTTTTATGCAGGGAGAAGCAGCAACAAATTGCGAATGACCGCAGGAGTTCAGCATGCAGGTGCTAGGGTGCCGCGCAGCGCCATCAAGTTGTATCATTTTATCAAAGAATGGGAATCAGAATACCTACCGTACGTGATTCATTCCCCCTCACCTTATTATTTTCATCAACTATTACCCAGAGCATACAATGCGATGTTCAAGGGACTTCTCTCTGAAATCGAGGAGCCCGCGCAATCGTCGAGCACCCCAAAAGTAGACTCATCGTATCTCAAACAAGATTTAGACGTCCAAGCTACACTAGGAACGTTTTCTGTGTCTCTTCATGTCATGCATGGAGCTTGGTTTGCATGGTCGATTCACGACTCTCTAGCATTCGGGCGTCGTTTGAACACTCAAATCCTTTCTTATGGAGTCCACGTCGCATCGCAGACCATCAGCATTTCCTCGACCGACATGATAGGGTCCCATGGTTCAGATGGGGCGCCGGCCGTAAAGCTGGGATTACCGTCTTGCCGACTGACAGGCGTACTTGAAGGGACCCGGGTCCACGCAACCCTTCTCATTGATCGGTTTAAACTAATGCTCAAGCCCAAATACGTGGACGATATTCTAACAGTGCAGCAAAAGTTCGGGAATGACTTTAATGACCTCTTGGACCTCGTTACTGGTCCACACACAAACCTTGTGAAAAGGCCTGCACCTTTACGGAAAAAGCTAACATTCCACTTAAACATCCAATCGAAGGGATTCGCAATTGGTCTTCGTGGACCGACTTCCGTCCAATCCCTCGAGGCACCTTTAGCCCGGGCCACTGTCAGATCTGCTAGCCGCCGTGGACTGCAATGGCTTGCGGAAGCCAAGGGGTTGAACTTGTCACTCGAGCACGACACCTCCCTGCCATTTTCATCAAGTAAATACGTCGAGCCTTATACTTCGGCCTTCATGACCCTTGATTGTTCCGTTCACAATGAGGTATACCCAACGGGTAGTGATGCGGCCGATACTCAACATCTATCGATCTCGGTCGACAAAGTGCACGCCCTAATGGTGCCCGCCGCGATCAGTGAACTTGGGAATTTAGTTGATCATGTACAGGTATGACGCCCCACCTACCTCAGTACGCCTAGGGAATGATGGCCTTGACTCATTAGGCTGAGATGCTGCTGCGCAAAGAGCAGCGCGCGCTTGAGTTGGAGGAAATGAAAAAGAAAACGCAACGAGTCCTTCAATCTTTTGAGTCTCAAACCCAAACTCAACATCGCACCTCGCCGCTCCTCAACCGAACTATGTCGTTCTCTGTCCGTAGCATTGGCATCGTGTTTCCTCTAACTCTTGGGAGCGAAGGAGAATCAATGTCCCCTAGCTCCCCTCTTAATACCTTGACGGAGAGATCACCTGCATTTCTGTTCTCCGTAGCAGCGATGGACTTCGTGACAAGGCGCGAGGAGACTGGAAGTGTTAGGATGCAACGTTGCGCGTTTCAGTTCATTTCATCGTACGTTAGTGATCTATGTAGGTCTTAAGATTGCCTAAACTCTTGCCAAGGTTCGATCGCAACAATCCAAAGCATTTTGAAAGTGCAAGCCACGGCACCTTAGACTGCATGTTGTGTCCTGAAATGACGGTCGAAGTGGTTTCCCGTGTTTCTGCTTCATCGCGCATGGTCCTAGCGCGAGCGGCAGTTAGTGGATTCGAATTAGACGTCTCACCCGCCCTACCCGGATATATATTTTCCATGATTGATGTGTACCGAGAAGGCAAGGAGCATTTCAGCCGATTCGTCCCTCAGTTACGGGACGAAACACCATCTGCAACCTTCGGGAGTTTCCCGGGCTCCTCCGTAGATTCCAAGTATTTGACATTGCCCACATCCAACGTAAGGGTGGGGTTCGAGTTCCAGAGTGGACGCATTCGATTTCACGCGCCGGCGAGCCGGGGTGCGCATAGGCGGTCATCAACGCTTCCACATTGGGGCGAAGAATCTGTATTCCAAGATTTCACCCGGGCGTTGCCTTCAGAGTCTGATGTTTTCGACCTTCCGAACCTCTCTGTATGGGTCGAATATCGTGCACTCCCCGCAGCGAGAAGAGCCTCTGCGCCTGGTCACGTCCCTAATGGGACTCAGTCGCGCCTTTCTTTCAATGCTCGCCTCCATTCTAGCAGGAATACCATCCAGCCAACTGTTCTGCCGTTTCTTACGGAAGTGACCCGACAGATTGAGGAGCGTCTCGCCGACCAACTTACTGAGAGAACGACGGCTCCTACTCGTGTTCTTCCCACGACGCCGAATGAGGAATCAACCCAACCCAATATCATCCAAGCCACGGAGCTAACTTTCAGTTTATGCATTGATGAATCTCAATTCGAACTCACTTGCCTACCAGATGTCAATGTCTTGGCAGGTGTTCATTGGAAGAGCGGCGGTTTCTTACTCCGTATTTCGCCTGGAGCGCGCGAGTTCGGGCTTATGGGCTCAGTGGAAGATATTACGATAAGACTTCGACACGGGTATCTCGTGGAAGACTGTCTCAATGCGAGTGCTCGGAACCTGACATTCTCCGTGGAATTGAGAGGGACAGGAGGGAACCAGGGTAGCCTAGCCAATTGCTTATCGATCGTCGCCAATTCTGAGATAGATGGCTCTGTTCGCTTCGGGCGATTGCAAGACGTGCTCTGTTTCAAAGCAGTATGGTTAGATCGCATACCTATTCTGGATGCTCTTGCGAAGTCATCTCCCGCAATTTCGGCTGGGCCATTACCAGCAGACAGTGCGTCCCTACAAAAGATTCCACTGGTGACCAGCATTCTTGTACAATTGGAAGCCGTTCAGCTCGAGGTTGACTTGGGTCACGCTATCACTAAGCTTACGCTAGAAATAAGACCAGTAGTTCTCCGAACTAAACTTACTGATGACTTCTCGGAGATATCGCTTACACTGGAGGAAGTAAAGCTGGACGCCATCCGAAGAATCTCAGGTCGAATTTCTTTTCCTTCCGTTTCATTCGAGACCGTAAGACGACGGCACACGTCCCCTGATTCCCACGAATCAACTCTTCTAGAGCTTTTTATTCATGTGAGAGGTATCCATGCTTCTCTTAACTACGACAGGAAGAAAGTACTTCTACTGCGGTATGATGTCCGGCGAGCTACGATTACTATTCGCTTACACTATCATTATTTCTAGCTGCGATCCGATCGAAGCCAAAGTATTTGACGAGTGGCCAAGAGACACAAGCGTTGGCGATCTGGCTGAACCGCACGTCCGCCTCAATTTTGCTGTGGTTGGGGGTGACATTGGAGCTGCGGCAAGAATCATGTTAGTTTCGGAGCTCATTCTCGTTGGTGGCAAAGTCTCTTCGTTACTTCAGTCCCAAAAAGAGGGAGCTGCCAGAGAGTCGAAAGCTTTTCGAGCAACCCGTGTTCCTGAACCTCAAAACCCCCTCTCACGAGTTGCTGGCGCGATGATCAAATCCGCCAGGTCCAAATTCAAGGAGGCGGGGAGGACGAAGCTGATGATAGTCCAGGAAATGCATCTTCATCTGGCTCGCCTTCGAGTGGCAATCTTCAATCAGTCAGACACGAAGATGACCCAGTTCGAAGCCGTTGAAATTCAAGGAGATCTTCTTCGAAATGTTCAATCTCTGGATCAGCCGCCTTTTCGGGACCTGAATTTAGCCTTGCACTCGTTTGAGGTTCGCGGCGGTGATATGCCAGCTACCGAGAAATGGCTGGACTTCTATGCAGGCGCGAAGGTTTTTACTATGCCTGAGATGAACATATCCATGCAGAGCACGGAGTTCGAGGCTGACAAGCGGTTGGATTACGAGTTTCGAAGCACGTTCCCTCGTCCGAAATCCAAGTCAGGATCTCAGTCCCTCTACATAGCGTTGGATTTTCAGAAATACGAGCAGCTTATGGCAATGCAGTCCGCTCTTCGACAGGAGATCGAGAAAGCTCTGGCGGAAATTGGGAGAGCCGACAAGACGCCAAATATGACCCATCCAGATTGGCTGAGCTGCCAAATGCCACGGAGCCACACATGCCTATGGGCGCGTTATCGAGCGAGAATCCAAATCCCTCGGATTCTTTACCGAAGGAAGATGGCACCACTTTGCCTCCTATTCGAACCACGTCTTCCGCAGTGCCCGACGCGTCCAAAGTTGGTATAGGAGGGTTGAGATACCATTGCATTTCGCGGATCATCGAGACACCAAAACTCCATCAGCTCGGAGCTGCGTCGCCAGATCTGGAGACGTTCAAGCAATGGACGAATATCAGTATTCGAGATTCACTCCCAGTTTGGGTCCATGAGTATGCGACAGTTCCCATCGAACAACTGATGAAGGCATTGCTGGAATTGTATCTGAATCAGCTGAAGAAACAGTACACCCCAGAGTCTTTGGAGAACTGAAGGAAGTTGGATCAGTTTTGTTATATCATTATCTGGATTTCTTGTTGGAATTAATTGTCGGCCTCATTCAAGACTGATTGTCCGTGATAATGCATTATAGTTCATAGCGGTGTGAGTAGTGTGGAATATGTACAAATGAGCGGGAGAGACAACATTAAACCACTGGAAAATATGTGCTTAGTGTATTTAGGCTACATTGAGAAGACATGATAACTCACACAAAACAGCATTTATGCACCCGTCATTTTCTGGGTTGTTTGTAACTTGGGCATATTTGCCCTGGAAAGAAAGTGAGCATCGCACAAAATTCAAGAGCATGTTACGTACCCAAACGGCCTTCCCGCCCGTTGTGACCATTCCTAACTCAGAAACATTTACTTCAATGACAGTCCCCTTCGTCATGACACCAAGTTGCGTGTACATCGGCGACTGTGGGTTCTTTTTCACATTTATAATTGGCAGTTGGAATGTCGCCTTGAGCTCAGCTATGTGGAGAGACGCAAAAAAAAAAATATCAGTGTTCTGCGACACCCGGCCGAACAATAATGCCTCAAACCCGACTCACGATGAGTAACATTAGCTTTCTTGAACCGTAAAGCCATAGGCCGAATAAATCGTTCCATCTTCACAGGTTTTCGTGTGAAGTTCTCTCCGACAAAGGTGACTTTTGTAATCATTCGCTTCCATGCTTTCGCTTTCCTTTTGCCAGTCTTGATGACTTTGAATATTTCATCTTCCGCAATGCCTCGAACTTTAGGTAACGGAACCGAATACTTGGCAGCTTTCTCCTTTCGTTTTTGCTTGATGGCTGTTGAGAGTGCTCTGGCATCTTTTGGCCTTCTCGATCAAGAAGGTAAGTAGGTAAGGCGCCATCTGGGAGAGCAGATTCGTCCGCTTGTTTGATGTTTCGTTCGTCGTGAGCTTTGAGAGTTTTTTTGAGCTGAACCTTTTCGGCGTGACGTTTGGCATGAAGAATCTTGGCTTTTATGCCGAAAGTGGTTTGTGCTTTGATGGAAGCTTTCTTAGGTGCTCGAGCTTCACGTTTTCGCCTGTTGGAGAAGGTGAGAGGAAAATAATTCAGAATAGGGTTTGGTGTGTAAGGGACTCAGAACTAGTACTGACACTCTTTCTTCATGATCCAGTCTGCGCCCATGGCGCTTGATATGCTCTTCGATGTACGCGTTCTAAATAAGGAGCGCCGTATGAGAATAGGATGCTAACGGACATGGAAGGATGCGGTCTTTCCTGGGGCTGCAGAGACAGAAATGCAACATTAACCTTTGTGGGCACAAGATGATAAACGAACGTACCATGAGAAGACGGCGCTTAAACTGACAAAAAAATTAAGCCAGAATGCTCGGCGTTCCCCGATTCAGTGAAGCACGTATTGAATTCTTCCTGATACTACACGCGTCAAACTCTTGCTGCCACACGACCCACAGCCATGTCCATCTTCAACAATAATAACCCATTTGGTTCCTACAGCCAAAGCGGCGCTACTAATACTGGTGGAAATCCACAACAAGGCTACTATTCGGAGTAGGAGGAGCCCCGCAGCAGGATTTCTATGGAACTGGGTATAACACACGGCCGAGTTTAGAGGGGAATATTCCTGCTGGGAATGGTGTACCGGGAAGTATGAGTTTTGGAGGGAATATTCAAACTGTTGGGCCTTGGTGGACTGCGTTCACGACCGGTGCGATTGAAGGTGAACCACCGTTACTGGAAGGTACGCATGCGCGAACAGATTTCGATGGAGTGGATATTGGTTTAAAGTTTGACCCTGAAACCTTAAACTCTTGCGCTGGATTCCGATTCTCATGGAATAGAACTTGGCATAAATTTCAACCATATTAGAATCAAATCTCTCACTGTGCTCCATCCAGTGCGCAAGATAGATGAGCATATAATGGACGACGCCGACTTGGCAGGGCCTATCGTCTTTTGTTTCTGCTTCGCTCTTTTCCTTCTTTTTGTATGTGGATCAGCTTTTAACTTCTTTGTGTCTATGTTCTTGATGAAAAATTTTTTCGCAGTCTGGAAAGCCACAGTTCGGTTACATTTATGGTGTTGCCTTAATGGGGTCTGTATCGATATATGTGCTGCTGAACTTGATGTCCGAATCGGGGATAGATGCCTATCGCGTAGCATCCGTCCTGGGGTATTGCCTACTACCCATGGTGGGCGTTGGTGCCATAAGTGTTGTATTCACGTTAGAGTAAGTCCTCCTAATCAATTTTACACCCTTCGACATCGATATCATTCACTCAATACCTTGTATCTACAATAGAGGCACAATTGGCTACCTTTTATCCCTCATCTCCATTCTGTGGTGCACATACTCGGCATCAGGCTTATTCGTAACCGTTTTACGGATGTCAGACCAGCGGTTATTGGTAGCATATCCCATAGGGCTATTATACGGCTGTTTTGCTCTCCTCAGTGTATTTAATGTGGGCGTAGTTTTAAAATAGGCTGCGCATCGACGCACGGCGCCACATAGATTCCTTTGATCGCGATCGACTCCGTGTGTTCTGACAAATTGAGTTCTAAGTTGCATTAGCCTCACGTCGCGTTGTCGCAAGGCACGAATCTAATTTCTAGAATCAACCATGCATGCTGCCTGCATGCGCGGACCACAATGCGATCAACATGCACGGTAGGATAAAAAGGTTGATTGAACCCGAGGAACAAATCCGGCGTTCCAACCCCAAACTCTGACTCTCAGCACGAGCACGAGCCAGCTAATGATCCTGACAGCGTAATGGGTACGTTGGCTTATAGTGATTGTTCCGTTCCTCATGACATTGGAAATGTTCGGTTATGAATCGGAGGTCCCACAACTGTATACAATTGTGCTATTAACGCACAGACCTTGCATTAAACTTGTATATATAGCTCAGTTCGGCGCATGTTTTACCCTTTTCTTCAGACCACACTCACGCAGGATACATTCACAGTTGATTGCAAAAAGTTGGTCGAGGACTGTAATCATCCTCATCTACAAACACCAATCGATGAAATCAGCTTCACTGTCTTTATCCGAGAACATGCTCGTTACCTTCTCATGGTGGAGTGGGTGAGCTCGATGACAGATCCGTTCTGGACTTTTCCTTCGGGTTAAGCCCATTACCGGGGACAGTTGAGGTGCTTCTGATGGTGTTTTTTGTTTTGTTATTTCTTTCCGTACTTTAATTTTTTCCTCTTGTATTCATGTCTATGGTAGAGTGTACTATATACCTCAGCGGTTTATGGATGTTATAGGTTTTGTGCTTGCTGTGACCTTGTTGGCAGTTGAATTCGTCCTGCTTCTCGCGGACTCTAAGTATGTTTGGCACTTGGACGTCTTCCACAAGATGACCAAGCCAAGGTGCATGGGCAGTTCCGTCCTCTGCCGAAGGGGGAAAAAAAGGTTTTTTTTAGTCAATTTCTGCCGTTAAACTTGATCTTAAGAGTGCAGCCGCTGATCGGCTTCTGACTCGGACTTGGCTTCAAGTTTAGGAGACCTATGGTATCGCCCTGGTGATCATAACTATATATAGCGGATAAATTACGTTGATGTATTCAGCCTTGTTACAAACGTCAGATAAATCAGGGTTGTCAACTGAAACCGAGGGGCGAAAGCGTTTCTAGCTGTACCTCCACTAGCTGTATACCTCGGAGTATTTATCAATCGCTGGCTCCACTCACTCTAACTTGTCTCGAACGTCGTTTAGCTTCTTGACACTTTACTGACCATTTAATTTCTCTGAGTGGGATAGGCTCAAGGCCAGAATGCTTATGGAGGTAACGCTGAGCGAATCTCAATTGTCGAGCTAAAATCCCTTAATCCCAATCTGCGCAACGATATTGTGACCTGTGCGACGCTATCCCAGTATGGTCGTTATCTCTCACCAAGCTCACAACAGGCATCGCCGAAGTTGACCACCAGTGCACAATCATCACCTGGTTCCCATGGAGGCCACCTAATCCTCCGTCTTGGCGTCCATCGATGGTCTCCACCGAATCAGACAACACCGGACGCATAGCTTGGTATGATGCCTGCTGAGGGTTGTTCTCTCCATCGGCTATGCATGTTCAGCTGAACGGTATACTTCCTCTCGTTCCATAACTCCATCTTCCAAGGGGATGCAGTGACCTGATTCGTTCGCATGAGGCAGCCACTTCCGAGGGTGATGACCTCTCGACTATTTCTCGCTGGACTGGTGCGAGCTGATTGCCACTTACTGCAGGTGACTTGAATCTCATCTCTTGTAACATTTCGCCCCCAACACTGAGTCCAACAGTGCTTTCTAGGTTTGAAGGACGACATCACGTATGAAGGCGGGGTGCGACCTAGACCACCCGGAGTGGCCATCTCACAAGCTCTAGCGGTGAAGCTTCCACTAGGCCCAAAGGCTCCACGTTCCTCTATGCTTGCTGGCCTAAAACGCGACTTGGAATCCTCGCCCAGTATCCCTCGCAGATAATGTGGGTCAATCTATAATCAGAACTCCTTCCCTCGAAGGGGTAGTACTCGATCATTCTCGTTGAGAACCAGCATTTGTGTGGGGGCTTCGTTGATACTTGGTACGGGGATCGAGCGCTGAAAACGCACATCCTCGAGTCAATGAGATGGGACTCAATTCTTGGTTCAGGGAGATTCCAATCGTTGACATCAGCTAAGTCATCTAAGTCGCCGCAGACGCTCCCTTTCTCTCTTGCGATCATTCGGAGAACTTCACCATTCCAAATGCACATATACACATCACACGGTGTGCATGAAGGGTAAACAGTCAAGTCTACGTTTGTGGCCGATACAAGCAGCCATCATCAAGTACAGTGGGTACGTGAAAATCAGCGTCCACACAGGCTCCGCGGCTTTGTCATAGGCAGCTCCTTGGTACTTCCAACGGTGGCCTGAATGGCACTGAACAAATGGAGCTGTTAATTGTGGGAACATTTAATCCAATTCCGGCGGACGCCAGCGTTTGGAAGATGCGTTCTTCAGAATGTATTTTCCTCGGTACCACTGAACAACTTCGTCGCGATATTACACACCAGGAAGCGGCGTTTACCCACCACACATTCCGAATCCCCAGTAGTCATGAGCGGCTTGGTTTGTGTCCGCAAATCAATCACAAAAATAGAAAAATGGGAGAACAGTGCTGCTCCCCGCCTCAAAGATACAAATGTCTCAGACACCGTCAACTACCCACCATATCGTCAAGACGTTAACGTGGGTTCTACGTATCTTATATCGGTAGCCCCGCCTGGGGGATCCAAATCTACAGTCGCTAACGTACAGAGCTAGAGATGCCCGTAGGCGTGACACTGGTACCGTGAGCAGAGGGCACTGTCCTATCATATCAACGTTGATGGACATGCTGTTAGAAAACCACCTTTGGCGTCATCAAGAGAACGATAGTCCCGGTTACTCCCGAGAGAGCGGGAACCTCGTGGCTTTGAATTAATCGGGAATTTTGGAAGTTATCCTCTTCATCATGATCTGCTGGGAATACTGGTTCAGCGGCACTTGCTCCAGGGGCAACCAGTGCATGCTTTTACACTATCTAGGATTCTGCAATATCTGCAATGTCGGCTTCGTGGATGAAACCTCTCATCACGCCCATCTCCGTGGGGAGAGGCACCAGGCGCAACTATTCTACTTTGTAACTGCCTTGGTCGGATATTGTGTAGTTCTTTCCGAACTTTTCGGTCCGCCTGACTATTTTCCTAGTCTGCGCTTCATATGCAAAGCTGGCAATGCCATCAGATGTTCAATCCTCGCATCGAGAATGCCAGAAATAACGTAGAATCCCAAGCAGCTAATACGAGATATTGCCACACTTGCAACACCAATGTTCTTGATGATAGATGGGCTGATCACCTTGCGTGGCATCGACATCGCGCTTCGCAGGTGTTCCGCCACGCAAGAGGCGTGTTCCAAGGTACATCGCAGAATCAATGCTACGTTAAAGTATCCAGGAAAAAGAGTGGCATCAACTTTGGTACCGTCAGACCCACCGGTGGTTCGGTTAGCACTACTGTTAAAATCAGCCTTACCTCACCTGAGAATATCTTCCTCTTGGATGCCTGTTTGTTGTCATCCTTTCGTGGAGGAATATTTTCGCATTTTTCCACGTGAGCGAGGGTTTCTTTCTATGGTGGACGTGTCCACGCGCTATTTTCTCAGGTTCTCCGTCGTGCCGTGGCGTGGTAGGCTGACGACACAAGAAGCTCAACGCATAATTGTGTCCTTTGATCCAAATGGCTTATTCGGAAAATTTACTGATCGCCTCCAGTTATCATTCCTTGACGGAGGTCTCGGTCAAACCTTCACAATTTCGCGAGACTTGGTTGCTATATCCGGAAACGAAGGCGAGCTAAAAGCTTTGGCACCTATTGCCCCATACGTTCGTTGGAAACGGAAAATTAGGAGGGATCCGGAGGTTTTCGTTGATGGGGTCAAGTATGACTTCAAATCGCACGTCCGGTGGGCCGTCAAACTCCCTGAATTCAAGGTCCCCGAGCCCATCTACCAGGCTCTCGCTGTTAGAAGCCTGGAGGATCAAGTAAGCCGGGTGGGTGCCCTCCTGCCTGACGCATGGAATTCACAGACCTACACGGCGTTCTGGAGTGTTCTGCTCCATGTGGAGGAAGTTAGAATGACGTGCGTGGCTACCTTTGACGCGCTCCAGTGCTCTCGTGAATAGAATATCACAGACAAGACCTTGCAATCTACGACATGGAGAAAGAGCCTCTGTCTGAAGAACATCCCTACTACCGGTCTGTTGCCGCAAACCGAAAGGTTTGGCACAAGCTAATGTACTCGAATAGACTGACAGTGCCTGGTCTTGCGGAAAAGAGACCTTCCATTAGTCTTGGGGACAAGATTGGGGTCAGGAAGCATGGCGGCGCAAACAAATGGTTTATTGGTTACGTTCATAAAATAGAGCAGACGTCTGTGCTGCTCCGATTTAATCCTAAATTTGAGAGCTACAAGGGTCAGTTCCACGATGTGCGCTTTCTACTTTCCCGCACGTCGCTCCGGCGCATGCATCATGCTCTGTCTGTGGAGCGCGGCCTTGAAAGGCTTCTGTACCCGAGGGAAGAACACACGGCGTCGCTGAGTCGGCCTACCGAACTTGACATATCGCGTCTCAGCTTTTTCAACAGGCTCCTGAAGGAAAATTTCCCTCAGAAACTTGCTGTAACGAGCATTTTGAGGCAGCCCTCTGGCTCTGTTCCATTTATTGTCTATGGACCGTGAGTGCAACTTCTTTCATTTTAGCCTCACTTGACCGACGGAGATACTTCGTATTGAGCCCTGGAACAGGGAAAACCGTAGTAGTCGTGGAAGCTATCCGACAAATCCTTCACCAGGATCCTGGGGCTCGGCTCCTCGTCTGCGCGCCGAGCAACTCTGCGGCGGACTTGCTAGCAGACCGTCTGCGCCAGCAAGGCTCAGCTGCTTCAGACATGCTCCGCCTCAATGCACCTACACGACGCGTCAGTACCCTATCGCAGACTCTGAGGAGTTTTTCTCGAATTGGAGACGATGCCTTCCTTGTTCCGTCTCTCGGGGAGATGTCGAGGTTCCGTGTCGTTGTTTCAACATGTTCCTCCGCTTCATTGGTTTATGCAATCGGTGTTCCTCGTGGCCATTTCAGTCATATATTTGTTGACGAGGCAGGACAAGCCCTTGAGCCCGAGGTAATGATCGCGATTAGGACATTGGCTGGGGACGAAACGAATATCATTTTATCCGGGGACCCCAAACAACTTGGACCCATTGTACGTTCCGCAGTTGCAAGCAAGCTCGGTTCCGCAGTCAGTTACTTGGATCGCCTCATGAGGCAGGATGTATATCAGCTGGAATATTGGGGAGGTATCACGTACGTTCCTGTCATTCTGTTGAATCATGACACAATCAGATTCAAGGTATTTCGCAGTGTCGTGCACTTGACTCAGAACTTCAGGAACCATGCCTCTATTCTTCAGTATCCGAACGATATGTTCTATAATGGCCGCCTTCAAGCCCGTGCCGATCCCATAGTAACCGAGAGTTTAGCCAGATGGGAGATGCTCGTTACGCCCGGATTCCCTGTGATATTCCATTCCATATCAGGCAAGTGTCGCCCTGCCGGGTCATAGCGACTTATGAACAATTCGTGGCAGGGGAAGACAATCGGGAAGCGACCTCTCCATCTTTCCTCAATCCTCATGAAGTTCTTGTTGTCAGAGATTATATCCAAGCCCTGCGAGAAAACTCGCGCCTGAAACTCAGTAAGATCCCCTCCTTAGTTCTGCATTGTATCACTACTTCAATTTTTCCATCAGCCGATGAAGACATTGGGGTTATAACTCCCTACAATGCCCAAGCCAGCAGGATTCGGAGCGTAGTCAATAGCACCAGGCTGAGGAGGAATCGTCAGGGCACTATCAAGGTTGGATGTGTTGAAGAGTTTCAGGGTCAAGTATGTGGTTCCGAATTCGATCCACTAATACGACGTAACTGGTTTTTAGGAACGTAGAGTGATCATCATTTCCACTGTCCGAAGCAATAGGAATTTTGTTGACATTAATCACGCCATTGGGTTCGTTGCCAACCCTCGTCGCTTCAACGTCGCCGTTACACGCGCACAGGCATTGCTGATTCTCGTAGGAGATCCCACTGTCCTCTCGCTTGATCTTATCTGGCGTGGCTTCTTAAACTATATCCATGCTTCAGGCGGGTGGCGAGGACTGCCAAGGGATTGGTCCGATGATCAGGATGAGGCTGGAGTGAGGGATTTCTTGCGTGAGAGGAGGGACGATGCGAGGGACGTGATAGATAATCTTGCTGCGCAGGTTGAAGGGTTAGTTATCGAGCAACTTCCAGAAGGTGAGCATCATGAGGAGGACCCGCTGGAAGCTACCGATGATAGGCCGTGGCGAGAGGTGTGAAGACGCAAGACGCAATCTATTCATGTTCACTTGCAGCTGGCTCCTATTTTCTCGAGCGTGCTTGGAAGGCACATCGGCGGAACGGCTTTGCACTTCACTCGTATCTCTTTGGGGCATTTTTCGCTAGTATAATTTCTTGCATCTTCACGGTCAATCCATTATGCGCATGATGCAGGGTGGGGATTCGTGCGAGGAATATCACATTTGAGCAAGGGGGGCATACCGATGCTGCCGATAAGCGTGTCGAAGGAAAGGCGGACTTGCATGTCCGCATGTACTGCCAATTTCTGCTCTCTTCCTGGCTCACAATTCATCAACAGAAGCAAACCACCACTTCACCATGGAAGCGCCGATAGCTCCTTCACCCTTCGTATCATCCAATTCCCCAAAGTCCCCTCGACCAATAAACTGGGTCCCTGCCAGTAATAGAGGGAGCCAAAACTTATCATCCGCCCACATCCGGTCGTAGGGGATTCCAGGGAGAACGTTCGTTCCAGCTGAGGTGATGGTGGCGATTATCAAAATCGCAGAAATATCAGAAGAGGACTCAGCGTCAGCCGGAAGTCAACTAGAGGATCTGATCATACTGTCGGGGTTTATCGAGAACCATTCAGGACGCATTTCCTCGGATCTAGAGGTGGGAGGAATGACACATTTTTTGAAAAGATGTTCGACCCGTGAGCATTTTTGATCTTTGTCTTTTCTGCTATGGAGCCAGGCAAACTATATGTGACATACTCGGAAGGCGTGCCAACCCAAATGTTCGCCCGAAATACGTCGATGTGATATGCGTGATTTAGGGAGGGAGAGGTGAAGAAGAGTGTCCCACAGCGCACCAGTGGTGCTTCGATTCCCGCTTCCTCCTGTTAAGATTCATAAAATGTCTGCGTCACGCGGAGAATCCTCATAAGAAATCACTTTGAGTTCCCTCTTGGCAGCCTCGAGTGGCGACTCGTCAGGTTCTACTTTCCCTCCGAATCCATTGTACCTGTCGATAGTCGAAGGATGTGTGTGTGGATCACAAACGAGGACAGTAATAGATGATGCTTACATGCTTGCCCCGAATCCTCGTTTCTTGAAACCCAGTAAGATCTATTCATTATATCGGGAGAATGCTATCGTGAGTAGTGCACGTACGGTGTTTGGCGGCTAACATGGGCCAACTCACTCTTGCATTCTTCTCATCCAACACAAACGCATTCGTGAAACATTTGGCTCCAGAGTATGTATCCCATTCTCGATCGTGTACACCACCCTCTGCGATAACGCGGGAGATATTGACCTCGGGTAAGCCTGGTGGAATGGGAATGGTACTGGCGACCGTCATGTTCGCGCGCCCACAAATCGATTGAGTTGGTTGTACAGGTGTCAAGATGAACCGATTAGCCATTTCAGGGTTATACTTTTTCCATTATTCACGCAGTTTCTATTACTTAGGGGCCATACCATTGAGCGCACGGACATTGCACATACAACTTGGAGCCGTACTGTTGAGGTCTCTTCCGGTTCAGCGGGCTTGTGCACAACGCAAACGGGATAGGTAATGAGTTGCCTTTACTACAGACATTCGACCAATCCCAGACGTGGGGGCCCGAGCACGCCCATCATTGCGAGAGGATTATGTGGATCCAGGTGTAATGATCTGTCCTAGTCGATGGACTAGATTCGCATTCAGAATAGCAGGATGATTGCGGTCTACCCATCAATTTGGCCTCTAAGGCTAAACACAGGAACAATAAAAGAAGAGCAGGAGACGCAGTCCAACTTAAGAAATAACTGAGACTCAGCGAGAGAAAAAAGAGAAGCGGAGTTCGTCACAACAAACTTAACCAGCTTCGCCAATAGCGGGGAATGCTTGAGGATCTTTCATTGGATCGAAAAAAGGCCAGGAAGACCAAGTAGCTCATAAAGTCGCTAGGGACACGGTACTTAAGGCAGTATTTGAGATTCCCCACCCCAATGAAGGGGAAGCATTCAAACGCAACGCGCGGTTCGTACCAGCATCGGTTTGATTCGGGCTTGATAGAGAAATCTATTCGAATGACCTAATTCTGCATCTGCGAAAGTGCTGGGATATCGAGACGGACCCATGCATGTAAATGACTCGTGTCTGGATGCTTCACTAAACTCAACCCTAGAACGACCGTAAAGCTAGATACGGCCTGCTCTTACTTAACTCAGTTGTGAAAGTTTTTCTTTTAAGCAAATTCGTAAATCACTGGGTCGAAGGGGAAACCATTACATCACAGTTCTACCTAAATGGCTAGCGAAAGTGTCGCTCAAATGATAGACAAATGTCGTGTGCGCGAAATTCGAGCTGCAAACGCCCACAAATTAAGTTGGTATTATGGTAATGGCCAGTTCCAGCGCATTGAACTCCGTTAGCTTTTTGATGTTGATGGACTGAGTGAGGTCTTTCCTTGAGCTGGAGGGATTGCATGTAGTGGAAAGCGGAGCAGTGAATGACACCTGACGGAATTAGCCGCGAGCGCGCACGCTCCGTTTGATTTGCGCGTTATGCTCGGATTTTCTTGGCTTCCTAAGGCGCAATAATAGCTCGTGACGATGGGGAGAAATGCGAAGTTTCGGTTTCTCGGGCCCATTCTGGCTGTCTTCTTTCTGGTTTCAGTGAACTTTGTCTATTGGGCTAGCCAAGCAAATGTCGTCGCGCTCTCACCTCAGGGGTGTAGAATGTCTTGGATGAGTCCTTCATACATTCTTCAGTCTGATTTTGACGAAATCTGGACGCCACTCAGTCGAAGGTACAGCCTGTGGTTGTACCGTGAAGTCGAATGGGACGTTGCGACCAAGGCATGTTGCATGCATATGTCGTGCAGTCCCCATTGAGCGACTCATCATTGCTTAGCCCTACGGCAATCCTGTGTTGTTTATTCCAGGTAATGCAGGATCCTCGCGTCAAGTACGTTCAATAGCGTCGTCAGCGGCTCGGCAATACTACACGTCGCCGGGCGTATTGAATCCTGCGTTTACCTCCCGTCGGCCGCTAGACTTTTATGCCGGTTCGCTGGTCTATGCCACGGCCTCTTGAGGTTGTCTGATCAATTGTTCTAGTCGAATTCAACGAAGATTTGTCTGCACTTCATGGACCGACAATCGAGACCCAAACAGAATACGTTTCCAGTGCAATATCCTATATATTATCGAGCTATCATGGCCCTCGACGTCAAATTCTAATTATTGGTCATTCTATGGGTGGAATAGTGGCACGGTTGCTCCTCACAACCTACTCTCATCATGGTTGGAATACTTCCGATGTAGAGGCCCTGATCACTATGTCGACACCTCATTCCCTGCCACCTGCGCGTTTCGATGCATCTATCGAGAAGGTTTATTCTGAAATATCACACTGGGAGGGTTCCGATGCATATGTCCAGGTTCCAACGGTGTCAATTTGTGGAGGCTCCACCGACGATCTTATTCCCTCTGAAACGTGTGTCTTACCGCCGCTGACAGGGAGGGCGCGTCAGAAGTACGACGAGGGTCCATGGTATCGAGGGACTGTGCATACAACGGCTTTGTCGGGAATATGGACAGGGGTCGGACATAAAGAGATGGTGTGGTGCCACCAAGTCCGGTGGAGAGTGGCTCGTGCCGCTTTAGAGCTCGGTGGGCTGAATAAAGCCCCCTTAGTCCACTAAAAGACCATATAATTGATCGGTGGTTCCATTCGTACACAGACCATGTGAAGTCCATAGAGTTGGTCAGAGCCCTTCCGTTGGACCTCAAAGGAAGGGCACACACAATTGTAACTACTCCAACTCTCCGTGTTTCCTCCCCAACGTCACATACATATCTACTACGAGCGCCTTCACACAAACAAACCCTGACTGTCATGGTCGGCAAAGGCACTCTCACTAACCCAGCAATGAGTCCGACGATCCTCAGTCATTTATCAAGTGCCTTACGTGTATCTTTGTATGTATGTTCTCATGTCGATGAGAATGAGCTTCCTCGCTCCTGCAAGCCTCTGCCTCCGAATCTGTCCGCAACAGCTCATGTGCTTCCTTTTGTTCGCCCCAATACGATATTTCCTCTCAAAGAAGGTGCGGATGAGACAGATTGGGTGTTGTACTGGTCTGGAGATGTGGGGGATGGGTCTGTTGGTCAGTGGATTGGTGTCGTGGTAGAAACCGCAGCAGCGGAATTCAGTGACGCTTTCGTCCTGGCCGGTTTCGACCAAGAACGAACTCTTGCTATTCCCGTCAATACATATGGTGCGTCAGGGATGCTATGTCCGAACATTGTATGCCAACGAACAATTTCAGGATTGTCGCTACGCACCAAGCATATTCATTTAGACCAACTTCCATTCTCTCCATTTAAGACAAGGATCTCTCTTCCCAACTTGAACTCAAACTCGCTTTTGGTGTACAGCCTTGATGCTGTATATAGAGGTAATTGCGATGGTAAGTCTGCTCGGCGTCTTACTGTGAAGCGTCTGAGGGCCCTCCTTAGGTCGTTCCTTTATGAATCCACTTATTGGTTACACCGTACCTTCGGAGAATGCCCGGGAATCGCAATTCTACACGCCTTCATCACGTCGTATCCTACTCAGCGGTCACTCTCTCGGCCCGTTCATACGTCGCTCTGCGATTGATCGTGGTGCTCTCTTGGAAATTTACACGTCTGGTGCGTGCGGACTCGAGGAAGTAAATGTTAAATTGGATTGGAAGGCATCAGGTGGTCGCATCGGACTCCGGTATTGGAGCTCTGTTCCCATCTGGGTAATGGGAGTTGTTTATCTATCAAGTGGAATCACCTGGAGTGCCTGGGATCTTGGGTATCTCGGTAGGAGAACTTTGTGCGCTTGTATTGGGTGCTATGGCTAACTTGCCGTGGAGATTTACTGGATCCAATAGAAGCCCTTGAGCAGTTTACAGTTACAGTCCTTCTAAAAATTATACCTGGCCTTTTTCTTCTCTCCCTACTTCCTTTACCCTCACAATTTCTGTTAGGTAACTCTGGCGATCCTCTGTTCGCCTTCCTTGCACCCGCATTCATCATAGTTGCGACTGGAGCCACATGGGCTCTCTTCGGAACGATATATAGCATCGTTAGACTGCTTACTGCAATTCGGCGGAGACTAGGTTACTTGGGGTAAGTTTATCTTCTGCTCAGGGATTCTAAATTCGAGCCTTCCTTTACCTCTTCATCTAGGGCCCAATCTACCTCACGCAGCACAACTCTCAAAGTGTTCGCTTGGCTGTTCTTGTTTTTGCTAGCAAAATTCGTGGTGCCTACCCAAGCAATCTATTTTCTTGCGTACGCGCGCCACATGTGGAGGTGCTCTCGGCCTCAGGTGGTAAGGTCTTCCTTCACCAAATTGAGAATATCTCCCCCGCCGAGCTCAGATAATATTTTGTTTATTGTTGAATGTTCATCGGAAAACCATAAGAGGAGAGATGGTTTGATTAGTGACATTGGGATTTCAGGCAGAGTAAGTTATGCCTTCTGGATGGGGATTTAGGGATTTACAACCAGTGTCCCAGCCAACATCACCTACACTTCTGCAAGCTCAGCAGTTGCACATTCTCGTTTTGTTTTCTGCATTATTTCCGTTCGTGGGAACCACGATAATTGTTTGGGTTCAAACCCTCGCGACTGCTGGCTTCTTTCTGCCGTTCCGCGGAGATCATGACCTTTGGCGGGTATTTGCCTTTATCTGTGTTGCCGAGTGTTCAGATGAAGAGATACGAAAGGGGAAAAGGTACAACGTGGTTGGTCATCATTCTTCCTTATGTTAACGTTTTGACAATCTTAGATGGCTTATCTGGCTTACCAGTATCCCAGTCCTCCTCACCTCCGTGTTTGCATTTCTCCTGGGTTCACGACTCTCCTATGGAGTGTACGTTGCGGCGAACTATGCAATGATCGCGATGTGCATGAGAATGTGCATAGATCGCAACTTCCAATAATATGTTCCTGAAATCCCTTGAAGATATATACTCTGAGATTGGTTGGGACCAGCAGGCATTCTAAAACCCACGCAGAATGGCCGGCACCTACCATCAACTAATTCGCCGAACTCGCATCACTTCAGCATGTACAAGGAGTGGCATCGAAGCTGGTTTTCAAAAAGCTACCGGAGTACGTATGCGGAACTTGGCGCAGCTTCTTGAGTTTCAGAAGCGGAACTGTCCTCCATCCGTTTATTTCGTATGTTGGACGATTGTCTGACTGCGAAGATACCTCAATAGCTACCCATGTACATGTTGTAGATATCCGATATCATCACCGCATCCGTCTCATGAGAGCACCGAATCGCCTTCCCAAGAAGTCCAGCAACAAGAGATGATCGTTCCACATTTAATGCCCGTAGCAGTTGATGAATGATTTCCGTCACTCTGATAACCAGCGGTGACAACAGGCTCATAAGCGAGGGACTGGCAGTAGGGTCGCCGGTTTTTAGCGTTCTCCCAATTACTAACTCAACAACAGACCGTTCGACCTGCTTCTTGGCTGCCTGGGTGACAGGAAATAAATCAGGATTCTATTGCCAGTCTCTGCTTGATTGTCAGGAACAGATGTTTTGTAGGTGAGCTTCTCTTTCGTTGCTTCACTGGCCCGATGCTGAAGATTTTCTTGTTTAACTTAATCATACACTGGTGAAAACGTTGGATGGCATTGCGTGTTTAGAGGCTCAGTCGTAAGTCGCACTCAATCTAGGGGGATTTTTCAGTAAGCCAGTGTGATGGAAAAACCAGTGCCCACCTCATCACAAGATACTCCCCACTATTCACTTTGGGGTACTTAGGGCCTTCAGATCCTTCGCAACCTGGCAAACAGTCCACCGTCGCCCCTTCATTTGGATTGCAGAAGAAAGCGATAGATTGACGCGTGGGCGCCAGCCTCTCATCGCCTCCTGTCCTGGTGGGGGCAACCACTCGATGCATGGTACTCCGTAAAAGATCGTTTGACCAGCGTGCTAACAAATCGCCGACATTGACGACGATTGTTCCGCTCTAATAGATGGAATTATCATAAGCACCAACATAAGCCGTGGAAGTAGGCAGCTTACGATCGGTGGTGCCGGCACATACTCGAAGGTGTAAGGATTCTGGATCTCTAAACCGCCGATCTAGCGGGTTCCTCAATGGGGGATGAAGCTTTTATCGGGGGAAACACTTTACATCATCTTGAAACAGCAGGGTTATGGACCCATAGTCTATGGGAGGTCGGGATTGGAAATAAAGATCATTTGAATGATGGGCCTTACCAGAGTGGGCACCAGCTCGGGTTTGACCTTCGCCTTCAAGCAGCCGTCGCTCAACAGGCGGATAATTCAACAATCTCAGGGTATGCCAAGCTTCATTTACGACCGAATCAAAGTACGATTCATCCATCCCCAATCCCAATGCGATGGCGCGCATGATATCCATATGGAGATTATGACAGGCATCATAGAAGTGTATCATGGTGGAACGGAAGTCAGGGACAAGTTGTTCTGGCGGCCAGTAATTTCGAAATTCCGGATCTAAGGGTGGTGTTCGTATACATGTTCAACATCCTGGAAATGTTGAGTCTGGAGATACCTGTCTCTAGGCCTATCTCGAAAGACTCTTTACGGTCAGGTGCGACTTCGCGCAATGCTGCAATTTCAGCTGGATCGTTGGCGTTAGTCGTTTGTTCTCTCCCAATCTTTGTATATCCCCGGTTGGCACGCGGGTCTTTAGGAAGCAAGGCGATCAGGTGCAAAGACTATATCTGCTGACATGCGCAGAACCTCTCCAAGCCAAAGGATCCTTGACATCGTCCTGAAGCGCGAAGAAGTTTTCACTCTGCAGAACCATTAGCTTTCCTTATTAAGCGCAGGACGCATGAATGGAGCGGCCTACCTCCTTAAACACCTTCGAGATGGTGGCTTCAGCGATCCCATGATTCTTGACATACATGAAGCCTGCTTCCTTGAACGCACTGACCACCTTGCGAGCAACGTCGCTCCTAGTGGGATCCGAGCCGGACCTGAAAGGGGAAAAATCTATCACAGGGATACTGAAATGCGGAGCTGCCATGCTTGAGTGCAGACTCAGAGCAGGGTTATTTGATGATGGAAGGCAGGTGACGATCGATAGAGCAACACCATGTATTACGAAATTAACTGAGAAGTTGCTGGAAAAGACGTCAAGATTCAATCACTCCTAGTTGCAGGGTAGATGGTTAGCTGCTGCACACCAGGCAGGTGACCAGCGTCTTAGCAACCAGCATGGCCTCATTGAAGGCGACAACTCGATCAGCAAGGTCGACCCCGGGATCTTACGACATCGCCCGTACAGTTTCTACAGGGTGCCCCGCCTTTGTTGTGAATGTGCCACTAACGCAATTGCGCAGAATATCAGAACCCGAGTGGTCAGTAAACTCCTTGCATATGTAATTACACTGGTAGTAGAAGTGAGCAGACTATCATGAAATGAGATGGACGAGTAAAGATGTGGTTCTGTTAGACCTGAACCAAGAAACCACAGAAAGCAAAAACTAAGTACGAGCATAGATGCGTAGTAGTAAAACTGGTCAGTGGAACGACACAGAAGAGACGAGTACACAGATCCCGACAGCTATTTTGGTACAGTGTAGATACTTCACCTAGCGACAATGCAAAATTCCCTCTGCATAAAGTCCAGTAACAAAGAAGTCATTTCCATGTTTAATGCCCGTTGCGGATGACGAAAAATGAGTTCCGTCACTCTGATAAAGTGTGGTGATCGTGTGCGAATCCACAGCGGAGACGCGCTCATAGACGCCGTATGGGGCGGCGAGGTCACCGGTTTTCGGGGGTTCGTCGATTACGGGCTCAATTGCGATAACCCAGCTAGGAGCCGTTCGAGCTTTCTTCTTGGCCACTTGCAAAAGGGAAGGGAAGTGTGGATGGCCGGCAACAATTAGGGTCCTGGAGTCAAACTCCGATTCATCATAAGACAAGTTGTCGGGCGTGAAAGGGACGGGAACGGAAGTCCTGTACGTGAGCTTTTCCTCTTTCGTTTCCTCATCGACCGTCCTGTCATAGAAATGAATGGCTAAGCCAGTAGTGGATGACACAGCAAATTCCTTCCCATCAGGGGAAACGGCGACACCGTTGGCAAATTTGATGTTGCTGATGGCTCGAGTAACGTTGAATTGACTGCTTCCCTCTGACTGTATGTCTACCCGATCAACCCAACTCAACGGTGCGGCAAAGAGCGATTCGGCAAGCGAAACGAAATCCCCAACTAAAGGTATGCGGCGTGTAAAACGATGGTCGTTTGACACGTAGAATGAGACAGGTGATATTGGGACGATTGCATTGGGAGAAACGAATGCAGGATGTGCCAGAGTTTGGACGTATTCAAGTTTGGGATATGGAGATGTCGGGGACGAGTCATGGAGATGAAAGATCTCAATGGTGGTATTGCTTCGGCCGTGATTGACAATAAAAACGGTGGAAGGCTTTCCTGGTGAAGAGACCGTGTGAATCCCAAGTGGATGAAAGTCAGCTTGGATCGGATAACCCTCGAGGGCTAGGCGCTGAACGCGATTAGATGATGTCTTATAATCATAGATCCACACGTCCCCATGAGGCTTAGGATTATCGAGAGGACCCTAAGTTACATATTCGTTGGAGATATTGGGTGGAACCGTGAAACACTAACTCACCATCACGGTGTTCCATTCCTATGTGTCATCAAGTCGATTAGCCCCGTGTTAGGTTCGTAGGTACCTGTGATGCATACCTGTCTTCCTGGATCGCACGTAATTAGCAGTTTTGGGTGTGAGGGTGCGTGCCAGATTGTGGCGTCTTCACAGAACCTCAGTCTGTCGAGAAATCCGTCTTTAACATTGATACACTTCTTCGATACATCCCCTCCGGCATAGTAAGACGTGGGGAGAGGCGCGAGCGTCATGGCATTAAGCAACCCGCGGCCATTTGCATATGCCCAGTACGCCTTGTGGAAAGTTGGGGGATCAAGTCAAGTAGACAGCAGCGCGCCCCCAGTACTCACAATTCCTGAGGTAAGGGCAGGAGCAATGATAGCACTGGCCTTCATATTTGACAAAAGTGGAGCGGGATGTCTGCGAAGGATCAAGAATGTTGTGGGGTTTGCGGCTCGGACTGTGAGAAGTGCACAGCCATTGTCGCTGAATCACCCGCTCTTAGAATGGATCTCGCTTGCTCGATCACATCGTAGAATAGTGGATACGCAAACTCCAAAGACGATCTCTACAGTAAATATCTGATGGGATGCTCTTCCGGTCCGACGAGCGTCTGAGTATGAATGATGTCGTCGTTCGTTAGATATCGTGCTTCTGGCATTCCTCACATGCTTATCCCGCCACATGCGGCGCAAAAGGAACTCCACGACTTGAGGTTTCTGAGCTTTGCGTGTGTCCAAGGCAATGTGTGGCTCAGGCGCGCCACGTCAGTGGAAATAGCGTGGTTAGTGGTACCGTTCGTTGGCCCTCGCATTGTCGAGTTGCCACATCAACACCTTCTACCACGATGCACTGAGAACTAGAACCTTCTCGTTCAACTCATGAATCAAACGCTGAAGAATATCTCAAGTAACAGTGCATATTTGGTAGTGTGAAGGCTTCGGCCATGAAACGTGCTCAATATAACGGAGGTTTTTGGATAAGCTAGTGCAATGTAAAGTCGGCAAGCACCTCGCCGCAAGATACTTCTCACTGTCTGCCTTGGTGTACTTGAGGCCCTCGAGCCTCTCTCAACTAGCCAAGCGGTCGACCATTGGCCCGGCCTCGGGAAGCGACAGCTCCATGCCTTGGCGTCGTGCAACCTCTCACTGATGGTGCTGGCACTCGGTGTATCGTTAAGAAATCCTTTGGCCATCTTAATAAGTCGCGAACATCACCGATAATCACTACCGATAGGGGCGTCAAAAGCGGCCGCACGGGCCGTGGCTTGCGGTTGGGGCGTACTCAAACGCGCAAGGATGTTGGATCTCTAGACCGCCGATATAACACATCATGAGGCATTTAGCAGAAGAAACGCTTTTCACCTCTAAGCAGCAGGGTTACGGACATCTGGTTCGTGGGAGATCAGAATTGGGGACGGAGCGGCATCGTTTGCATGATGGAGTGGTCACCGGCTCGCGGCTGGCCCTCGCCTTCGAGCTGTTGTCGCTCAGCACGGGGATACTCAGGGCATTATAAACCTCTTTTATGACTGAACCGAAGTCCGAATCCCCGTGCGACTGCACGCATGGTACCCGCACAAAGACTAGTGACCTAAGAATGTATCGGACTCTGACGCCAGCTGGTTCTTGCTCATCTCCCGGATCTGGCTCATCACCCTGTAGATCCTATGTTTCGTTCTCCAGCCTCAGGGATTATTTCGAGGCTTTACATGTCATTGAAGAATCAATTTCTCTTGAGCGTTCGCTCCTTGACACCCTGCGCCTCCGATTCGGCCGAGGTGCTGGATTCACGCGCCAATTTTCCAATCTGACGGGGCATGTAGATGTACTTTTTCCCGCGTTATTCTGAATGTCCAGATGCCCGCGTAGCTGGCATGCGAATGGGTTTCTTTGCCTTGTTTCCTGGGCATTATGAGCCTGCCCTTGGAAGTTGGCGCTCTTGCAAGCGGGGTGCAGTTTACAGGGCTACATGTACAGAACTAACAGCGACAAGGACAGGGAAATAAAGGGCATGTCCCGTATGCGGTCGACATGTCTCGCTTGCCACTGAGTGGCCAGAAACCTGTTGCTGGGGCCATCACACGGTATCGTGGCTCAAATTGGTTCGCCGAGCTTCGGAAAATCCTCGTATATCTCATACGTAAACGTCTTCCCGTCCGACCGAATGCACATGAGCCCTGCGCTCTTTGTCACTCTTTCTGGGTCTCATCACTTCTCACCTTCTCGCGTTTTTTCCCCACCTGAGCGGGTGGTCTCCGGAAACCTTGAACTGGGCGCCTGTCACTCAACCCGGCCAATTAGTCCTAGGTTATGTGTACCACCGCACGTATCGCGGCGGGAACATTGCTTAGTCTCTGGCGCTGGAACGTAACGCAACAAGCATATACTATAGATAACGTTATAAGCCGCAAGGGGCGAGAATCGAAGGGAGTCCTAGGTAGCGGAGAGTTCGTCGTTACAGAATTGTTTGGTGGATGTGCGCCGACTGAGACAGCCGTCCGAGCCGCCAAACCAAATCATAGTTCAAAAACATCCCAATAGAACCAAACATCCCAGCGAACTGGTCAAGGAATAAACACCCGTGTTCGCAAATCAGAATTCATACCCGAGAAGCCACCACTTCGCTCCCATCACTCTTGAGTTGTTCCAACCTCTGCCAAATCCGTTCTCGTACATCTCTCTTCCGCCTGCCATCGTTAAGCCCACCCATTTCATACTCTCCACTATAATTCGTTTGCAAGATTTCTTGTACAATGGACACGAAGAACCAGCAGTCCTCCTTGTCAGATGCCAAAGTCAGATGGACACATTATACACACGACGAACCGCCAACAAATGAGAGGACGGAACTCACTTGAAACAGGCGGTACTGCGGGCATACATCTATAACGGCTTGAAGTATCAACCCCACTTCTAGCAGAGAAGCTTGTATTCTCAAATTCAGTTCAGCTTCCTTTCTTACACTTCTCCGGTCTAAGAGGCAGTCAAGTTTGCCTGATGTGTGCACCTATGAGTGACGAAAGTCCATTGACAAATCGTGAATACGTATTGAAGACATACACCATCAATCGCGTGAGACGGCCGAGAACTTGAGATAGATGATTCATTTTGATCTCGACGTCGGTCGAGCCGAAAAAATAGATGTCGACCCCTCGCACTGTCGAATACATCCAAAATCAAGAAACGGTGCGGAATTCCTTTCGATGTAACCCATCTTGTGACTGATATGACCTTCGAATGGTTTGCTTCTTCGCTCATGGGCAGGTTGGCACAAAAGTCAATCAGTGTGAGAGTTGCGCTCCATAGATGAGGCACATCTCGAATGATATCTGTCTCCTGCGCGTGCTGCATTGGGTCAGAAGGCTCTTCATCTCCTTGGAGTGGTGCAGTGGCACACATGCCGTGTGCTCGATGATCCTCGATGCTCCCTTGTTCGCGAGTAGGGCCTTCGCTCTCTACGGAATCTCCACCGTCGTCGCCCACTCCCTCACTATCTGAGGGATATCGTTTGACGTTGATCGCGTCTTGCGGGTCAAGGCGTGCGCTGGGTGAGGCTGCGACACTGCATGAGTCGGGCCTTTGACCTGCACCGACAGAAGCCCTGCGAGGTTGCCCCCGAGTTGGTTGGAAAGAGGAACCACTAGGCTGGGCTGTCATTGATGAGGCCGAATTAAGGTATGAGTAATTGACAAGGAAAGGATTTGCTTGGGGGTCGAGATGTGTTAGTCTCTAGCCAGGGCCCTGGAGTGTTATAAATACCTTTCGAAGAATAGCCGCGCTTCCAGGCCCATCCACGTTCTGCAGGAGGACAATCTGACGGAGAGCCGAGGTGAGAGGGTGACGGGCAGTTGCTCGCAACTGGCTCAGAAATATATATAAGGACAGCAAACACACCTCGGACGGGCGTGTTCAAATCCCATAGGTGGATACACATGAAAAGGGGAATTGCAGATCTGAATAATCCGCAAATTCATCTCAATCACAGCGCAAGGGTATTTATTACACCTTCGGCGAAGCGTTCCCGGTCTACATGAGAATAACTATGGTCGTACGCATGCATGCAGCCACATGCATGTATAAACCACCCACTCATTTGTCAAAAGATCAACCGTCGACATGCGTAGACAGACGCTGTCCCAAACCAGTTGGGGTAATTCATCCACTGCGCAGCTCATGCCCATGCTATCAACCATAACTAAATGGTCCTTTAACCATGCATCTTGTGCATGTATCTCGAAAGCGAATTCTACTCGGCGTGAACAAAGTAGGTGCGGAGCCTCGACGCCATCGGAGGGACCATGCACCCTCTGCTCGTCTCAGCGACCTGTACGCAAACCCACAAGTCCCGCAACGGGTCTCAGCTAAAAGCACAAACCCATAACGATCCACAACAATCTGTGTCAGGCTGCGACGAGATCACGCTTGAAAGATCACTCTAGTGCCATTGCGAACATTCTGGCAAAACATCTCCCCACCCGCAGGTCGTACCATTAAGGCAAGACCCGCGCGGCGCGGCGTACGGGTTCACAAGAGCTTTATTAGCTCCTTAGCAACCGAGGGGTTTGCATGGCAACCCTGCGTGTTGTATCATTTAAAATCTTGATAAAGGAGTACTTCATCTGATAACACAAGAGCACAGTCGATTGGGTGGGCGGAGGAATTTCAAATCCACACCAACCCCAGGTATTTGGAGGCGAGGGAACGTGAAGGAGGCAGGAGGACAGTCGTACTGCTGGCATACCATGTTATGTGTGGGCACGGCATGTGTATCTCACTGTTTTGTGTATAACACGTGTGGCTGGCGGAGAACAAAATGAACCCGCGCCAAGCTGCGCAGCGTGAAAAAGTGCACATGTTGTGCCGTGACTGGCTGCTTTGTAGCGTTCTGGTTGGCAATTCGCTCGCGTTGCACATGCAACATGCAGGGAGCCGCGCAGGATAGAGGGAAAAGGGAAGGTCGCGTGCGTCGCAGCCGACACGAGGCCAGCTATCTCCTGCATGCAAAATGATCATTTGCACCCTGCCTAGCACTGCATAACTGCTGGTTGCAGTTCAAGGAAGGCTCGATGTTGCCAAACAACCAATTAATACATTTGGTCTGCTTTTTTCCGCAGGGATTGTTGCCACGGGCACCCGTCGTCCGAAGGTGATGTGAAATGAAGCATAATATAATCTGAAGGCGCTGTGTCATGATGTCATTTGCCATGCGGGAACGCATACAGCTTCGGGTTGGCTTCGTCAGGATAAGCCTCGCTTCCTACCATACATGCATGCATAGGACACTAGGAGTGGGTGATCGTTCGGCTTCAATCTGCAGATCTAGAGTTTGGAGCGCGTTTGCGGTAAATTTGTATGCAAGAATTCTGTCGCGCCATCTCTATCTGCTGATCCATCGAACTTAGTGTTGCAAAGGACACGGTCAGACCACCGGTCAGATCGTGATTCTGACCGGTGTCGAAGAAATGCCGAGGCAAGCCGGGGATTTAACACGTTCAGCGTGAACACTTAAGTACAAGTCCGAGTAACCAAATCCTCAATTTCCATCTCGTTTGCTAAATTCTCGTTTGCCTCCAATCAAGATCTTACTTGCTGTTCAAAGCCAATTAAAGTATCTCGAGCATGGTGCTATCACTAGCTGTTTGCTGAATTTTCTGTAGCACAATGCATGCTTGGGGGATCCGGAATTAGTTATGAGAGTTGGAACTCACGCTTAATTCGGATCGAGGATGCGACAGGGACTTGACTATCAGAATCTGCTGCGAGATTCGACAGCAAAGAGACTTGTACGAGCTGTTGAATGGTAGTTTGGATATTTTTAGTGCCGAGCGTCGGATGTTCAGACACAATCAGATAGGACAAAGCAATCGAAAGTTGCACTGCGTGACATCCGGTTCCTGGGCGGTCACGGATCAGAGGCATGGTTTCATAGCCTGAACTCTAACAGATCATATCATAGGCACACTCGAAAGCTTAGTGGCAAGAAGCAATAAAGGTGTTGTTGAATCCATTAATTGAGGGTGGAAGCCAAGGGAATCCGCTCCTAAAGCGCCGAATTCAGTCATAAGTCTGGCTCAGCCTGAAATAAACAGGTTATGAATGGTCTCTGTGAGTGACACCCTGGGCACCTCACCTCTGGACTAAGTAATCTTCTGTCAGGACCTTAGGATATTTCGGACCGTTGAGTCCTTCACATCCAGGCAAGCATTCCACCATTGTGGTCCAGTTGGGATTGCAGAAGAAAGCTATCGATTGTCTCCTCGGCGTGAATCCACTCGCGGCATCCGACCGAGTCGGCGAGACAACGCGATGCAGCGTACTTCTGAAAATGTCGTTGGACCATCTGGCAAGCAAATCTCCGACGTTCACAACGATAGTTCCAGGCTGAAGAGGACTAAGTATCAGTGAATCGGGTTTTGTGGAGCTATCACCGACGCACGATGGGGGTCGCCGAGATGAAGTTCTTTGTGTGGGGATTCTGGACCTGGAGCCCACCAACCTGAAGTAGACCGGTTTGACAGTCAGTGTTCAGGCCTACAATTAATAGAAACATTACACTCACATCATCCTGGAACACAAAGGTTATGGATCCATAGTCTACCAGGCATCTGGTCAACAATATAAATCACTCCACCCCAAGAAAAATGTACCTGAGTGCGCCCCCGCTCTAGCTTGGCCTTCTTTCTCAAGGAGCTTTCTCGACACAGGAGGATAGTTCAACAGTCTCAGGGTATGGCATTTTTGGTCAGCTAACGGGTCGAAAAATCGCTCATTCAAGCCTAGCCCCATAGCGATAGACCGAAGCACATCCAGATGGAGTGTATGGCATGTATCGTAAAATTTCAGCATAGTTGAACGGAAATCAGGAGCCACTCCAGTTGAAGGCCAGTGGTTCTTCCACGCTGGATCTGCAAGAATGAATGCTCTCCGGTGCTGATATGGAATCAATGTGGCGTACCTGTTTCCAGGCCGATTTCCATGGACTCTTTGACATCAGGGGAAGTCTCCCGAAGCTTCTTGATCACCTCCGGGTCGGTAGAATCAGTGACCCTTTCTCTACCTTGCTTGACGTAGCCGCGGTTCGCACGTGGATCTAACGGAGAGCCCTGAGGTTGGTTAGTGACCAAAATAGGATGTATGCAGCCGACCTTTCCACGCCAGCTCATCCTTAACTGCTTGCGGTAAAGCAAAGAATTTATCGCTCTGTAGCATGAAAGATGAGTAACGTGTTTGTTTTGTTCATCAAATAAGCACCTTGGGGAGTTAACGACGTACTTCATGGAACACCTCTTGCACGAAGACCTCGTCCACTCCATGGTTTTTGATGTACATGAAACCAATGTTCTTGAACGCATCGACCACCTGACGAGCAACTTCTTTCTTCATCCCCTCTGAATCAGACCAGAATGGCGCGAAGTCTATCACGGGGACCCTAAAATGTTGATCGGAAACGGTCGCCAGTGAACGGAAGTTGGGCGAAAAGAGGCGAGAGGGGTGGGCGCGGGAAATGCATGCTGCGTTGTGCATGGCAGACCGAACGAAAGACATTATGAAGTCCCCGCCCCGGTAGCCAATAATGATCCAGGCAGATTAAGTATGCCGCCCAATGAACACCAACAGACCAAGCAATGGAATCCCGGAGAATACCACCTCAAGGATTATAGAAGCACCTCTCTAACAAGTCACTGCCCAACGGTCCTCGATGGAGACAAACTCGAAGACGAGGCAAATGAGTGCTAGATTTCTAACGAATTTCAATATCACGTGGTGTTGCCCAGACCTGCAAAGCCTGCGATAAGCTCTCAACCTCGGAGCGAGAAGCCGACGCCAATATGCCCTCATTAACGACTTCGCTCGCCACACTTGTACAGTCCATTGACGCTGTTTCACGAGAAAACCCAAGAAGGCGCATGGAGCTCATCGAGGACTGCGAGGCAATTTTGAACAGGTAAATCCCAGCTCTCGCGTGACAGGTAGCTACGTCGTGCGAGCGGGCGACAATCATTCTGACTTGGGGGCACATCTTTACGCGTTTCACTCTCTCCGCAGTCATATCAGCGAAAATAAGGACGCTGATATCGGAAGTATTGCTGCGTCAGTGAAACGACAACGTACGTCGATTTTTCCCAATGTGCTGGTTCTGATCAATATTGTTAACAACCTTGATAGTGCTTCAGCATCCTGGAGGGTCTAATTCAACACTTCGATTCTCGAATCTTCTTGCAAGACTTCTTGAACAAGCGAGTAATTCGGTTCAATAGTCCGTATATATCTGACAAGTTCTGGATGCAGCCTATCCTCACAAGGAAACACTCCGTTTTACTTTTCCTCCAAGCCCTTTCCACGCCCGTTTCATCGATTACATCCCCCATCGCTTCCTACCTTCCATCTCTTGCTCCGCCGAAAATCAACGGTCGTGCCAGCCCTCTCCCTGATCCTAGCCCTTCCGCAAGGGTCTCCTCCCCGACCCTGGTTATTGCGCCTCCCAAGTCACGTCCAAAACCAAAAACGAAAGCGGAGATATTGAGGGAATGGCGCGCGCAACACGGTCAGTGCTAGTCGAACGTGAGCTTCAGCTCAGCCGGGTTCACGCTTCCACTTAGGGAAACCTCATTTACCGGAGCACCTTTTGCTCCGTGATGCCTTATATTTGATTCAGGGAATTTCAGGGAAATATGTTCGTTTCTCCCATAACTCGTCATCCTCTGGGGACCAAGAGAGCAAGATTGTCTTCGTCGACGATCCGGTACGCTTGAAGCATCTTCATTCTGGGAAAATGGGTATTTTGGGCTTAAGTTTGCAAGCTAGGAGTACATTGTCTCACCGCCTACCCAAGCGCTCGTGCACAAATTATCTGAGATTGGGCATCTTTACACTCGTGTGGCTCGATTTGTCAAGGAAAGGGCGGGGATGTCATCGATAGGGATGATAGAGCAGGTAGTATACCTAATATGTTCACCCATGGCCTGCTGAAATGCTTTTAGAGTCTGTCTCATCACCTGCAAGCCCAGCTAACGGAGTACTACAAACTCGTTGCAATACTAGAGTCTCAAATGACGCACCAGGAGGACGTAGATGAGTCTCGGACGGAAGATAGTGGGCTGTCGCTACGCCGATTGGATGTCTGGATAGACGATTGGCGGTTGCGCATGCGCATGATGAGTGTTTGCGTTGAGAACTGCAGAGGTCGGCATAACATTTTATTGGCATCTGCTCGTTAATGGATGTGACTGCTTTCAGGTGCGAAAGGCGGTGCCCTTGTCAGCCTAATACACGGCAACACTAATAATGGGGATCCCTTCGTACGGAGTTTCACCGACCAGCTTCTAGAGGAAGTCCGTTCACAGTAGCTTCCATTATGATCGAATTTTGGCTCATTCATGCTCTACTCTAGGTTTCGAAGCCATTCTTTCAGACTCTCCAACGCTGGATCACCACTGGCGAGCTACACGACCCGTATGAAGAATTTTTCGTCGCAGCTCACCCGGACCTTGTCGACTTAACATACGTCCACCCCAATGTTCTGTCAGCGGACGAAGGGTTGGGAAATGCTCCTCCGGGTGCTGTAGGAAAAAAAGCAAACGGAGAGGAAGTAGGGAGTTTAAAGCTTTGGGAGAGCAAGTTTGTGTTTCGGAGGGAGATGCTGCCCAGTTTCGTCTCTGAAGAGTTTGGGAGGAAGGTAAACGAAATTGAGTGGGATTTTGAATGAGAGGCTAATCCTTCATTGGATGGGGCAGATATTCTCAACAGGGAAGAGTTTGAACTTCATTCGATACTCTTGCCAAGATGGCGATTGGGTTGCTGCCCAAGGCAACCTGGCTAAGGCAGGCAGTAAGCCAAACTGCCCCTGTCCTTGAGATTACTCGTTTATTCTGCGTCTGTGTAGCGTTGAAGTACAGCGACATATCTGGACTTGAGCGATCCATAGATGCCGCTTATCACGCTGCGAGTCGTCGAATACACGAAATATTCTTTCAACGGTACAAACTTTTGGATCACCTGCTTGCTATCAAATCATACCTTATGCTCGGATACGGGGACTTTGTTGATCAGCTCATGGAGTCGTTGGGGTACGTCTCTGTGTCAGAATATTGGCAAGCGCCCCACATCGACTAATCTTTTAGACCGAGTTTGGATCACGCAGCTAACACACTTTATCGACATAACCTCACCGCAACCCTTGAGACTGCAATTCGCTATACCTCTGCCTCTCAAGATTCCACCGACGTCCTTCGTCGTCTCGACGCTCGAATCCTTGATTACCAACACGGTGAGATTGGTTGGGACGTGTTTACGCTTGAATATAAAGTGGATGCTCCGATCGATACGGTTCTTGGGGAAGAATCAATGATTCAGTACGCCCGACTGTTCAATCATTTGTGGCAGATGAAAAGAGTCGAAGGAGCCTTGGTTCAGGAATGGGCTAGGGTTACGGGAGGAGCGAGAACGTTCTTGAAGGTTCCCGGTGAGTTCGTTTACTTGCTGAGGTTTGGGGCCGAATACTAGAATCTTTAGGACAGAGCATGCACGCGATTGGCACCAGGTTCGAATTGTCATGGCGGAGATGAATCATTTTATCCGCCAGCTTACTGCCTACAGCCATATGGAGATAATTGCCATCCGATGGAAAGCGTTGATGGACTTTCTACAGAAGAAAGAGGGCGACCTAGATGCCTTGATAGATGCACATCAAACGTATTTGGACACGATTGTGCGGAAAGTATTGTTACTTCACCCAAAGAACGGGAAAGAGGTACGTCACCTTTTTTCTCGCCTGTCTATGTACTGAGTATAGTTGGGACGAAGGAGAACGTGTTGACTCAAATTCGAGAAATCTTTTCCATCATTTTGAATTTTGAGAAAGCGGTTGTGCGTACCACCCTCTTGATTAAAGGGCCGCTTATTTAGGCATTTTTCTCCTCTCAGCAAAGCTTTTACATGCACACTCTGGCCGAGTCCACCCGGCGAGATTCAGAAAAGGACACCCAACGTGTAAGAAATAATCATCCTCACTCCTTTCGCCTCATGCTGACGTTAATTTCCACCCTCAGGGTGTTATAACAACCCTCCTTCGCCCTTCTAACTCTGAAATAATAACCCAACCTTCATCTCCCTTACCCCAACCAAACTTGCCCTCTGCGCCTTCTCCTCCACTTGATCTTACGCTTGTTCGTCTTCGTGAATATGGAACCGCTTTTTCCGAGCGTGTCACGACGATCGTTTTTGCATTGGGTAATCATCCTGATCAAGATTGTAGGTACTTGGCGGTGAAGCTCTCGTTCAGCGATTTCTATAGGGTTAAGGCGAAGGAGAAAGCCGAGAAAGCGGACAAGGAGGCTCAGCAGTTGGTGGTAGGGGTTGCGGGTGGAGGGAAGGAGGCTCCAAATGCAGCGGGACGTCGGCCTTCTCATGCAAGTAGTATCACCTCTTAGATCAGCTACTCATTGGTTGGTTCCGGTTACTTCGGGCTCGGATGTCGCCTTCATAACCTTGGCTTTTCATGATTGCGACCGTGGAGAAGGAGCGCCTGTGAGCCTAATGCAGATGTTGCTTTGCTTTCATCTGCTATAAAGTCAAGCTCTTCACTAAATCATGTGTATTGAACTCAGAGTTCTCACCTACTACGTGTAGGAAATGGATACCCCTTGCTCTCTGGCCCGCATTGATGCCCTGGTCACAATCACTTGAGGTCGAATTTCACGTTTTGCTTTTATCACAATTCTTGGGATCGCAGCGTACGCTGAGGTCAACTCACGTTTGTTGATGTCGAGTCTTGCGCGCGGCGCTCATGATCTACTCTTGTTTCCTTCCTTGGAATACTGGCTGCCAAAGTCAGTGCGCGGTCATAGCGCCTGACTATAAAACACCCAATTTCTGGACCACTCGACTTCTCCTCAGTTCACGCATAGCGGACTGAGGTAAGTCAGAGTTTCCCTTCCTTTTATTATGTTCGTTATCGTGTACTCATTTATGTATACAAGCGAGAACATCGCTAGTCTACCATTTACCAGCTTTTCCCTTCGTGGTCCCCCAGGTATATTGTGGGCTAATTAGGAGCCTCATATCGAGGCAGGAAACTTGCGGCAAGTCCAGGATACAGCGTGGGTGATTTAGGAAAGCCCTCACTCCTTACCATTCGCATTCTTCTTTCATTTTTCCCACGCAGAGTGAAAATTTTCCATGCAGCCCACACCAGGTGAAATAAGGAAACCGTGTCAAGGATGTGTGATTAGTACTCAAGTAGAGGTGCATAAGAGGGTAATTGATAATGTAGGACAATTGATAGAATGCTAGTTGACTGAGGAGCAGAGAAGGATACCATGTAGAGTTTAGAAACAAGCCAAAGAAGAACAAAAAAATGAAAGTGAAAGTGAAAAAAATAAAAAAATAAAACTACGGCACTCAGGATTCCCATGTAGTCCCCTACCATGGTACTAACTAAGCGGCACTCGGCTTGACTTCGCAGATCGGACGGGATGCGGTGCTTCCCGAGTCCTATGGCCGTAGATAGCCGAGCCACTTTCCCACCTCTGATAAACATTTAAACTACTCGCGGTTGACGGACACACGCAGTGGATTAAAAGTATGTATATGAGCCATGGGCATGGCTGTCCCGTCGTTGCGTGGGTGCGGGTCAGCTGAAGGAGAGGTAGACTTCGAACGAACGGAGATTCAAATTGAGGCAGGGAGACGGAGAACGATGTCGCGTTATTGAGCAGGTTTCGTGAGCAAGCCAACAAGTGACGTTGGACAATTGCTTACGCTTTTACCATAGAGGCTGGTAGCCTGCCTAACTATCGAGCACTGGGTCAAACTATTGAACACTTTATGGTCCGACTGGCCCCATTGCACGCATATGTCACTTTGTCCCGAGCGCGAGGACGAAACAGGGGGTGATTAATCTGGGACTTCTTCGACGATAGTCTGGACTCTGTTCAGCACTGAGGTTTTGGAAACAGAAGACCAGCGATTGATGGAGATGCATATGAAAATGGGAAGAGGAGAAATGGGTAATATACCGCCCTTGACAAACTTAATGATGACAACTACTCGGCTTGGGCCATTACATGGAGGCCCACCTAGTCCGGAAGGACTCTGGGAAATCGTATCTAGTGATATGACCAGACCCGTTGGGGGCGCGCATCATAAAGCAATTCTAGGCTGAAGCAGCCTCTATAGAAAGCAATTCGGGTCTGGCACAGGAAGCACGACGACATTGCCGCAGCGGAGATTGTACTACATGTCTCCCACAAGTACGTCACTTATTGTAATGATTTCGATGCACCCGACACCTGGAACAAACTCAAAATGCTATTCTGTACCCAAGGATCACAGCTCCATTGCTGCGCTCCGTCAACAATTCAACTCCATGCGCTACGATCCTGGGATGTCAATGCGAGAATGGATTACCAGAGTCAAGGATGCGGCACGTCATCTTGAGGCTGATACGATGAACGTCCACCAGTCTTCACTTTTCAAGTGGCGAAGAGAGCGCGTGTAGAGGCTAGGCTTCAACTCCTTCGAAGCAAATGGTCTAACATTGTATGAACTTCTCGATGCTTGCCTTAGCGATGATCTGCATCACAACCCCACAAATCCCCATAATAAGGGGTCTCTCTCCCTACGCTTGTTGGTCTCATTATTGAAAGGGAAAGCCTTCAAAAGTGTCTCTAAATGCTCTACTCACTGGATCCTACCCTGTTTCTCGCTTCAGTGCTCCTTTACACTCACCAACAACTTCGATTGCCTAACAGACATAGCCTCTGGCTTCCATTTCTCAGCTTCATCAATGAGACACAAGGAATTTTTGTCTGTTCAGCGGACAGCGAAGAAATTCTCCCATAAAGCTCCTACTTTGTGGCATTTTTATTGGCTGTCTCCTTTCGGCGACATTTACCCCTGAGGAAATTGTCGAGGCTGATGTCCTATAGGTATATAATATAGCGTTTGTATTCTGAATATCAAGGCAAGCCTCAAGAAGATCTGGCGATAGATTGTCCACTGAGATACAGACCGATCTTACACCAAGTGCGCTGAGTCCAGTTGCTTGCTGAGAGCCAAGGACAGTGAGTGGTGTTATTACTACTAAAATATTTCCGCCATTATACAGCGTCGATGGCATCCAGTATATCAAAGTTTTGCCAGAGCCAGTCCCGGATGTCAAGAGCAAATCCCTCGGATGGATCTGGGCAACGACTGCTCTCAATTGGAAACCACAGAGAATCTTCCCAAAGACATCAGCGACATTTCTCCTCATTGTATCTTCCGTTGGCTCAGCATATGGGGTAGGGATGGCCATGCCGTTAATGAGTTTACATCGAAGTAGGTGTAAATAATCATACATTGTACCGCACATGTAGCGCTTACATCATCCCGGATGCAATGTTTTCCACCAGTCGTTCCCTTGGAACGACTGGGTCCGAGTCTGGCTCGTACCCAGCCGTTCTGTTTATGATTGTTTGAGGGTACAGAACTATCTCATCCCGACCGAGTCGTGCCACAAGGTGGCGTCTCAGGATGTACTGTTACTGAGGATGAGGGTTATAACTCTATTTGCTTCACAACGTGCTAGGTATCCTCGGTGATCATTATCACGAGTCGTTCCAAAGGTGGTAAAGTTCGTTGTGCACACGACCTCATTGTCGACTCAGGGCGCCCTGAGCTTTTCTTCATCTCTGGTGGCCCAACGATCTCCCACATGCGTAGGCAGGTGACCAGTCTCTATAGTATAGACCCACATGCCCGGAAATTAAGGACCCTCACTGATGATGAAGGGACGCGTTACCTAGAAGGGCCTAAGCGAGCGGGAGGGACACTTTACTACTTTGGGGACTCACTTATTCGTTCGTTCGATGATATCAACCTCCGGATGTTGCTTTTCCTGCTATGGGCATCCTTTGGCGGATCCATGGGTGAGCGCTGTCCTTGCAAATCATGCAGAGGTCCCATGCATGATGATCCTGGTGCCAAGGCAGAGCGCCGTCGGGAGTCTCTTCGGTACTCGCCTTACGCTTGAACCGCGCCACTTGTGCGACGAGCATGATCAGAAACTTACTCGGATCGTTCACAGTCTGGTTGTGATTACCATTGGAGTGAACTGTTTTGAATGTCCGACGTACACTGACAGGTGGGGTCCTAGCGAGGGATTCGCCTCACTGAGGAATGGATTTGCGGTGCTCGGTCACGGCGGCACGATCGTCATCCCGTTGTCCATCGCAGGCGTGAGCTTTGAATATAAACCCGCGGATACAGGCTATCCTTTCATCGATGCCTATCCTCGGGTCAACGTTTACTTATCCAGACATCTACACGGGACAGCGAATCAGACCGGATAGAAATTGGTTCGAACCCCAATTCTTTCGTTGGTTGTAAGGTCATATGGTGCTGATCTGACTGATGCTGGGATGAAATCCTTCTTCAGATATGAGTTTATGAACAGCTGCAATTGCAATTGCGATTGCGCCTTATCAAATGTCGGGTGTATGCGGTACGATTAAATTGATTGGTGCCATGAGCACGCAACAAGCACGCAAGACGAGCCACAGGATACCAAACATCTGTTATTTCTTGCCCGACTAATTCCTGGTTTAATCGTTACGGAATCATGATGAGGTTCGCGGCTGTGCGATGTTATCCGCGAGTATTTAGTTCGATACGATCGAGTGTTTCTCCCCTTCGACGGTTCCCTCTTCTTTCTTATATATCCGCTACCAGCCACAACCAAACTTCATACTTACACCAGCAAAACATGTCCGGCGCTAAGCTTAGACTTGGAAGTATTGCCCCCGATTTCGATGCTCAAACCACCAAGGGGTCTATCAAGTTTCATGAATGGCTAGGCAACTCGTGGGGTATTATCTTTTCTCATCCTGCAGATTTCACCCCTGTACGTTACTCTCCTTTCCACACTTGAGAAGGACAACGGCTTCACTCATATTTGGTTTCAACTCCCTCCGATTCCTACTGATCACTACTAACCCAACCCACTCGATCGTTTGAATAATTTTGTGGTTATATGCTTGTCGGGGACGCTTCCCGCGCCCGCGTCGGGCCGGACCTCTCCTTAACATTAGGTTTGCACTACTGAACTTGGGGAAGTCGCTCGTAAACAACCCGAATTCGAGAAGCGTGGCGTTAAAGTGATCGGTATTTCCGCTAATGACCTCAATTCTCACGAAAAGTGGATTCAAGACATTAATGACTTTGGAAACAAAGTTAGTCACCCTAACGATAAGACCGACGTCAGCTTCCCTATCGTAAGTCGCAGTAGTTCTATCCACTCGCCCTTCCTGATCAAATCTTCATACTTCGTAATAAAAAAAAACACCCACAGATTGCGGATGCAGACCGTAAAATTTCCACCCTGTACGACATGCTCGACGCCGTAGACGCCACAAACGTAGATGCAAAAGGCCAACCCTTCACCATCCGAACCGTCTTCATTATCGATCCCAAAAAGATCATTCGCCTCACCATCTCCTACCCAGCCCAAGTCGGTCGTTCGTTCGATGAAATTCTCCGTGTAGTCGATTCGCTTCAATTAGGCGACAAGCATAAAGTGACGACGCCTGTGAATTGGAAGCAAGGAGATAACGTGATCGTTCATCCAGGTGTGAGCGATGAACAGGCGAACGAGCTCTTCCCTGCTGGGTTTACGAAGCACTTGGTGAGTTTTGGCCCCAAAAACAACAAAATGTGGCAATTTGATCGCTTGACACACTCTCACAACCCTATCTTGCAGCCTTACCTTCGTACAACTGCCCAACCTGGCAACTAAATCATTAAACGTTAAGAGGCTCGTCACTCTTAAATAAAACATTCTTCTTAGTCAGAATAAAAAAAGGGCGAACCCGTTCTGACTTCTATACTTGCCCGTTTGTTTTGTTGTATTCTTTCCTAACCCATCCGTCTGTGCACGGTCCGGTTGTGCCACCGTGCAGGTCGCAGAGAAATGAAATTATCAGTTTGCGCATTGACATTGTTGGCGGGGGGCATTGCGTCAGCCTACAATATATTCATCACGGCGTGTTCGGCATCCAATAAGGATTGTTTGGGACGCCGGCTGATCATCACTCTAGTGACAGTGACGCATTCATAGGTTCATATATACACGGCCCTAGCGATGCAGCCAACGTCGCACTGAACAACACGGATGATAATGATGAGAATAAAAATCCGGTAGCTCGATTCATTTTCCGCTGCCTCGCCGTATAATAAAACTTGGTCATATAATGGTACAGGAGAAACACTCATGCTTGAAGGGTGATGGGTTCGATGTAGAGGGTAGTTGCGACGAAGGGTAACGGCTATGTACCTATCCGCGTGTGGGGAGAGAGAGCGCGTCGGGGGATGGAGGGAAGAAGTGAGCCTGAAAGCATAGGAAAGAGAAAAAAGGATACATTAGGAGAAGAAGTCAAAGAACAGCAGTCCAGATATTATATAGGTCAAAAAAGAGGACGAGAAAAAAGACCCCATGTCGATCAAGCGGGAAGGGTTTGATTCGAATGAGCCGTGGCGATCGTCTCACCCGCTACGGGGCTATGCGAAACGTCGATAAAACCCGAACTTTTCTGCTGCAATTTTGAGCGTTTGGACCTATAATCATGAATAGCAGATCGGATAGCATCCTCTGCCAACACTGAATGGAAGACGTTAGCTTTGGGTGGAATGTCGAGAAAGAGGAGAGGGGCACTCACTCGAACAATGCAATTTGACGGGAGGGAGGGCCAGCTCTTTTGCGATTTCCGTGTTCTTGATCTTGCAGGCTTCCTCAATCGATAGCCCTTTTACTCGCTCGGTCATGTAAGACGAAGAGGCTATAGCGGAGCCACAGCCAAAAGTTTTGAACTTGACGTCGCTGATAATTCCGTTGTCGTCGACGCGGATCTGGAGCTTCATCACGTCGCCGCAGCTATCGGTGAATACGGAGTATTAATAAACGGTCACGGCAGACATCACAAGGCGAGGGTGAATATTCTGGGTGCTTATGTCATGTGGAGCTCGTCCGATCGCACGGCATGGGAGGTATGGCAACACGCGGAGAATGCTGCCAACACACACGAGGGGTTCAAAGGATATGTAGACTCACGCAGGAGCACCCACTAAGCCCGTCCCAACGTCAATGTCATTCTTTGGCATCGAACCGACCTAATCAGATAAGCGGGCCACGCAAAAAAAAATTCCGGCACAGAAAGTCGTCAGCGCTCGTTATCCAAATTAAACTACCTCTAGGGACATCCCCAGGCTGAACAGCCACATGCCCACTCACATTTTGTGGTCGTTCGTAATGTTCGATGACTTTGGCATGATATGAGCGTGTCAGAGCAGGAGCAGAGCCAATCGATGCCTGTGAGGGGGTTGTAGGGGGAAAATGAGGCGAGATGAGGAGGAAGCCCTCCTTGAAACCAGGGAGATGCTGTTGCGAAGTGCTGAACGCATTACCTTCGTCCTTGTTGGTTAGAACGGTTGGGGGGCAATGAGGGAAAGAAGTCAAGAGACCAACTCGAATTCGTCACACCTTAACTGAATTGGATCGGTCTTATCCGAGACAAAATGGCCGAAAAAACGGGATTAGGTAAGTGCATATAGTTCTCAGAGCCACCTGACATCCTTTTCACCTGACTCGTTTCGAAACCATTGAGATAGAGCCGAATGTCGAGCCTAGCGGATGAACTGCTAGATGACCTCGGGGATCTCGGTGGAGATACTTATGCTCAGAAGAGCACAAGAGTCAGCCGACTAGACAAGAAACCCGGTTCAAGGTCCCAGCGCTGCCTGGTCCCGGGTCCCAGAAGCGCAAGGCTACAGAGGATGCAGAAGACGAAGAGATGGCGTCTGGAAGCGACGAGGAGGCGAACGGAGAAGCGAACGTAGGGCTTGTACTGGAGGGAGGAATGAAACCTGCAGAGGAGCTTGATGAGGAAGATGTTGAAGGAATGGAACTTGGCGGCGTCAAGGACGTCAGGAGCGTGGCGAAGCTAGAAGGAAGTTGGCGAATGACGGAGATTCTTAAGGTAGATACATCTCTTCTCTTGGTACATGCAGGGCTGAAAACCTGACAAGGCGTTCTTCTCTTGCCCCGTTGTTCGCTATGAATGTTTGTCAGGAAATCGACAAGTATTCATCCACCATGCCTGACGCCCAGCGATGTCTATACCCTCGAGTGAAAACCCAGAGTACAACCTTGTCGTCTCAGCGAATAATCTTTCTGTCGATGTCGACAATGAAATCCTTGTGGTACACAAATTCATTCGTGATCATTATAACCCTCGATTTCCCGAGCTGCAACAACTCGTCCCCGATCCCGTCATGTTCATCCGCTCCGCACGCGCATTAGGGAATGCAGGCGATCTTACGAAAGCCAACTTGACCACCATACTCCCCCCCGCCATTCTCATGACCATCGCCGTCGCCGCCACAACAACCAAAGGAAACCTCTTCCTCCAGCGGAGTGGAAAGTCGTTATTGATGCCTGTGATCTCGAGGAGCGGCTTGATGCTGCTCGAAAAAAGATATTCAGTTACGTCCAATCTAGAATGTCCGTCCTTGCCCCGAACGTCTCTGCCATCGTAGGCACAAATACGGCCGCAAAGCTGCTCGGTGTGGCAGGGGGACTGGCAGCTCTTGCAAAATGCCAGCTGGGAATGTACACCTGTTGGGAGCGCAAAAGAAGATTGCAGCGGGCTTTTCGACAGCCACGAGGGAGAGACACACTGGATTTCTTTATCAGAGTGCGGTTGTGCAAAGTGCGCAAGTGGAGTATAGGCGGAAGGTTCAGCGGACTGTGGGTGCAAAAGTGTCGTTAGCCGCGAGGATGGACCTTGACAGGAAAGGGGGGGTTCGTGAGTGGATTTCGTTTCAAGTGGCAAGGCGGGTACTGAACCGCAGCTGACATGCCTAGCGACATATGGACGGCAGCTAAGAGAGAAATTAGAGAAGTACATAGAAAAGTTGGCCGAGCCTCCACCCCCGAAAGTCGTCAAAGCGCTTCCCGTTCCGACGGAAGGCCCCAAGAAACGTCGAGGTGGAAAACGGTGAGTCATGAATCGTTGTGCATTAGATTATCGTGAGTCATCGGCATCGGTACTGGATTCCTTTTAGAGCTCGGAAAGCGAAAGAAGCCTATGCGCAGACTGAGTTACGGAAAATGCAGAACCGTTTGGCCTTTGGAGAGGCGGAGGAGGAAGTGGGCGCGTTTGATGAGACGGTTGGCCTGGGCATGATTGGGCAAGGGAAAGTTCGAACTGGCGAGGCTGACGCCAAAAGTAAAGGTCTGCTAAATGTCTTCATTGGTCAGGCAATGTTTCCGACTGATCTGGGTTATTTCCACTTGTCATCAACAGCCAAGCTGTCAAAACAGAACAAACTTCGATTGCAAATGCTCAATCGTGTTGCGGCAGGAACGTCGTCGAAGATCAGTGGTCTGCAAACATCTGGTACGGCCACATCCCTCACATTTACGCCTGCTCAGGGTATGTCATTTTTCCTTCCTGTCCAAATTCACTTCCCTGACGTTGTCATTTCTGCCATAGGATTGGAACTTGCCAATCCAAGTGCCCTCGCTGCCCGGCTCAAAGCGGCAAACGATCGTTGGTTCTCTGGTGGGTCGGGCACATTCTCGCATATCCCTGAGAAGAGTGGTGGGAATGGTTCAGGCAGCGGCACTTCCACGAAATGAGCCTCTCCATGAGTTTGTGTCTTTGCGTCTGTGACGGATGGACGAATTTTTTGTGCATGTACTTCGCACCGTGTGCAATATGTTCGGCATGATTTCAACGCCATAGTTCTTAACGGAGCAAGCAGCCTCTATTGAAATAGAATTGAACGCACTCCGTATGACACCATAGACGCAGGATTGATGCACATGTGACAAGTGAACTTACAATAATTCAGTTTTTAAGCGCGTACTGCTCCAACTCTTTCTTACGCTGAGTGTTCCTGGAATTAAAGTATCCGTTTTATACGTGAGTACACGATATATTTCAACCGGTTATCCATTGGCGTGCCCTAGCTGCTGCATTTGATGACTTCCGAGTGGTATCTTATTTTTCGAACCCGTCTATCATCTTTGGGCGTGCGTTGCGAGATGCAGACCCTTTGTTCGGATACTGCTGATGCACCTTTAACTCTCTCCTTACCTCTTTTGAACTTCGTAATTGGGATGTGCTAATAATTTTCCCTCCTAAGTGAACACGCCCACACGACCTCGACACGTTCTAATGGATCCCCGACGCTCTGCAGATCCCAGACTATCTCGGGACCCAAGAAGAGCACAAGATCCGCGATTGGGTCGCGTTTCTACCGACGTTCGGACAAGCTCGGCGTCTCCGTCTCCTGCTCCTCCACCTCAGGCGCCGCCGATTCAAGTTTCTGTTCCTACACTCGCTCCAAAGCCACAAGCTGCCCAGCTCCCCCTGTACTCTCTTCCACGGAGACGACGACTCCACCGAAACAACGTCCACTGTTTTGCGTGGTATGCGCCAGTAACAATGTGAACACACTCCTCGATGGTTTGGCAAGAAATGCTCCGTTGTTTTGCTGATCCGTTGCGTTGTAGAATCGATCCATGGAAGCTCACCATGTCCTCGCGTAAATCCTTAAGGCCGTCCGTTGCTCACCTATTGCTGATACTTCTACTTCGCCAAGTGAAGCTGGTTTTGATGTCATCTCAGCTGGCACTGGATCCTTGGTGCGGCTTCCAGGTCCAGCACCTGACAAACCAAATGTGTACCAGTTTGGGACTCCATATGAGACTATGTACCAGGAGCTGAAAGACAAGGATATAAAATTGTGAGTGCACTTTTCTTTGAGCACCAGGTTTGACGGGTTCATCTTGACGCTGGTTCTAGATACACTGCGAATGGAGTTCTACAAATGATTGACCGAAATAGGAAGGTCAAGGCTGCTCCAGAGCGTTGGCAGGATCAGAACCATACGGCCGACGTTGTTATAACATGCGAAGAACGTTGTTTCGATGCTGTTTGTGAGGGTGGGTGGCTCGCCCTTTATGGATCGTTGCACTTGATCACTTTTTGGTTAGATTTGTTGAGTAAAGGAGGGGAAGAGAATAGACCAATACATGTTATCAACGTGGAGATCAAGGACACACACGAAGAAGCATTCAAGGCAGGGAAAGCAATCATTGAATTGGCACAGGCGGTAAGCCCTATCTCATCACCTCCTTAGGGGTCAAGCTCATGACCGGCCTACAGCTTGAAGATGCTAATGATATTGATGAAGAAATTGGCGACATTCTTGAAACACAGCAGGAGAAACATCCCCATCCACTGTTACATGCTGTTGCATTTTATTGAATAGCCCTTTGTATAGCCGAGTAAATTGTACCGTATTTCGATATAGCATCTTTGCATGACATGGAAATTAATATCTGGGTGTGGCCAAGGAATAAATCTCCTCATTGCGAAGAAAAGGGTTAAGACACGAAAGAAAGCAGTGCAGAAAACAAACCTAAGCATGCCGGTGGATTATTCAATGGAGGGTATATATACTGTACAGTACATGGTACACGGTGCAAGCCATGGACAAATGTAGTAGTGAGTGAAATGGTATGATTAATTGCAAGCTAGCTGGAGAGAACTCAGGGTCTTTCGAAATCACTCCCACCGGAGTGTACCTGGGGTGAACTTGATATTAATGCGGGTTTTCTCTTCCCGTTTTGGATCTGAGCAGCGAAACCTCCACTGAGAACTTTCAACCAATCATCGCCCACTTCGCTCCGTAATCCTTCGATCTTCGCTCTGTACTTCTCACCCTCATCTTCGTGTCCGACAGCGTCGTTGTGCTCAGCTATGCCGGGCTCCAGAGGCTCACGCAGGGGGGGAGACAAACGGCGACCATCGGTCGAAGCTTTCCCCAAGCGCGCTGCTGTTGGCGAGGCCAGATTGCCTTCGGTCGACTGCCGAGTATGCCCACCTCGTCGGGGGTTGGATTTGAGGGCTCTGGCGCTAACCCGCCGAACGGCAGTTGGGTGGGGTGGAGAAGTATCACCAGAGCTTTGCTCCGGGATACGTGCAGCCATTGTCGTTGAGGTCGCTTCGATCTTGGGGGGAGGGTCGAACCGTGAAGCAGCATGAGATGGATGGAAAGAACCAGGGAATGCATCATCCACGTTAACCCTTCGGACGCACCCCTTGCATGGCGGGCTTTTGCTCTATACTTTGGCTTCGGACCCGAAGAAATGGTATTGTCGCTCGCGCTCCCATCCGCAATTTGGTTCCCATCAAGATCCACAATTCGTTTGAGTTTCCTCTTTGCAGCCTTTACTTTTCTGCTGCTTGCCGTGTCAGATAACGGTGAGTTGATTCCGACACCGCTTGGGGATGGGGACATTGGAAGATGTTCAGAAGTGAGGAACTGTTGAGTATTAGTTGACACAAAGTTTGTTGTATCCACGCTTTGTCGACTCCGTTTGGATGGCGTTTCTGGTACGGTGGCGCCAATAGACACGACAGGAGGGCTTGCCGGGACAAGAGCTGTAGATTTCCTGCGCGAAACCGTCGTGTTAGAGCCATCTACTTCTGGCCGTGATACGACCTTCACGTTCCGAGACTCGAAGAAGGATGGTCCTGTCCCATCAACTGAAATGCTTTTCCCCTCATTGGCGAAGTGATCGAAGCACCGTACGCGGTAATCCTGATATAGATGAGTGAATGGATTTCCCTCCACTGAGACTTCCGTGATGTTAGGTAAGATGGCTAATCGTCCTACTTCGCCGGTGTCCGCTAGTCTATTGTGCTTAACGTCTACTCTCTCTAGCGCCAGGAGTCGTTCCAGTCCACATAGGCTCTCTAAACGATTTTTAGACAGATTAAGGATGAGGATTTGTCCTAGTTGCGTATAGATACCAAGTACTGAATCGATCATGTTATCGGAAAGGTTCAGGGAAACAAGGTTATAAAGTTCGGAGAGACCAGGGGGAACGGAGACGAGGAGATTAGACGAAAGATCAAGATGAGTGAGAGATGCAAGGTGGGGGAGAGGGGCAGTAGGCAAGAAGGTAAGAGCGTTATCTGCAAGCGAGAGGTGTTTCAGGAGTCTCCATTTGTGTTTTGACAACTTCGTTGCCTGGGATTCTTCAGGCAAACCGATCTCCGTCGAACAGGCATCCTCAGCAACGTGTTCCGATATAGGTGTTGGAATTCCCAATGGTGGGAATTTTCTAGAGCGGCTCGAAGGGTATCTTTGAGAGGGTTGTCTGAGACGCCCGACAGTCGGGCCGCCTTTTCCATGCCTTCGAACTTCGTCGTCAGCAACGGCATCGATAAGGATGTCAGACACATCTTCCACCCCGCTCCGCTTGACGGTCAGGCTATGTAGACTCTCCGAGAGCCGGTCCCATCCAAGGACATTTCTGGGGTCAATATCGAGCAGTTCTAGCCTCTGAAGGAATTTAAAGGCATCCAGTGGAATGGCAGTGTCGGTTGGAGGGTCGGTAGCGAGTTCGGCAATGACTTTCAGATCGCTTTGGCAGAGAGATAGTGCAGGAAGGATTGTGAAACAACTGTATATGTATTTTAGGTCGAGGTCGGGTTTACGAGGCTGGCCGATGCCCCACCACCCAGATCCAATAGATAGCTTCGATATGGAGGTGGCGATTGACGCGATGGACAGTGTATCGGAACCGTCTTTGGCCGCCGCTAATAAAGACGCGTAGCTCACGGGGCGTGAATTGCTTTGTAACTTGACATCCAGCGAGCCAACATCAATGCCAAAATCTTCGAGACGAATGAGGAGGTAGAACAGATGGTGTAAGTCGATGGACAGTATGGTTGGCGGAGGCCGCAGATTTGGCGAAGGCGAAGAGACATCGATTCCTATCCAACCGAGCACGCTGGAGAATGAACTACTTGTATTCTGCCTTGGCCTTCCCACACCACCTCCGGCAAGTTGACGTTCTTGACTGCGTAGAAACGCAGCGAACCGCCTTATGTAATCGTCTCCAGGCTCCTTTTCCATTCGCTAGAAAGCTTAGGACTTGAGACTCCATACTTGTGGGTGCATCGGGCAATTAAACTCACAGCGGATGGGTGGAAAGGATAAAGAAGCGCCTGAGTGTCGCAAAAGGCGTGTCACATGTGTTTGGCATGATTCTCACGTTTGACGGAGTTCGCCGGAATCGGTGGAGTGAGTTAAGCAAGATTACCGGATTGTGCTAACTGGCTTTCCCGTCCAACATTTTGCCCAGGCGTCTGTGTTAATAGAGGTCTCTGAGTTTCCTATTCCTAGAACTGGTTCAGCTGTATCGCATGATTCCCGGTCATGACTTTTGGTTGAGTGCTGTGATCTGCCTCCGCTTGCAAATGGCCAGCCAAATATTCCTCCTTCAACAAAAGCCACAGGTGAAAGACTTGGTACTTGGACTGCTGGCTCCGGCTCATTGATGCTACATAACATGAAATAACGGTTCCCGGACTTTCATGTCCTGCTCATTCAATGAAGAAGGCTCTATATGGGTAAAAAACAATTCGTGTTCGGGCATCGTTACTCAGCATATTTCGCAACGCCATTCATTTCAGAACACAACATATCTAGTTGTTGATCTGTTGGGCAAGGCGTGAGATTTCCGACAGCTCCGTTGAAAACTGAATAGCTGGGATCCAAGGAATACGTGACTCCCAATTTGTGCCATCATTCGTTCTTTTGTTTATAACACGAACATCTAAGGTTTGCTGGCACCACCACCATATCCTCCTTACACAACACAAGACGCCGGTTCGTCCTAATCCACGTTGCCATTGGACGTAACTCGGAGTTCTGACATTTGGCTGGCACCCCTCAGCCTCGTCGAATCTACCACATTGCTTAGCCAGCACGTATGCAGTCCTGTGTGGAAGAGTTCAAGTCCCTCTTCTCATCCCTATGCCAAACGTTCGAGGCGGTGGAGACTATTCTCAACCATGATACTCATCACTTCAACCCCTGCACCAAGATATACGATCCCAGTCAGAGAAGTTGCTATAGGGAAAGCGTACACCGAATTAAGGATATTGACGAGGAAGTTCTGAATTATCTCGATTCCATGGAGGAGCGCATCTCTGGTCTACGGAGTCGCTTGCGTATCCATCACGCCAGGGCAACGTTTTCCTTAGCCCCAATCTCATGTCTTCCCCTTGATATCCTCCCCATTATCTTTCGCATGGTAGTCCCTGACCGCCCTTATCAAGGTTGCATCCGAGATGTCATGCATCTTTCCCAGGTCTGCACGGTATGGCGCCAGGTCGCATTTTCCATCAAGGATTTGTGGAGAAACATACATATTCCGCTTTCTCGCGTGAATCATCTTGGGGAATATCTTCTCCGATCCGGAGAGAGACCACTGCATCTGGACATATACCAACGGGACGTTGATCTCGACAAGATAGCGCCTCTCCGTCCGCTTTTTGATGAGTTCGGTGTCTGGGGTCGAATAAAATCCTTCAAGATTCCATACGATATCCTCCTTCAGTATTTGGCTGAGACGGGTGGGATTCCTCCGTCAACACCAGCGCTTCAGTCGTTAACCATCCATCCAACTCCCATTTCCGAGAATCCGTCGTATCAAGAACTTCTGCCTTGTTATGCTCAGTCTGTGCAACAATATGAATGTTTCGACGCGCCTTTGCTCCATCAGCTTACACTAGGAAATCTTGACGGGAGTCTAGGCGCTCCTAAGTTCCCTCATTTGCGTTCTCTCATACTCGAAGGCTATATCACGATTAACTTCCATGGTCTGCATTCCACGCTCGACCGGCACAGATACACTCTGGAGACCCTGACCATTCACAGTTTATCGACCGATTTTCTTGTTATCGAATCGGATTTTAGCCTCATATCGGTTCCCCACCTACATACATTGGTGCTTCATCGTCTAACGCCCCAGTTTGCGACCACCATACTCACGGCATTGCGTGCACCCGCACTGCGTAGCCTAAAAATACATCCGCAAGTCACCCCCTGGCTTGGTGGCCTACAAGCAGATCCTTTTATTGGGCGAAATGGACCGCTCTTTTCCCGCCTTCGAGGATTCGTACGTCGATTTACCGAACTCTATTTTTAATGTTTGGTTTATATTGCTTACGCATATTTTTGCTTCGAACAGCTTGCTCATGGATCTCAACTCAGTGATATTACCATGGCGGAAAGGAGCCAATTCTGGCTGAGCTTATTCGTGTGCTGAACTTACAACAAGGCGTAACCGAGACTCGCTACTTGCTCAATCTTCGCTCCGTCACCGTTGAACTCAATCGTCGACACCCCTATAACACGGAGACTATTGGCGAGCAATTACTTGACAATCTTCTCGAACGCGCAAAACTGCACCAGATCAAACTGCGGGTTCCCAAGAGTATTGCTACATCAAGTGGCGTTCGCAAGCTCCTCCCTATTCTATCTGGACTTTCCGAGCTGGAGTAGAGCGCCAAAACCCATTGCTTTCTGCGAGCACTTCATATCTTTTTCCGATGTTCAATCCTCATCACGCCGTTCGCGGTGCGGGGCTATCTTGCTGGCCCACATGCCTCATCCGTCCAGCCTGAAAGCGATTGCCATGTACATGCTACACGTTGTGAGCGTAATGATGATTATTTAATCCCATAATTGTGGCCTGCCGTCCCAGAATTGGATTTTACATTGTGGAAGCTGGAGTTTTGCGTAGTGGTAGCAAGATTCCGACCTTTGACTGCCAACCAAATCCAAACTGTCCTGGCGCTTCAGCAAATGTAAGCGTAAGCATTTGTCACCATCTGTTGTCGCGGAGTTGGCCAAATTTATTGTGTGGGTTGCAACCTCATTTTATCTCGTCATCAAACCAGACTCCTCCCCAGTCGCTCTCGCCATCTTCTGACCATTGCTATTCTTTTTTTTTTTACTGTACAAATAAACAAATGAACAAATGAACGAGTGAACAAACGAATAAACGAATAAATTCGGCCAACTCCGCTACAAAGCAGCTAAGGTAAGACATACAAGCCGACCTCGTTGGTCCGTAACAACGCATAGAAAACATAGTGAAAACCAACACACTCCAACCAATTTCTTAACTACTCCTTTCCCAACTTTCAAAATTCGACTCCAGGGAATGGTCACGTGTCCTATTTTCCGGGTCACACGAGACGGTAATTTCCGGTTCTCACCTTCGGCCATACTGCAAATGGCTTCATCGTCAGGTTTGACTCTGTTTTCTGATGCTTAATTAGGCTATCATCGATGATAACGAATCTTGACAGCTATCGGGAAACTCTCCCGTGAGGAGTTCCGTCGTCAGAAAGATCTTGAGGCCGCTCGCAAAGCTGGAACAGCTCCAGCTGCTGTCGATGCCGAAGGAAGAGCAATTAACCCCCATATTCCTCGTGCGCAAACATTAATGCCCACTTTGGTATTGCAGAGCCCCCTAATTGAATCTTTCAGAGTACATTTCCCAAGCACCATGGTACCTCGACACTGGCGGACCCTCTCTCGACCATCAACGTCGTCAGCCTGATGACCGTTCATCCAATAAACTCGATGAATGGTATGATCGCGGGAAGCGAGCTGGACCAGCCGCTACCAAATTTCGCAAAGGCGCTTGTGACAACTGTGGTGCCATGACCCACAAGACCAAGGACTGCCTCGAACGGCCACGCAAGAAGGGTGCTCGTTACACAGGGAAAGACATGCAGCCTGATGAGATGATTCAGAATTTTGAGACGAATTATGATGCCAAGCGCGACCGTTGGAACGGATACGATCCAGCTGAGTATAAAAGGGTTTATGAGGAGTACGCTGCCATCGAAACCGCTCGTCGTAAAATCCGAGAAGAGGAGATAGACAACCAGACATCCACCGATCTTGCTGCCGCTCGTAAAGTTGCAAAGGTTGGGAAGGAAAAAAAGGACGATGATTTCGGCTCCAGCGATGAAGAGGATGCCGATGAAGACAAATATGCCGATGCGGCGGACGCCGTTGGTCAAAAGATGGATGCCAAGACTCGTATCACCGTCCGGAACCTCCGTATCCGCGAAGACACCGCGAAGTACCTCATGAATCTCGATCCCGACAGTGCATATTATGACCCCAAAACTCGCTCAATGCGAGATGCCCCTCACCCCGAGATACAACCCGAAGATGTGGGCTTGCCTGTTTCCTGTAACTGGCTCTTCTTTATCATTTCCCGTCGATTCTAGGCTCCGTTCGCTGGCGAAAATTTCCTCCGGCACTCCGGCGATGCTCCCAATATACAAAAACTTCAACTTTTTGCCTGGCAATCGGCAGCCCGTGGTAATGACATTCATCTTCAGGCAAACCCCACGCAAGGCGAGATCCTCCACGATCAGTACCAAGAGAAGAAAGAGGAGCTTAAAGAAACCAATCAGTCAAGTATCCTGGCGAAGTATGGAGGCGAAGAGTATCTTGAGAAAGTCCCCAAAGAACTATTGGGCGGACAGACGGAGGATTATGTGGAATACTCTCGAACCGGACACGTTATCAGAGGCCGAGAGCGTGCTAAGGCTCGCTCCAGATATGATGAAAATGGTGGGTGTTTCATTCGATGGACCTGCTGCTCAAATGAGTGAATGCATGTTGGACAGTCTATCCTGGGAACCATACGTCTGTATGGGGATCGTGGTACGATCTATCATCGGGGAAATGGGGTTTTGCTTGTTGCCATTCCTCCATCTCTAACTCGTACTGTACGGGAGCAGCAGGTATCAGGGCCGTCGACGAATCATCCGCTGAGCACCTCCTCCATAATGTTCCGTTGAATGATCGACCGTCAAATACCGGCCAGCTTCTTGCCGATCGTGAGAAGGAACCAGTTCTCGAACTCGCTGAAGTTAACAAGCAGCAGGAGAGCAGCTTCTCAAAACGGAGACTAGGTGAAGGCAACGTTCTATTGGACCAGAGCAAGCTGGAAGCTGCAATCAAGGAGGAGCGGCACAAACGTAGGAAGGGAGATGATGAGGAAGAAGAATGGAAGAGGGATAAGAAGCAGAAGTATAGCTCGTTCTCTGGCAGTACAGAAGTGACAGAGGAAGGGCTGGAAGCATATCGTAGGTCACGAATAGCATCGACCGAGGATCCGGTGAGTCTCGAGTTATATTGCATGAACAACGTTCAATAAATTCGTTCTGCATAGATGGCAAATTATGTTGACGAAGGAGACAGATGATTCCCTCATTGCTTCAGATTCCCGAGCACGTTCTGCCTTCACTATCATTAATGACTAATCGTGAACTTGTACTGTAACATTATTAGACATTGTGTTCAAGACGTACGACTTAAACACATCTATATCTGCAACAATAATCGCAAGATCCTTCAGATCAATGCGGCCATCTGAACGTTGTTTGAAAGAGGCTCGGTAGCCGAACGAATCATCCCCACGATCGCTAGAGCTATTTGCTGCACACTCCACAAACTGACCGTTTTCACTCGACGATTGATGTTTGCATGCGTGACATGGTACGCGAGGGCATCGTAAACCTGAGTTTGTAGCAAATATCATAACGACGCTCCATACGAGCAAGGAATGCTATCATCGTACCTTGAGCCCAATTTCGTCAGTGAGTCCGGCTAACGGAGAATTAGCAAGTAGAAATATTAGAGCAGTGGTAGGCATAACGCACTTTCCCACAACTACGAGGATGTCGGTAAATCATCAGGACGTGGGGTAGAAAGATTCATTACTTACAGTAAAGGATCCGTCGAAGTCGCTCAGGTTTTTCGTGATATGACATCGAATGGGGATAAGGGTATGGTTGGCACTGAAGAAAGCAGTCAGGCCAGGAGATGAGATAACAGCCTGCATCTAAGTTCTTACTTCAGGAAGGCCACAATCGGTCGAATGAGGGCACTGTTGATTCTCGATAGCTCGTTTGCGAAGAGAGGGACGGCAGCCCTAACGTCTCTAAATCGTAGGTCGACGTCCATTGATATCTGGCTCGTCGGGTCCTCTCCAGCGGAATCCGAAGGGGGAGCTAGCGCAGGTTTTGCCAGGACTCTTTGGCCCGGAAGGCGGTCCTTCGTCGTAACGGTGGAAATGTTGGCAGCAATTTCGCTGACAATTGCGTTGATATCGAAATTCTTGTTCTGGGTATTCGGGAACTTGATGTCCAATACGAAGTCGAATTTTCCTGAAGTTATCCAGGGTATGGGCCCGTCCGCCGCCCCACCGCCGATCGTCGCGGCCTGAAGATGGTCAACACTGAGACCGTCAATACGGAACCGAGTCTGGGAAGGAATAGTCAGTCAAGGAGGGACGAAAACGACTTAAACATCGATTACCATACGGCCCCATATTGAATCTTTCATTTCAGCCTCAACAGTGCGACCAATGCTTTGAGGCCGATGAAGGCTGAACAAACAGTTATCAATCTGACCCGACATGTCGTCCGCACGTAGAAAATCATAACAGAACCATTGCTTGCGCAGACAGCCCAAATCTGCATGGAAGATAGACAGTGTGAAAGGCCGGAAATGGTAAGGTTGATATACAGTGATTAGAACATCATCGAGTTTAAGGGACTCTAGGTGGAAATCACCAGGCTTGGCTACGAATCGGTAGTCCGCTGGGTTGAGAGGCTTATCGGGATCCCACGTTACACTTCGCCGATCTTAATGTGTTGTCAAAACCATGTAAATTCGGTGAGAATAATACTCGCCTAGCACGCCACGGACACCTCGCACCTCTGCATTCTGTACCAAACCCTTACCATCCAACCATCGCGTCAGAGACAACGTAACATCAATGGAGTCCACGTTCATGTCAAATATGGAAATGTTTCATCTTCATAGGCTGGCGCAACTGGGGACAATATCGGATAATCGTCCTCGTGGAAATGTAGAGGACCATGGCCTACGTCGAAGCGGGCCGCTGCGCGTCGTCCCCTCTCAACTTCCGACCGTTGATTCTCCAACTCATCAGGCCTTCGGGAGATGTAAACGTTCTTAAATGATATTCTTGAATCCTTCCACTTCGGAACGATGGCTGATTCAAAAGCGACGATGATACCAGTTTCTTTCGTCAAATAATCGCTGATTGCCCGCGCAACGTAACCTAGACAAGAATCAAGATCAAAACTCCACAAGCTGGAGATGGCACCATTTACTCTGGAGACGTAACTATTCATAGTCGCAATTAAAAAAGACACAAATGTGGTTCTGGGGAAAATGTCAGAAGATGCTTTGATTAATCTGGTGGCGAGATCTTACGTTCCGATAAGAATCCACAACGTCTGCCCCATAATAGCGAAACTGAAAAATGCAGATATGTCGTCTGCATTGAATTTCCGGAAAGACCTGATAGTGAGCCATTTGAAACGGATACCAAGTCTTTTCCAGAAGCTATTCGTGACGCTCAGTAGGTCATCCCGTGTTGGTCTATGTATGTGTGGCACAGATTGAGCGAGTTGACGGAATAAACGTGAATAGTTTTGGAGATAGGAATTATCTGCAGAATGTTGCTCTGAATCGGGCTCAGTTTCAGGCTGTTTGGTTGATGACTCAGGCCTGGGATGGCTGGATTCCGAGAACAAGCGCGAGGAGAAAGTCCCCCTAAAATGACGCGAAATGCGGGGGGAGTGTGTCCAAAAAAATGTGCCTGAGCAGCGATATAATTGACATGTTCGAGGATACGACGATACAGGACATTTTACGGAGGCTGGCCGATGGTTGCTGTTGATTCCTCTAAAGAATTGGTATATGGCACAGTACCGTGAAAAAGCGGCGGCATCCCTGGTCAACAAAGAGTAAGTGCCGTTTAGGAAAGCCGCATGCAGGGACTGCCAGCGCACCTGGAGGTATTTGAATGAGATGATCGAGTCTTTCGAGGCACACTTGGCAAACCCAAGATTTGTTTTGATATACTCGGACGTCCAGAACAGCGGAATGACTGCATCCTGTCGTATAATGGTTGTGGCGCGTCAGGATGCATGCAATCGAGGAATGGATCCTCGGCACAAATAAAACACAATAGAGCGCTCGTCGAAGTACGGCATAGTCAGTATGGCGTGCGTGACGATATCGGGGTATCCTTGCTCAGGGAAATCGACAAGATGCTCAGAGTTTAAGGCCTACTTAGAAGCGAGGTTCTCCTCGGAAGACTACGACGGAGATAAATACAAAGTTCAAGTGGTGTCCGATGAAGATCTTGGAATTTCTCGATCTGTGTATGGGGGTAAGCAGCCCACTTTGGCGTTGCATCGCGCATTTCCACCTATAAATACGCGCTAGACTAGATGGTCGCGCCGAAAAGACTGCTCGCGCCTCACTCTTCACAGCCGTCACTCGTGCCCTTTCTCCGAATACCATCCTTATCGTCGACTCCATGAACTATATCAAAGGATTTAGATACCAGATATACTGCGCTGCCAGAGAAGCTCAAGTCCGTGTGTGCACGGTAAGAACTGCTTTCTTTCTGATACCTGGGGCTGAAGGATCCGTAGCTGCATGTCGCGTCGACCCCAGACATGTGTGAAATGCGGAACCAGACCCGGTCAGACGACACGAAGTATTCTGAGGCCACGTAGGTGAAGTTTTTCTTGCACGGTCAGCACTCGTTTATCACCCGATACAGTTTGCAGAACCTTATAACGCGATATGAGGAACCTTCGTCGATGGTTCGATGGGACTCTCCCTTGTTTGTGCTTCTGTGGGATGAGCCTCTACCAGCAGAGGCAATACTAGAGGTCATAATTTCAGGGATGAGAGCCCCGCCAACTCATGGTGTCGTTCAGGCAAGTCTGCAGCTTGTTCCCGCTTTGGCCCCAACTAATCGTGCACCCCAATGCTGCGATAACCAGCAAGCGAAACCCCCTACAGATGCGCTACAGACCCTCGACCAGACTTCTAGCGCTATCGTCAATACCATCATGGAAGCGCAAACGAGCGGGTCATGCCCGGGAGGCGTTCTCCCAATCGTCTCAGCTTCACTTTCACTAAATGACAAAATTTTACTTCCTCATCGTTACCTGACACTCTCTGAACTGCAGCGACATAAACGTCAGTTCATTGCGGCCCACAGAAAGCGCTAAGCTCCGGTATGGCTGGACAAGCAGACATTAACTGGAACGAGAACACGGTTGCCAGAAAGTTTATTGTACACCTAGAGGAGAACCTGAGGCCATAAATGCTGTCAAGAATCGGTATGCAAGCCATCCCTTGTACTGTATCATAGCATCTCGAGAAAATAAATATGCCCAATGACGAACTCATGGCTTTACAGCCTTCCAACATGAAGCGTACCTATAAACGAAGGTTGAATTGTAAGGAAAGGTCAGATGAGAATATCACGCTCACATATTGACACGGTCGACCGCCTTGCATGGCCCAGTTCGGATGCCCAAAGGAGTTACTATGAACCCGGCTTGCTCGAACACGGAATTATACCAGGGGAGCTTCGCTGCCGAGCGCCACATCACAACCCCACCAGAAGGCAAGACACGACGGAACTGATGAACCTCCTCGTCGACTTCGTTTGTCCGGGTGCGAACCAATCACTGAACGGAGCAAAACTTAGGAACATGTTGCCGATACGCTAGAACGCGAGAGGACGTACAGATGGTCCATAATGATGGCCCGTGTGACAGAGTTTGCATCTAATCTGCCAAGGACACTAAATAATTCCATCGTTAATCAAATCAATAATCAGCATATGTGAAAACAACGCAACACACTTAACAATGCTATCAGTGTGAACACTGATAGAATTCATGAGCTCCCCATCATTCGCCCTGAGAGCATCGAATCCTCGACGTGTCAAATAATCCGGACAAGATTGAGGCGTATAACAACCCATCAAGCACTGAGTTGCCAGCAAGAGTATATCACTCGATGATGCTTAGCAAATAATCCGGAGGAACACTCACGAGTAGGTAATGATATGCTCCTCTGCTTAAAAGAGCATGAGATCCAATTGGGTCGAGGGTATCCTTAATGAAGTCGTGAACCGTTCCTTCATCGGTAAATGCTTTCTTCTGGTTCTGTGGGACCTACCAGTCCGGAGGGAGGGATCGTCAGTGACGCTCCAAGAGTCCAGTATCACAAAGTAGACAAGGAAACCCTGAACCACTCACCCCCAGTGCATTCCACAAAAAAACAGGGTTGTTGACCAACCATCTCACAAACTGCCCTTCAACGAACACCTTCCTCAAGCTTCTCCTCCAAATCTCGTCCTGTTCCATCAAAGTCTCCGCCTCACAGATTCTTCTGACCTCACCACTCATCCCCGTAGCCCAAAATAACCACTTCGCAATCCGTAATGCCCACCCTGAGTATCCCCGCAAATAGAACGATGAATTGAATGCATTGGCGTTGACGGACCAAAATTGGAATGCCGCGGATGAAAGGAAAGGTGATATTTGAGACGAGAGGAGAGTACGGAAGGTCGGTAGGAAACCCGTGCCGAACATAGAGAAAAATGTGGGGTATGACAATGCCTTTATAGAAGCAAGCTTAAGTTCGAGGAGATGTCCTTGGCTAAAGAGGGAAGTGATAAAGAAAATCCTGGTGAGTATGCATTCCAACCAAGGAACGTTACTGAACGAACCATGGATTCATATCGACAGTGTGAATCTTCCCAGGTCTCGCGTTGATAGCGTAATGGAGAATATTATCCCCCGCACTCGTGATAGCAAAGACTGTGTCCTTGGGACCAATATCAAGATAATCCAGATCTTTAGCGGGGTCTTCCCAGGTGAAGGAATAGATAAACGTCCGGAATTCCGAGTGGATGGGTGACTCGAGATATGGCATCCGCCAGGGCTGGAAAGACGCAAACGTGTCAAACGGCCATTACGTGAAAAGACATTAATCTGATGGGCTCACGCTCGCAATATGATAATAGAACGCGCTATAGAATGAGAGCCATGATCAGTCAACACTTGCTCCACAAGATCTTACAAACATACTTCTTTGGCTTTGTCCCAATCAAAGGCATACCCACTCCAGACTCCTCGACGTTCACTCCTAATACCGGCGGCCCACCCCCTACTGCTGCGACTCCACCGGCAGTAGTCGCAAGATTCAAACTCATCGGTGCATCCTCACCCTGTCCGTCGGTAAGTGTGTCTGAACTGGAATTGACGCTCCCCGGGCTCCCATCACAAATTTTCTCCCCCTCCAGCACCAATTTATGCTGAGCGCGGCGTCTGGGATGGAGAGCAGGATCCCGATCACGGGAACAACCTAACCAGATATAATAGGGAATTCGAACGATGAGAGGGATGATGAACCCGTTACGGCCATTGAACGATTTAATCTAATATCGACAGGTCAGTTGTAATTGGGAAGTGATACATTCGATTGGAATTTATTACCGTTCCAAATCGGTATTCGAGATAATCTTTAATTGATCAGATATAAGTGTGGAGCAGATCGAACACGGGGGTTCAGGAAGTGAGAGGATGTGAATATCTCGCAACTCACTTCTTCTGCCAGGGGATAGGTCGACGTGGTCGAAATCAAACCATATCTAACACGACGGTTACGCTGAATCCGGCAAGTTTCGACATGAACTGCGTACCTGCCAGAACCATCGACTAAGCCACCCGCATTTTTTCGAATCCCCGCCAATTGCTAAGGACAAAGGACAGGATGCCAATCATCAAAGACAAGCATCGCGAAGCAAGTGACGCAGCTGCTCACCTTTTTCGTGAGGAGACGGTTCCTTTCCGGCGGTGTAGAAATCCACAACAGAAAACAAACCATCCTGTGGATCTAAAATATAATCCACCACATCCAGTAGTGAATGATACGAAGGGATCTGCGAAGAGATGAAGGGGTGTGAATCACATACATCATCGATGAATAAATTATAATCAACATGACTCACCATCGATAAAGAATAGCTCAACGTCACGAAGCTGACACTCCCACGGGGATGAACACCGTCACTCCACTCGGGAAGGGAGAATTCAGTGGCGTCTTGGCAAAGGCAAATAATATTTGTCCATCCTTTGGCTTCAAATCTCCTTCGGGCCATTTGTAATAGTGGTTCGCAGAGGTCTATTAGGTATACAGCATCGAAGGAGGAAATGGGGAAATATAAATCCATCGTTTCGATGTTCCATCCTGTTAGTCAATTCAGTGAAGGAAATATACTTTTCTATGAGAACAATCGAATCGAGATCATAAACGTACCAGTCCCTCCACCGATGTCAACCCAGATCAAGCGCTTCTCCGGGTTCCCTTCCCGGAGGAGATGAAGATGAGCGGCGCTCATGGAGAGCATTGTCTTTCGCCCACGCAATAAGCCAGATCTAGTTTGATCATAAACTTGGGCTTGTCCTTGGTAGAACTGACGCAAAGGGAAGCGAATACATATTAATGAAATCTCGGGAGCGATACGTGAATGGGAGTGAACCTTATCGAGGCGAGCTTTTTGGTCGTTGGTATCTCCCAGTGGGACGATGAAACAATACCAGGCAAAGAGCATGTACGTCCAAATATTCCTCCAGAATGTGTACAGTAGAAGCCCCAAGGTCGTGATGAATATGATCCAACCCGAAAGGGAAGCATTGCCAGTGAATTGTGAGACATATGACTTCAGTGGGCTAAAGTCCTTTCGTATCAACGCATCGCACAAATCAAAGCGAAACGTTCCACCAACCTAAAATACAAATACACCAACCACGCACTGCTGACGCCCAGCAATGAGGAGGGGGAGAAGATTCTTCCCATCGTCGACTCGGGGTATGTGGAACGAAGTGTGTCTGCCCTGCGAGGGGAGGACTGCGGGGATCGCGGTCGACTTTATAACAAGGCAGGACAGAACAATATCCCAATGCATCATTCTGGAGGAACGAACTAAGGGGGCCATTGAGTCGAGATAACTGTGTCCCGGGGAATGCCTCATCCAATAGCATTGAGAGGGTCAGCGCAAGATTCATCACGAACGTTCAAACTAGCAACCAAGGCCTGAATCCTCAAGTCGCTGATAATGTGTAGGGAAGGTACATTGAGTCATCAGTCAATGGGGAAAGGAAGATACCGAGACCGGGAAGAACTTTGGGATGAACGTGCGTTCAAAGGGACAAAATCGTGCAACCATAATGGTAACAAAACAAAATTCGGTCAACTCCGGTAGCATGCCAGGGGATGCCGCTGATCGGGCTATCCCAGGCCCGATCCGGGGCTGTGATTCTGGGGATTGGCCGTTTGCAATCACTGTCGGTTCGGTCTGGGTGCGCAGGTCCAAGGTCCGGATATAACTCTGGTCCGGTCACGATTTTGCGCATAACAAACATCTTCGACGCCGAAGTTTCATCATGGGGTCTATTTTTCTCCAAATTCTCAAGCTATGCATGCCACAGTACTCGAGACGGGGGGATCAGGAGGGGGATCAGGAGGGGCAGCATCAAAGTCCGGGACCGCAACACCAACAGCACCAACCGCTTCAATACCCTCAGCCTCAACATCAAACGTCACCCCACCCACATAAATATCAGCACCGAATAGTATGCGCATGGCCACATAGATGATGATGACAGTGCTTGAAAAGTGATTGTTTTCTTGTACCTTTGGCTGGTAGGATGCAAATCAGCAAAATCAAAGCAATCCTCACTATCTCGAGTTGCGAAGTGTATGTCGTGCTGACACGCTGCTATTTGAGCTACTGCTGTATATGCGATTCAAATTAGCGAGCCCGGGCCGAAGGTGATAAAATGGCTCATTGCTTCGACCAGAGCCATCGAGCATACGAAGAAGGTGATCATGTCCGAGCGAAGGAGCTCTCGAATGAGGGCGAATCTCATAAGACTCAAATGGTGCGCCTCAATAAGGAAGCTGAGGATTGGATATTTTATCGTAGGAATTTCGTTCATCCTCGCTCTCTTGGATACTGTGAATGCTCATCGTACATCGATACCCTTCAACACCGCAATCACAGAAAACAACACGGATAGCGCGCCGGACGAAATCGACCTTCATGGTTTGTATGTCCATGAGGCTGTAGAACGGACCGAGCAGGCCATTCAGAGAGCTCGAACGGAGGGGAAGGATCATCTGAATATCATCGTTGGGAAGGTATGTCCTCAACTCTAGCTCTGCACGGATCATGCGCGACCGCTGGGACTACCTTCCTTGATAGGGCCTTCATTCCGAAGGACACGTTGCGAAAGTCAAGCCTGCTATCGAGGAACTCATGCGGAAGTCAGTTTTTCTAGTCCCGATAATCTTCCATTTCTAATTTCTTCGACTCCTAGACACCATCTTTCTGCTCACCTAGACCCGCATAATTCTGGGGTCCTCATCGTCTCTTTGGATGGTAGCCAACGAAGAGATCGAAGCATCAGCGTTGGTGATATCACGGATAGGCTGGAACGAGAAGATTTAGATTGTGTTATCATGTAAGACGTGCAGCTCCATGAACTCGGGATAAGTTTGTGCGCGTAGAAACCAGAATTGGGGCGCACAAATGGGTAACAGTTATTATTGTTAAATACTCAAACGATGGTTCAGAAGGGTCCTACAACAGGCGTTCGATGCACAGAAGGCGCAGAAGATGGCGAGACTAGACGAGGGCCTCCATATTCAGGACGTGCCATCACGACCGGGAAGTTACTCCAACCGCTGCCTCTTCTTCCTCATCATCATCCCTTGGGTCCTCAATTCCATCTGCGCCTGGAACGTCCCCAGCTTCGGCAGTAGTGCTCATTGTCTCTTGGGCGGCCTGTTGTTGTTCGCTCAACTCCCCTTGGACTCCGTCTGCTACTGTATTCGGGAATTCCTGCGCTAAGGGGTTGGTGGTGTATTGTTGAAGTGCAGCGAGGAGACGTTGATTCTCGAGACGCAAACTATCAACGAGATGTTGACATTCATTCTGCCGCCGCCGTGCCTCGTTAACGTCTAAAATGGCCTGATCCAACAATCGTGAACGTGTCTCAAGTTCACGAACGTGTCTGTCCGGGGCGCGCAGAAAGGGCCTCCATTTAGAGAAAAAGCAAATAGGTAGGATAGACAAACTTACTGATCACGGCGCTCTCTAAATGCTTTCTGAGCCCTCCGGTTTTGTTCCGCACGTTTAGTTTGAGTAACCGTCCGGGGTCCTGTCGAATGGGATGACTCTTCTCCATTATGGGCTGGATTCCCGGAAGTATGCGAAGCACCTGGTTGTGGAGATAAACCCGAATAGACTTGGTGGGGATGAGGCGCAATATTTGCGTATTGAGTGGATTGAGATTGAGAAGACACGTCGGTATTGTAGGCATAACCTGGGGTCATCCCAGCATTGTGTGGATTGGACGCTTCACTAGCGGGGGGAGACTTGCGCTTCCGGCTACGAGTGGCCTTGGCGGGAGACGTGGCAGAGGTTACAGGAGTAAGTAGCGGTGGCGGTGGCGCAGCACTGAATCCACTCTCTATAAAAGCAGGATGAGCATGTTGCCCTCGTGCCTCATGAAGTCCAAAGCAACGCGCAAGGAGGTGTTTGAAAGGGCTTACGTCTCTGATCTTGAAGATGATTCTGCAGGTCTGGCGCATACTGGTTAAAGCTTGACTGAGGAAACGTTCCTCCAAATAAACTATCGGAGCGGTTCTGAGTATAACGGTCGTTAGGGGGCGGCTGGTGCTGCATCTGGCTAAATATTGGGTAAGGGGAGGAAAATCTATGAATTTCTCCGCGGCGCTTAAATTGTCGTCTGCTCGAGGGAGCCGATGGGCCCTTGACGCTGCTTGTGTAAGCAGAGAGGATTCGTAAGCAAATTAAAGCTGTGCCTGCCCTCAACGCATAGATGCTCGGTAATTTCCGATGGATTCACGTGCGAACCCAAACGTTCAGTGTCTCCAGCGATCCTGTTCCTCGCTTTCCTAGTACGCACGGACTGTCTGGCGTCATAGCATGTCGGAGAAAGTAGGAGCCTACGGCAATCAAGCTGTGTGTTCGTTTACTATAAAAAATCAGCCTATTTCCTCAGTGCAATCTATCCACAGAAAGATGCCAACTTCAGAAGAACATGGAACAAGGAAGAGTACGCCGCAAAGGCAAGGGAAAAGGATAATGAGGAGCGAGAGAGAATGCAGAAAAATGATGAAATGATGAAGAAGGGTTTGTCATCTATCCGCTTGTTACCACTCCATTTGCAATTTACGCATTCATCACAGGCAAGAAACCGCGACGGCATCATGAGGATTTGCCGAAGCCTACTGAGTTAATGAAACAACGCGAGGCGCCTTTGGGACTGGACAAGAACCTAAACAAGACAATCGTCGTACAGAATCCGGGCGGCCGCGGTCCAGGTCAGCCAGGGTTCTATTGTGAGGTTTGTAACAGGACATGTAAGGATACTGTGGGGTATTTGGATCATCTTAATGGTAGAAGTCGTGAGTATTTCGTCGAAATCCCCAATATTAGCGCGGGGCGCTAAACCTCCACGACTTAGACCTCCGCCGGCTTGGTCAAACGACTCGCGTCGCCCGCTCCACAGTGGAGCAAGTGCGTGCCCGGATCGCAATGCTTCGCGAAAAGACAAAGCAGGAATCATCGGCTAAAGCCTTCGATTTTGACAGGCGTCTTGAGGAAATTCGTCAGAAGGAGATAGCTGAGCGGGAAGCGAGAAAAGCGGAGAAGAAAGCCGCGAGGGATGCAAGACTTATCGAGGTCGTTCAAGATGATGAAACAGCAAATATGGCTGCCATGATGGGATTCGGAGGCTTTGGCTCGTCAAAGAAGAACTAATCTGCGAACCCTGCCATCACTCGAAGATTTAGACCAAGGCTTACCACATTAGCGCGCTTTTTCCTAGACCAGGCTTCTTAGCTCTCACGGCACTTTCCTTGCGCCCTCGGACACCGTCGGATCAGAGAACAAGTGTCTCACTGCCTGACCTGACCCAATCTCTCGCTCGGCCACACCATTGTTACTGTGATCTCTGAGCGGAAAACACCTTGCGCTAGGCTTCAGCCTGCTATGGGGTCCTCCTAGTCCTGGCAGGCGTATGCGTTGGCCGCATATACAAGTAGTCATATTTCCAGCGAGAAGCAAGATGTACACTTCACGACATGTGTAACTAATTTACGCTTCTATGTACTTGGCAGTGCAAGACACAGGCTAAATCTAGTCTCTCCAATTTCTTGAGCTTCCTCTAGCAGTATTTTTGTGTCTGCTTTCAGCAAACTTGCATCAGCAGGGGTACTTCGTGTAGTTCGGGTAATGACGTCGGAATGTGATTGCAGGACTTGTTTCAACGCTTCACCCGTGTTCTGCTCTAATGAGTAGAAAACATCGATGTCGTCCGTTGCTTGCAGGCCTGCCTTCTTCCGCAACTTTTGGATACGGTTAATAAGTTCTCTAGCCACTCCTTCACTCTCGAGTTCCGGATGGAGCTGAATGTCTAGGACAACTACGACGTCATTGTCTGTGTTCGTCGCGAACGACCCGTTCGCCGGAAGGTCAACATAGCGTGTAACAGCGAGGTCACCAGCAACGAGCTCTATCCCATCAACAAGTATTTTCCCAGTTTCGAGATATGCCTTTATATCATCGGATGTCACCTTGGGCAGAACATTCTTCACACGACCGACGTCCTTGCGGAGCTTCCGGCCAAGCACTGGCCAGTCTGCAGTTGCACGGTACTTCACTCCAGTGCGTATTTGATCAGAGGTGAAATCGACATCGCGAATGTTGAGTTCGGAGGTGAGATAGGACTGGAGCGGTTCAATGTCCGCATGATATGATGAGTCGGGATGGAAAACAAGGAGCTCTTTCAATGGCGTCTGTGGGGAAAATCAGAAGCGAGTAGTTATCAATGAGGAAGTCAAGATACCTTCAAGGAGAGGGAGTGCTTCTCTCGTAGACCTCGAACGAGTTCAATGACGCTCTGCATCCGCTTAACCTGGCGTTCGATGTCGGAGTCAAAGTACTCTTCCTTCACCACCGGGAATCCCAAAAAATGGATAGATCTGGGATCTTCTCCAAGATCCTCGGAGGCAGGGATGTATCCTCGCAAACTCTGATATAGATTCTCCGTTAAAAATGGAGTGTAAGACGACTTGGGTTCTGAGTCAGACAGAGCATGCATTGAACAAATCGCGTATCCTCCTTACCATTGTCCGACAGAGCGTGAACAGAGCTTCAAACAAGGTGTTCAATGCAACAAGGGTCTCGTCCGGTCCATTATCACCCTTCAAACGCTTGCGGTTGAATCGGATGTACCAATTAGTCAGCTCATCAATTAGGTCTAACAATCGCGGTATAATGGTGTATAGACGGTACGCTGCAAGAAGACAGCCGTGAGTGGAGTCATACAACGCAAGTAATGAGTGCGCCTACCTGCCATCTCTTCTCGCACCAGCTTGATAAGAGACTGGCATCTGGCCAGGATCCAGCGATCCATCACATTCGTTGACTTCTTGGCGTGAGAGTCGTACACAAAATCTCTCCCGTGCTCTTTTTTGTAGAGGTTCACTTGGCCAAGGAAAAAGCGGAAGGAGTTCAGCCATGGCAGCAACACTCTTGAGACAACCTCTCGCACGCCTTCTTCCCGGAACCGGAGGTTCTCTGCCCGGACGATGGGTGAGTTGACGAGGAATAACCTACAGGATGTATGTTAATTTTCTAAGCTGTCTGGGTGGCAATCACTACAAACCGCGTAGCGTCGGCACCGTAGGTATCGATGACAAGGTTGGGATCCGGATAATTCTTCAAACGTTTGCTCATCTTTTTCCCATCACTGTTTGTGCATGTGTCAATGCCAGAGTAATCTGAAGCACCGTAGTCGGACTCACGCGGCAAGGACGAGGCCACTGACGATCACGTTCTTCCAAGGCGCGGTGTCGAAGAGGAGGGTAGCAAGGACCAGAAGCGTGTAGAACCACCCTCGAGTTTGGTCGATACCTTCTGAAATGAAATCCGCTGGGAAAGTAGCTTGAAATTTCTCCTTATTCTCAAAAGGATAGTGTTGTTGAGCATACGGCATGCTTTAATGATCGGTCAAGTTTATGCCTCCCGCGAGATGAGTCGAACACCTCACCTCCCAGATTCAAACCAGCAATCGAAAACCTCCTCCACTCTCCGAAGAACACCTTTACCTTGCTTCGAAGGGATGGTGATGTGATCGATGCTCTCGCGATGCAAATCTTTGATGCCTTTCACTCCTGAAAGTTCTTCCAATTGAGCGATGGATCCTACTGACACGATCTCCTCATAGTCATCGCTGACCCACAATGGGATAGGTGTCCCCCAATAGCGATTCCGTGAAATATTCCAGTCTCGAGCACTTGCCAGCCAGTTCCCGAAACGATTGTCACCGATGACTTGCGGCACCCTTCATGATGGGCGGAAGTAAGGACGGTTGAAGATACATCATAGGAGATGCTCACCATCTCGTCTCTTGGTTGTTCGCGATGAGTCGATCTACTGCTGGCTGGACGCGGACAAACCATACTGGAATCGCCCTGTACAGTAATGGTGTGCCAGAACGCCAGCAGAAGGGGTACTGATGAACGATAGTTGATTGAACAATCAATCTTCCTCTCTGCTTGAGGACTCTCTGGATGTCTTTATCAGCGACCTGGGTATGCTTTAGTGTCATTTCAAATCCTTTGTGGACCTCTGCACACCTTGACATGCTTCCCAGCGAAGTCTGGGACCTCATTGGTGAAATTCCCTGCGTCATTGATGGGACAGGGAGGCATTTCGTCTGCATTTATGATCCCGTTGGCTATTGCGATGCGATGATCATCGTCGCCAAAGGCCGGTGCTTGATGGACTATTCCGGTACCACTGTCGCTGGTAACATACTCGTCCACGAGCACTCTGAATGCCCGATCTTCATACTGCAAACGAGACTCTTCGTAAGCCTCCTGGTGGTTCATGTACTTTCCAGAATGCTTACCTTGTCGGTAAAATAGTCAAATAATGGGACATATCTCCATCCTTTCATATCTACGCCTCTGAACGTCCCTACTTTCTTGAACTTCGCTTTCTTCGGGTCTTTGTATAGCGTGGTAAGGAGACTTTCGTGGATAATGAAGTTCTCTTGACGCGCCTCGTCGTGGATCTTGATGTAATCGAAATTGGGATGGACGCACAGAGCTAGGTTGCTCGGGAGGGTCCAAGGGGTGGTCGTCCAGGCGAGAAGAGATGTCTTAGGATCGTCGACGAGAGGGAATGCAACAGTGACTAAAATAATCAAAATTTATATCAGAGTGTGGGCCAAGAGATTCTATATGACTTACCTGCTGGATCGCTAACATCACGGTAATCCTGCCCCGCTTCGAAATTCGACAAGGGTGTCGTACATCCCGTTGAATAAGGCATAACACGCAACCCGCGGTAGACTAGCCCTTTATCAAACAATTCGCCAAAGACCCACCACACCGATTCCATAAATGACGTGTTGAGCGTCTTGTAATCGTTCTCGAAGTCGATCCACCTCCCCATGCGTTCGACTGTTTGCTTCCATTCGCTCGCATATCGCATGACGATCGCTCGGCACTCCGCATTGTATTTGGGAATACCCATAGCCATCACGTCTTCTTTTCCTTTAATACCGAGTTTTTTGTCGATCTCATGTTCTACTGGGAGACCGTGGGTGTCCCACCCAAATCGTCTCTCGACGTAGTATCCGCTTGCGCTCGCGTGCCTTGTTACAATGTCCTAAGAAACAGGGTATATTAGCTACATGTCGCTGTGGATCTCTGCCATAGGATATGACTCACCTTCACAGTGCCTGCTAGTAGATGCCCATAATGTGGAAGACCAGTGGCAAAAGGTGGACCATCGTAAAAGGAGAACGGTGGTCGACCCTCTGTAAGTTTCAGCTGCGTTCGGAACGCGTCTATCTCCCTCCAAAAGGCAATTATTTTCTTTTCTTCCTCTGGAAAGCTAAATGGGGTGGAAACTGCAAGTGGAGATAGAATTTTTGCATTCCCGATAGCATTGTAAGATCGATTTAGGTTTGGACGTTTTGAATACTAACTGTCGTGAGGTGGAAAGGACATGATGGCCTCCACTGGGCGTCGAATTACGAGCGATGAGAGGCGGAGATGACCAAGATCGTCTATTTGTGGACGTCCTGACTCGATCGACGATTGGGATGACTTGCCAATTTATATAATCGGTGAATACCGTGAATAGATTTCTTTCACACGAGGGAACGCAGGATCTGTCCAATTGGCGTTGAGCCCGCGCGCCTCCTACGTCCGTGCGATCCGTGGTTGCTGAAGATTTGCATATGGCTCTCTTTTATCTCAAATATGAAATGGTGATGATTTCGATTCTGACATGAGCCTTCCGCCACTTGTTGATTTTGGTGACAGAGGAAACCCGCCGTCTTACATTTAATCAGCTCGGAGCGTGATAATGCCACACGCTTCTATCATTCCTCAATTATTCGCATTTTGGGAATAAATCAAGAGACCGGGCTCCACCGTCTTGTGATTATCGGGGTCGTAGATAGGATCCTGTCTTGTCCGTGCCGTGCCATCACCCGCTATCTTTCCGAACCTTGCTTGAGACAACTCCCAGTCAAACCCCGGTATTCGTACCCGGGTCTAAGGACGTGCTCTGCCCTGCAGGGGCATCTCAATCATAACGGCTTAAGGGCACATCGGGACCACTACGGTTGACCTAGTCCCCCTGACTACGGGTGTGGACGATCGATCGCACGCCCTCGTTTCCGCACATTTCAAGAGCCCTTAATTCTGCGTCTTGGTCGGACTCATATGACTGGGACAACGTATGTTCGCTGCAGCTCCAGTTATTTCTCTTTCGCGTTCTACATCTGCCTCTTGCCCTTTCTTGATAGCATAGCTCATGAACACGATTCCGATGCGCCTCGCATTGGGTAGTTGGACTAAGGTAGCACTTCATCATGGAATGCTACCACAGCTTCTCAATGCCGCCGATCTCACACCCTCCTATGATTGGGCATCACCGATCCCTCGGATCTTGACTCGCGGAATGCCACCAGCTGTTCTCTCAATCTTATTTCTGTAATGCTGATATGATTGCTTTTGGAAACGTTCCTAAAATCACATGGGAGGTGCACTTTGGAATTCGGACATTCCACGGCTGTTGTCCCCGCATTCTGTTCAAAACGACATGAGAACAGTCTCGGCGCCCCTGCATTGGCTCCCTTGCCGATCAACTGCCCAACACTTTCGTACAGCGTTCTTCGTTTACCGCAGGTGATGGCCTCAAATAACTTTTCCCGGGGTGCTATCTGAATGTTTCTGAGAGCATCGGAGACCTAGTGCGCTGCTGTGTTGTGTTCACGGTTGGTCGCGTGACCTTCGGGAACTCTTAGGTTAGGTTATGCGAGGATCCCATTGGGGCGAGAGAGATTACTGAGGCACAAAAGGGATCTCGGAGACTAAAGTTGCATTGCACTGGAATTACGAATCCCGTTGAACCTTTTCCATCCTCATTCGAGAGTGCGCAATTTCGATCGTCAATGTCCTTGCGCATTGGGTCAATGGACGTAATAGTTCTGTACTGCGCGGGTGGCCGTGGCACGAATCCGGTTGTGTGCACATGTATAACCGTCGGCTAGCTGAGTACATTCGGACGATCCAAGGGCGCCTTATTTAGCTGATTCCTCAATCCAAATTTGTATCCGCCCTAGAGTTGTGGAGTACACACGTGGCCAGCCCCACGACCCCAATTCAGTCTTTGCGAGCCACCTAATTGAACTGTTGTTATATAAAGATCTTATCATGGTGACGCCTATGACAAGCCTATGACAACCCCCACCACTCCTCGTTCAACAGATATCTATTCACCAATAGATTTCGCCGCGCCTTCCGCCTCCGTAGGCTAATCACACCATGCTGGGTCGCATGACTTCCTTGTCCCCTTTTGCTTCGTCGGGGAGAGCTGCGGTCGCAAAAGCGCAGACGCTTAAATATCCCCCACCCTTAACACAGAGTGCTATCCACTGATAGGCAGTGGCCTCTACTAGCGACATCTCATCAGGACTAGCTATGGGGACTACTAAGACAGCAATGAGAAACGCTCTCCTCGTGATTTCCTCACTATGCTATTCTGTTTTTTCACTACCACTCGTCAGTTGTTCCTCCTTGTACGCTGGTGCGCGTCACTGACTGCGCGATGTCCCATCTCCTGCCAACTTGACCGGACCTCAGGTTCAACTAGTTCAAGGCCTTGTCACCGGTCTTAGTGCGCCCCAATTCGGTCAGGATTATTTTCTGGGCATTCCCTATGCTCAGCCTCCATTGGGCAAATTGAGGTTTGCAAAGCCCCGACCACTGAAACCGAATCCGAGTCACAAGGTGGACGCCACCAAGTACGGAAAAGCATGTTTTCAACCGCTTGATGTGCGTCCCTTGTTCTCGTAGCGATTTTCCTTCCACCTTTTGCGAATGATTCGTTTTTAGTCCGCCTCGGGCCTGACAGTTTCCGATTTGTCAGAAGATTGTCTTTCTATCAATGTCCTCCGACCCTCGAACTTGCCCCATGGTGCGAAACTTCCTGTGATGGTTTGGATGTATGGAGGGAGTTTTCTTTCCGGTGCGTCGCAACTATATAACGGCTCGGCGATCGTTGGGCAAAGCGTTTTTCTGGTACGAGTATTTCCTTCCGGTATCTTAGCCCCATTTTCTGACATAAATATGACGCTGTTGTGACAATATTCAGAACGAATCTATCATCTACGTCTCCTTCGATTACCGTCTAAACGCCTTTGGTTTCCTTGGCGCCTCTGAACTGGCACATGATTCTGCCATCGGAACGCTCAATGCTGGCTTATACGATATGATTAGTGCACTGAAATGGGTGCAAGACAATATCGGAGCTTTTGGAGGAAACAAAGATCGAGTGACTGGTAAGTTCGTTCCTGATCGATTGCAATGAGCAATGTGAATTTTGAAATTTCGACCTGTCACAAGTATTTGGTGAATCGGCAGGCGCGATTGGGATTGGGTCTCTCCTTGTTGCTGGAGGCGGACAATTTGTGAAACAGCACAATCTATTCCATGGTGCCATCATGGAGAGCGGAGCTCCAGCAAGGTAAATTGTGTTACACCCGTCGGTTCCTTTGCTTCCCTAGTCCCTAGTCTGATCATCGTATTCCCCAGTCTCGCCATTCCCACTGTATCCGATCTCCAACCCTCGACAGATATCTTTGCTGCAGTAGCAGGCTGTCTTCCAGCCTCCAATTCCTCGATCATATCATGCCTTCGTTCGAAACCTTCTGAATCACTTTACCAAGCATCACTCGTGACATTAAATGCGAGCAACGCGCTCCCTTTCAACCGAGTTGTGGATGGGTTCTTTTTCAAGAAGGGCGAACGTGCGGCAGAAGAGGTGAGAAGGGGTAACGTGGCAACTGTGCCTATCATCACGGGATGCAATCTCGACGAAGGGACGTTCCTCGTACCCCACACATTCAATACTACAGAAGAAATTGGAGATTTTCTCATAGGTTCGTTTTCCTTGACCATTTCCTACATTTCCCCACAGGGAGAAGTGCCGCATCATCTTTATATGCAGAAAACTTACCACTGCTGCTACATATTCCGGTACAGGATTGACTTATGTTGGAAATCTTAGCGCAGCAACGCCAGAGCAAAGGAAGCTTTTCAAAATTCTTCTGGAGTTGTACCCTGATGTCCCCGCGATTGGAAGCCCCTATGATCCGGTCGGGGTGAGTAAAGACGACCGGTTCTTTGGGCCGAATAACCAATTCAAGAGAGCTGCGAGTTTATTTGGGGATTTTATTTTCCACGGTGGTGCGTATCATCTATCGTCGAGGGGGGGGGGACTCTCCAATGGAGACAGTGAATATGTAGCTTAATCGATGGATGCTGATTTTTTTTTTCGTCCGTTGTGGGAAACATATATATATAGGTCGACGCGCTTTGCTGGATTCGTATGTCAAGCATGATGTATATTATCCAGCGTGGACGTACCTTTATACCCAAGTGACTCCGGGAGTACCAGCATACTTGGGTGTCTTTCACGGAAGTGAGGTACCGTCCGGTGAGTCTCCCTCTCCAATGGTTCACTGCACAGCAGAACAAAAATCCTGATTTTCCGTCACTCCACATCGATCGTCCTTATTAGTATTTGGCCTGTATGGCTTTCAGAATAGGACCTCGGATCTTGGGAGAACTTCGTTATATATGCTCAGCGCTTGGATCGCTTTCGCAAATTCCTTTGATCCTAATCGCCCGTACTGTAAGCAGCCAGCATCTTCACTTTTTTTTCCCACAAAGTTATGACTCTTTTTTTTTTTTTTTGCTTGTGTCTGATGAAGTACCCAATTGGCCTAGGTACGGAAGGCAACGCCGCATGTTACAAATCGGGAATGGGCACTTCGATGTCATCACGGATGATTTTCGAAAGAATGGAATAGAATTCTTACAGAGGAAGGATTTTACGGACGCGCTTAATTTCTAAAGGTGTACAAACTTCTGTTCTCATGGTTCTCTGACTTGATACACTTGTTGAAGTCCTGACATCCAACTCGTATGTGGCCTAATGAATGTCAAGTTCCTTTTGGGGGCTTCACACTTCTGCACGTCCGTGCGGTCCGTGGCTGCCGATTATTTGCATGTGGCTAGCTCTGTGGTCTCAAACCTGAAAAAGGCGATGACTTCGATTCGGGCATCAACCTTCTGCCACTTGTTGAGTTCGCATCACTCTGGTGACTAGAGCAAACACCCTGTCCCATGTTCAATCAGCTCCGGGGCTTAGGGTGCAAAGTGGGTGCCATGATTCCAGATGTTTCTATTGTCCGAGGTTTGAGAATGAATTCAGAGATGTGCCTCCATTGTCCTGTCCGCCGTGTAATTATCAGAAGCACTCGTAGAGATATGATCCTGCCTTGTCTGTGTCGTGCCAATGCCCATTATCTCCCAGTCAAACCCTGGTATCTCGTACCCGAGTTATATCCTGTCTGGGCCGGAGTTCATCGCCAAACTTTACCCTGAAGAGGTACCTTGATCACAAAAGTTTAACGTGACCGGCCGAGCTTGCGAGGTGTTTGTTTACAGAGGGGGTTCGTTTTTTTTTTCCGTGGGAAAGCGCGTTGTGAATTGCGTATCGTCACCCCGTGAGAAATCATCGGACATTGGATCCAAATGCACATCTCAACCGTGCACTTGTGTGCAATGGTGCAACACTGGACAAAACATACAATACACACAAAAATACAGAAAAATTACAATTATTATTAGAGCTTTATATTTGTTAAATTAGTGTGAAATTTAGGTCTATGCAGTGATTAGCCTGATCAAGGCAAGGGAAAATGGCACTTCCGCGAGGATGTGGCTGTGCTGCAAACATGTGTGCTGTTACGGTTAAGCCGTAACCCTGAATGGATTTAATGGAGGTTTCATTTGTTCTGTTCCATTTCAACTCATGTAGTTTGAGACTTCCTGTATGACTAGGATGTTTCTCTGGTCTCATCTCACATGTTTTAGCATATCATCATGTATATAAGGAGTTGATGTGAGGCCCCGGCCCATGTCTATATTCCGCCCACAACATCAGTTGATGTTGTGTTGTGTAATAATTATGTCGCGACGCTAATTTAGCGTCGCGGAAGCTTCTCTATTTATTTGTGCCGAGAATGTATAAGATTGTATATAAACCCTCGGGGTAGCTGTAAAAGGCGGATCAGCCTTTACTTCTACCCCGTTAATATACAGCAAACTCAAGCGTATACTTAGACGGACTTCTGAGGCCTGAGGCGAACGGGGGAACAGAACGTTACCGTCCCCAAACTAGTAAGATACCTTTCACTTTTTTACGCTATTATTCTCTTTCCATTCTCGGCACCGCGTTACCGGCACCGAAACCCCATTTGGCAACGCGCGTGTCGTCGGCCCCTGACAACACGCGACTTCGATCAAGTTCTCACGCGAACTTGTTGAACGACTCGACACCTCTTCTGGATGTCATGGAGATACAACACCAGGAGCATGTCCAATGCTCCCGCCAACACGGTGAAGGAGTGGAGCTGGATCACCTTATGTAACCAGTTTCCTACGTCCAATAACGATATTAGAGTTTGTGCTGATTTGCGTACTGACCGTGTTTTGGTTGCCAAATATATGATTGTTCACTGTCTAAACAACAATAAACACCCCCCAACGATCTCACCTGATGTATAGATTGTCTACAGATAAAATTTTATATTGACTTTACTATGATTTCTAGTCAATATTACACCTAGATATACCACTTTTCAGTAGGACGTGATTTTCCTGATAATTTACTGAAGGAAAACTACTAATAAAATAATTCTGCAATAAATGTTACTCAATACAGGAGTGACCAAACTGCTCTTTCTATCGCTTAGAGTGCGTGCTAGTTATCTAGCAGGTTCAGGATCGCTCACTTTTCTCCTGTGGTGTGATAACCAAGTATTGCTGAGAGATTATTCAATTAAGAAGTCCCTCCACCAAATTCTCACTAATTCTCACTATGACACTTTTGTTCAGCTGTGTCTAACTGACCCTAACTCACGCTTAGAGTGACGTGTTAGTTTTATATTAGCTAACAACTAATATTTGCTTTTATCTTTTGGAGCAAACGAACCAACCACTGGTGAGGAGAATTAAACTTTTATTTCTACCTGAGGTTTGAGAGGGGGCAGAAGCGGCGGCCTTTTATGCTTTTCAGAGGCCTCTCTACTCCCACGCCTCGCACTAGTTACATGTGCTACATTTGTATTATAGATAGTTCTAGAATGATATAGGGGCTTGGGCTGTGTAAGCTTAATAATGGACTTAGGACATGACTCAGCAATAAGTAATTCATTTCTTTGTCTTTTGGGCCGATCTTAGCGGGATCTTGTAGCGCTGAAGCTATGCTCTACACCGCCTTAATTACGAACGGTTATCTTTAGAAATGACTCGGCTATAAAGGAACTTTCTAGACTGTTCTCTAATTGACCCCTTTTTGTGAAGCCACATCATTACTAATGTTCTAGAGCCTTCCCAATTAATTAACCGATCCGCGGACTTCTGAATCACTTCATGCTTATGATCCGAGATCCAGATCATCAATCATTCCTTTGTTCCGATTTATTTGAGCTTAAAATCAAAAAGTTTTGATGAATCATGGGAAAATATACAAGATCCGGTTTTTTAGCATTTTCTCCTCTTCTGATGCGATCAAAAACTGTCCGCCCGCGCCGGGGAATACTCTGTCATATGGTATTTGGTCCGCCAGACTTCCGGGCGCCAATATATTTCCCTTGAGTCACATTACTTTTTGTAAGAATTAGCAAATAAATATATATGAATTATAAGGTGTTTCGCCGTTTGAGCAATATCTCCGTCAGTTTTGAAGCTTTTAGAATGAAACAAAACCGTGGATAAAGTTAAGAAACAGTTCTTTCAGATGGTAAAAAGATTACAGTCAAAAGTTTACTGGTTCCCGAGATATTCACATTTCTTTCCCAATGTTTCTTCTTGTTCTGCCGTCTATGTGCTATTTTCTTGTTGTAGGGATATATTCTTTGAATATTACACCTATGCCAGGTTCTAGGCATGCTTGTAGTAGATTAAATCTCATGCTACATGGGTGTAGATAATTTATAATGATCTTCTAATGTCTGTCCAGTCTCATAAAGATCATGAGATCTGTTAAACGTCTGAATGTCAGGGGACGGACCCCGGGTCCCCATGACCCCTCTCTACAGTCCACAGTCTAGCCTGTAAACACAGCCCATCTCAGGGCATAACTACTGTGGGTAAGAAAGTGAGAAGAAGGTTAACTTCTCACTTTCCCACAGTGGCCCCAATATGGCGAAAACTTCCGGGGATACCCGGAAGTCACATGAGGTGGGATCCGGGGTCGGATCATGCGGCGCGCGGAGCGTGCGGCGCAGGAAGTGCGCGGGAAGTGGAGCGGGTCCGGACGCGGGTCCGGGTCCGGGCTAAGTCAGGGTATGTGCCCTGACACTGAACTTGTCATTCGTTGACTATTCTGATAGATCATTGTTTTATTCTTTGAATATTATTTCTCCTACAACGGCCAGCCCCTCCACTGGCTGTAGGGCAGAAGACGACACCACCTCAAGTGATGGTGGTGATCTGGGCATGCAAGGGCCCAGGGACGCGTCTCAGACATGTCCCACCTATATGAGAGATGTTGACGAAGTCACAATGTCTGAAGCCCTCGCAGCAGAGACTCTCGTGGCATTCGTCCCAATGCACGCGTCGCATCCTCCATCCCCAACCCACTCCCTCGCGTCTGAAACAGCACGAGTACTAAGAAATCACGTTGACCAAGTCGACGACGACATCACCGACTTGAGAGGCGATGTCTGTAACATGAATACCCAAATCTCTGGGAATAGCGATAACATCGCTCGTCTAGATCGTAACATCATTAAGGTGGAGGAAAGACTTAATGAGAAACTAAACGAAATTCTCCTCGCGCTCTCTCGACGCGACGAGCCAAAGCCACCCGCAGCAATGGTGGATAACCCACCTGCAAACCCTCCAGTGAACCCAACAACAGGTGGAGACCCTATCGTTGTCTCTGACCAGACGAAAAAAACCGCTGTTGAGGCGCAGGTGCCCCAAGAGGTCCCTGTAGTCCCCGTTAATCAAATGGGTCAACCAATCACTAAACCCGCTGTGGAGGCGCAAGCGCCCCAGGAGGTCCCTGTAGTCCCCGTTAATCCAACAGGTCAACCAATCAGTGGGGCCCCCATACCTGGAGGGATCCCCACTGTCTCTGCCATCGTCACAGAGGTGGCAAGTTCATGCCCGTCCGTCGAGGTACAAGAATCTGACGGACATTTTGTTCCCATCTTTAGTGGAACTAAGCCACCTACCCCATCGACGGCGCCAGTAACCACTGATGCCAAGGGAAAAGGTAGGGAGATCGACCCAGGACAACTGGCTGGATCGTCGACTGCAGGGGAGAGTGGAACTTCTCCATTCCATTTCAGACCAGGCTTCGTGCCCGTGCCGTTCATTCTGTCGTCCCAACCCACGAACGGTGGGGTGAAATTACCACGCGTTGATGCTACTCAAACACGTAATTTCCCTCCCGACCACGGGAGAAAGAAAGCAGTGCCGATGAAGGCCACTGTGGAGACGATACAGGAGGAAGACGGTGACGCGGAAGTCACCAGTGTTCCGTATGATTACTACACACGGAAAAAACGCCTGATCTACATCCAGGATCGTGTAGATGACATTGGCAGACAGCCTGCCAAGGTCAGACCTATCTTCGCTAAGCGTAGTCTCAGCGAATCTACTTTCGACTTTAACGCCTGTCTGGATGCAGACGTAGCATTCGTATACAACGTGGGTCGTGGGGAAAACGGTGAAGACCCCGAGAGACTGTCCCACGGCACAGCACTCAGACGGGTGCTGGATAACTACCACT